GAGTTCAGATAATCCCTAGTACAGACTGTATGGATTATCAACACTCGCCTTCAGAACAGCTTGCCCAGAAGTGTTTGGGTAAAGCCGGCTGAAAATGACTCCTTAAATGCTCCCGGATCCCTGCTGTAACCCAACAAGTAGCACAAGTATTGTATTATAATTTATTGTACTACTCCCTGCTCTAAGTCTAAGCTGACAGCCTGTCACTGGTCCATTGTCACCATGGACATGGCATGACATTGTATTCATCACCCACTGCCAAGCGTCCTGCCACACGGCAGCAACACCCAGCAGATCTCGACGTGTCGATTTCAGAGATGTGCCTAGCACAATCGTGTCCAATGCATAATATCTCACCTACAGTGCATGCACATGTAGTTGTGTTTAGCGGACTCTTTACCATGGGCAAAGGTAGAGCTAACCGATGGCAGTGAGCTCGGCTGGTATAGCTGATCTACACGTAAGATAAACTGAACAGCGCAAATACTCCACCAGACTCTGTGATGCAATCATCCAACACGAGCCGCACCCGGTATCAAAGTTTAAACACGCGCAATGACACGGGGATAGGATCTCTTATCTGGCCTTCATTGTTCACTTCGTCAGCACGTTGGAATCATGTCACATTTTATGAATGCACACACACGTGTATCATGCAGGATAATTATTATGTGCATGTGTGCTCACTGGTCTTCAAGTGTTTTGACCAGGGAGTCGTATATACACGACTCCCTGGTTTTGACCTGGATTTGTTCTACACGTCACAAGGCTTGGAGCATGTGCAAACAGTACATGTATTGCATGTCTGTGTTTATTTCGGGTATGTAGAACTACGCAAGCGGTTATCGCATGCAGTGGGGGTGTAAAGGCGGACACGTGCATGTCACTGGACGACAGGGGTATCTTGGGACTGTTCAACTTCAAGAACATGCATGCACATACAAGTAACAGTTTAGTGTAGAAGTGAGAGTAAGGGAATGTGGTTGTCAGAACGCTACTGGAAGATGATTCAAAGAAAGTTTACTACCCACTCATTCTTGATCAGCGCCATCACGAAGGGTCAAGATAACCATTTCCCTCTGCCGTGCCATTCTTTTCCTGAACACTATATGAATGGATGGATGCGTGCGGTACAAGCACTTGTACAATGTACCGATGTGGAGGTAAACAGCATCGAGAGGCAGCTTACCATTCAGCTATCCGTAATGCCTCTCGGGTGTCAGTACACAGTACACGGACAGCCGTGCAGGTACTGAGGCCCAGGCTTTCTTCAAACCACCGCTGCCGAGCCGCACTTTCAACAGACTCAGTAACTACATTGTATTAGCAATTTAGCGACGCTGCCACCTGCAGCGTTAGGAGTGAGACCAGAACAACGACAGCTGCTCACACATCGGTGAGATTGTCAGAATCAATGCAGAAACGGACAACGCCACTCAAACAAAACAGGACGCAACGCATCGGCGGAGCAGCCTGCGCCAACAACAGCGCCAGTACACAAAATAGCGGCACGACATATCAAGGTTTTATGTTCGTTTCCGCATGCCCACCTACTCTTCACACCGGTGGAGCTGGGCATGCCACAAATAAACAGTGGGTGTATTAGACAAGACTATGCTCTTTCATTGACCTCACTCATTGCCTGCATAAAACAGTGCAAGCACAGGGCATGGTTAATTGGCGAGTACTGTAATTTCACAAATGTTCGGTGTACTTTTATTTTCGGTACTTTCGGTGCGTCTGTTTCATACCTAAAATTTCAATACACCGAACAAACACTAACACACATAAAACAATAGGGAACTGCTTCTCTGTACCGAAAATTTCTGTTCACCTAACCTGGCCTTTTGCCCTCATACCGAAAATATTGAGCACCGAAAATTTCTGAAATTACAGTAACTGCACACATAACGTTACTGTGCAACATTTACGAACTGTTTACCACGGGCACTACACCGGGCATATCATACTACATGTACATGTACATTGTACTGATAAACAATTACAGATTGACCACGCCAGCATGACAATCGAGATTAAAAAAAATGATGCGAGAGCGTGCCCAGCAAAAGAAGCAAGAGGGCAGCATCACGGGCAGATGCTATTACTAACAGTGACAACACAATAACACTTCTAACTGCTATGTTTGGTCAGGATAACAGAGAACAATGGAAGAGAGATGTCACATGGATGATCAGCGCAGCTCGACAGCTCTGGACTATTTAAAAAATCGCTTCAATGGATTTCACGCCATGCAAATGACAGGGTTCAGTCAACGTCAATATCGACCTGGACTGTGTTACCAAATCTATGAGCATGAGCATTACCTGCACATTGCTAACAGTGTGGGAAATAAAAATTAAACGTCAGGTATACGACACACCAGCAACAGCCAACTCCAGGACACTCTTAACAGCCGACCAGCATTCAAGATACCAACATACCTGCCGAGCTAAACAACAGGAGGGAGGCAGCTGTCGGTAATTCGTGCACGCGTACATCGTCCGGCGCCGCTACGCCGGGATGATAATGGATGACTCGACGAAGAAGTCGTACAGCTTCCGCGTCTTGTTCACGTCGATCGGCAGGAGCCTCCGTGCATCTGCCAGCCGTAGGCGGCCGTGTTTATCCATTTCTTGCGAGACGGCCGCGCGGTAGGACTCGTACACATGCGGACGTAATCGCAGCGATGAACACAACTGTAGCAGATAACGAGCAGAGAAGAGAGAAGCAATTGGAGTGCCGGGCACGTAGTCTAAACTAATGTAAAGACAATATTCTAACGAGGTGCAAAAATTAACAATTTCCTTAAATGGACAGGTTATTAAACGGGGACAAAAGTTTTCATTCTTTCTCTGTGTGCTGTGTGTGTAGTTGGATACAGAGAAGCATACCCTGATGCCGTCAATCCTTTTTCTGCACTTACTGAGGTGTGGTGAGCCCGTAAGTGGGACCATTTCCAAGTCCACCCAGAGTTTGGGGAATTTGGGGGGGGGGGGGGTGTCGGCCTTTGGGCGGCTCAATACTAGCCAATTGAGTCATCTTTCCGAAGATTCCTTTTGAGACTCTCTCCCCTCACCCGGGGAGAACCACGTGACCAGTATTGGCAGTGAGCAAGCACAAGCAAGTAAGTAAGTAAGTAAGTAAGTAAGTAAGTAAGTAAGTAAGTAAGTAAGTAAGCAAGTAAGTAAGCAAGTAAGTAAGTGTGCGTGTGTGTGTGTGTGTGTACAACTGTACTACAGTTGCGCTCAGTGAAATCCAACCCAAAGTGCAAAACTGGCGCCCTGTGCCAGTTTTGATTACATCATCGCATCTCTACATGTGTACGTCCAGCCGCATCTGTGCCACTCCCAGGGCGTCAAGGGCCGTGCGAAAGCAGCAGAGGCGGATCTAGGGGCCCCCTCAAATATTTTGATTTTCTTTTTAAAGTGCATGCACGTGGGTAGTTGCGCAAGTGTTTGCACATGCTGTCACAAGTAGTTTCTAGTGTCAGATAAGAAAGTTCTTCTGAACACGGAATAGTTGTTCTCTTAGACTTTGGTTGACTTTTAGTTTTGAAATAAGTGTTCAGTTGACGAACTTGTATAGCTAAGTCGGTGAAGGGGATGGCGCACCGCCCGCCCAAGCGGCCAAGGAGCCAACAAACTCTCCACTCTCCACGGATTTTTCGCGAAGCGAGCTTGCGCTTCGTCAGCTGCTCAGTCGAGCGGACCACAGCGAAGATCCTGAGATCGAGGTCTGCTCAGACTCTGATCTTCCAGAATGAAATTCGAAGTAGATTCTGACGACGATGGTGGGACTGTCATTAGTAGTGATGCGAGACAGGAGCGTTTTACCTGTTGAAACTATCACAGATGACGACGTTGTGCCTGTCACGAATGTAGCTGGTGGCACTGCTACGCAGCGAAGTTACTAGGAGGGATGCTGTTGATGCAGCTATTAGTATTAGCGGTGCAACTCTCAGCGATGCAGAAAAGCGCAACATACTTGGGAACCGGAAGCCTGATAAGCAGACGGTGTTGCCATCTAGGGATTGTACCGCATGGGTTCCCTGTCATGAATATTACCCGCGCCCTCCCCTCAGCTGAACTCTGGATCCGCCGCTGAGCAGGGAGCCAAATGTGCACTCTGGGTCGGATTTCACAGAGCGCAACTGTAGTAAAGGAAATCATGGATGAATCAAAAGAACTCACCTCACGCTCGGAGGGGCTCAGTCTCTCCAGGCTGGCGGCGTGCTCAGCTTGGTCTAACCTCTTGCCACCACCACCACCGCCGCCAACACCCAGTGGCGCATCACTGTAGCCAGTGAAAGAAAACACAAGAAGGTGCAGCACTTAGCCATCAACAACATTGCTGCTGGAGCTTCTTCACGTGCACTTGTTCAGTACGGTGTTTGTGTGTATGTGTATGTGTGTGTGTGTGTATGTGTGTGTGCGTGCGTGTGTGTGTGTTGATTGTATTACCCAAAGCAAAGGCAGAGAAATCAAATCCTCCCTGAATGCACTTAGTTGGGTCAGGGGTGAACTTAGGTCAGTGCCCCAATCGTTTGCAATAACAATAAGTACTAATAGGTTGTAGGCACTGTTGCAGAAACAACTTTGAAGAAAAGTCACAAGTCACAGTGCTATCAAAATCAGGATGCCGTATTAAAATGAATCAGCGACGTCGTAAATATGTCCGAGGTGCCCTAGGTCTACATGCAAGTCCCCCAGCTCTCCAGTCCCCCAAACACTTACAGATCGCGTGGACACGCCGACAGCATCTACACCAACACACAATCCAACAGACAGACAGACAGACAGACAGACAGACAGACAGACAGACAGACAGACAGACAGACAGAGAGAGAGAGAGAGAGAGAGAGAGAGAGAGAGAGAGAGAGAGAGAGAGAGAGAGAGAGAGAGAGAGAGAGAGAGAGATAGAGAGAGAGAGACTAGTAAACTGCCTTCTAAACTGTGCTTAGCAATTAGACAAAGGTGCCCAGACAACATGCACATTACTAAGCAGGTTGATACATGAGAAATCACTGTATGGGCCTAAAGGTCATCGCAAAAGTGACTTGGTTGTCGCTTAAACAAACAGGGTTCATTTAATTAGTACTCTATGGTTCACTTCGTACATGAGCTTAGGCCCAGGATTTCCGTTATACAGTAATATCAGGGTGTGCCAAATTCTCCCTGGGCACTAAACCGGAATCATAGCCAGGAAGGTTTTTTCCACAAATTGGCTCAAGCCACTACCACCTGAATCTCAAAATCCTTGCGTAACCTCAGCCAGGACCAGGATAACTTTGCCATGTTTCATCTCAGAGAGAGAGAGAGAGAGAGAGAGAGAGAGAGAGAGAGAGAGAGAGAGAGAGAGAGAGAGAGAGAGAGAGCGAGAGAGAGAGCGAGGGAGAGAGAGAGAGAGAGAGAGAGAGAGAGAGAGAGAGAGAGAGAGAGGGAGGGAGGGAGGGAGGGAGAGAGGGAGGGAGGGAGGGAGAGAGAGAGAGAGAGAGAGAGAGAGAGAGAGAGAGAGAGAGAGAGAGAGAGAGAGAGAGAGAGAGAGAGAGAGAAACACACAAGGCTGCAATGCAGCACCAGAAACACAAACTCACAACAACCAACCTCCATAGCTCTGGACACATCTTCATTCGACTGCAGACCGGTGGAGTCATCGAATTGCCGTTGCTTTAGTGTTTCGTAGATCTGAGCACCTACACAGGAAACCCACAGGCAAAATGTTACATCGCGACTGTCTAAACAGCTCATACTCAAAAGCAGAATGCCGGTGAAAATATGTACAACACCATGCCGTACAATTTCAAATTTGGACTTCACGGAGAATTTCAGTTTTAGGAAATTAGAGGCCACATGCGATATGCCACGTACTGCTCTTTTCTCTCCGAAACTCAACACTTGCAAGCCAGATATGAAAGAAAGAAAAAATCATCAGTCACACCACCGGGACTGGTGTGAGTTGCCAGTATGATGCAAGCCAGATAGGGATTGATCGAAGAAGGATAGATTTACCATCACTGTGGATAAGAGTCATACTGTAGCTCAGTTGGTTAGAGCATTGCTCGCGAATAGCAAGGTCCCTGGTTCGAGTCCCGGTGGTGTGACTGATGATTTTTTCTTTCTTTCATATCTGGCTTGCAAGTGTTGATGTTGTGCTCTGTCACAACATTGACGAGTGCACAGGGCTTTCAGTTGACGATGCAAGTGCCAGTGTACCGGACATGCTGCACAATTTCCTGGTGTGGCTTATGTCAGACAAGTATCATGCTGTTGTGCAGTCAACCAAGATCTCAGTAGAAGATCCAGCAACGTGTCGGCGTGTTCAGTCCATTGCGCAGGATGTAATGTTTGCCACTGCCTCGGCAATTCCACCCAAGCACATAGTCTTGGCATTGACCCTGCACCATCTGTTCCGGAGTGAGAAGTTGACCACAATGTTAAACCGCTTGGGGCATTGCATTGCCTACTCGCAAGTGTTGGAAAGAGAGACCAAGATGGCAGAGGACAAGCTAGTTGCCGGGCATGTTGTGGATCAGCTTCCAGACGTCATCAATCCAAGTAAGGGCTTGTGCATAGCCATGTAGTTGAATGCTGTTTATACTTCATAACCCTACACTGCTTTCGATATTGCATATCCTTGTAATGGTCAATTTGACAAACACCAATCCTGTTGCCGAAATGGCATGTCCTCTGTGCAATGTTTGTCGCCAAGTATGTGTGATAATATGATATCCCTTTATCCTACAAAAAGGTCTGTATGTGTGTGTGTGTGTTTGTGTCTGTGTCTGTGTGTATTGTGTGTGTATGTCTCTCATTCTCTCTCTCCCCCCCCCCCCCCTCTCTCTCTCTCTCTCTCTCTCTCTCTCCCTCTTGTTTCTCTCATATTCTGCAGGTACACCATTCTATCATGTTGCTGACAATAATGACTTGAATGAGGAGACAGTGGACGGGAAGGGCACCACTCACTGCACCAACACGATTGTTGTGCAGCCAATTCTGAGTAGTGAGGGTGATGGCACATGGCTGCCTGGAGCACAAGGCCATGAGCGGAGCCGGAAGCGCAAAAGAGCCCTGGATATACAGCCAGAAGTATTTGCAGACATCGTTTGCGCCAAGAATGTAAACCCTGCGAGGCGGCCGGGTGTGACACAGCAGCAACTGGAAGGTGTTATGTCGGATGGTGATGCTGTGGCGCTGAACGACTTCACCTGGAGGCGTTGTCGATCCAGTCGAAGTGGAGAGCTCCTTGACCCGGTCGTTGAAGTGTTGTCTGATTTACCCGAGCAAAAAGTGCCATCATGGTCAGCATTCAACGCACTGGTGAGCCGCAAGGATGTACCACCGAAATCCAGGATTGGATATTGCCCTGTGATGAATGCTTCACCAACCGAGTCTTCAACCGTGTATGCATTGCTGACCAAGTGCCTACGAAGGTGTCAAAACTCTGATCTGAGTTTCACATTGATTGTTTTCGACCAAGCCATTTACGCCAAGGCCGTGGACATTGTCACACAACGAGGAGAAGAGTTTGCGCCTATTGTACTGAGACTAGGTGCTTTTCATATTGCTTGCACCTTTCTGGCAATCATCGGGAAGAGGTTTCGCGATGCCGGTCTGTTGGATCTGCTTGTGGAATCTGGTGTTGCTGGAACTGCATCAGCCTCCTCTGCCCTGGATGGTCGGCACTACAACCGGGGTATGCGATTCCACAAGATTGCTTCCGAGGCATTGGAACGGTTGCGCTGGAAGGAATTTGTGGATGCCAGCAACTTGACTGAACTTGACATACCTCTCTCCTCAGCCTTTCAAGAGTTGGAGATGTGCATCACCAGTGACAACCTGTCACGGGTTACTGCTTCTCCTGCTTTGCGGAGCCTCTACGTCAAATACCAGGAATTTTGCCAACAGCAGTCCCAGCTGGTTCCAAACTTTGGACTATGGTCATCGTACATCAGCATGGTGGATCTGCTACTGCGGTTTGTCAGGGCTAGTCGCACTGGCAACTGGAAGTTGCACCTCGTCTGTGTGCGGGATATGCTTCCCTGGTGTTTTGCATATGACCGAGTGAACTATGCCCGGTTCATGTCGTTCTACTGGCTCGACATGACCCAATTGCCAACGAACCACCCAGAAGCTCATGCCTTCCTGGAGCAGGGTGGGTTCTCGGTGCAACGGTCATCCAACCCTTTTGCTCGAGTAGCGTCCGACCAAGCTATTGAGCAATCGATCAATCGAGCCACAAAAACCACAGGCGGTATAATTGGGTTCAGCCGCCATCCTGCTACTGTACAGCGCTGGGTGCTCACAGCACATGACCGTGCAGCAGTCGCTGATGTTTGCTTGGAACACTGTGGCCTTGATGACAGTACTGAAGAGAGAGATACCTTTCACAAGGATTGCCAGAAGGGCAGAATGGTGCGGGATGAGAAGGATGTCCTCCAAGTGATCGATACCGTCTCCATGCTTCGCAATCCATTCATTTCATCATCCAAACAGCCATGCATGGAGTTAATCCATCTTGCATCCGGCGTTGAAGCATCCAAGGAAGCTGCCCAGGACCTTCGAACGGCTGAAGAGCGTGGCAAGGTGTGTTTTCATGAGTTCCTCCATGAACGGTTGACTGCTGGGCAATCCGCTAAGGGATTCCATGATCCACTGAAGAAGCAGAACCTGCAGACCTTCACCAAGAAGAAAGCAAAGAAGACGGCATCGACCAGCAACACCGACATCCTTCGTGCAGACAGGTCTACTTTCTCTCGAATGGCCTTGATTGCTCAAACGCGTGAAATGGATATGCGGCAGGTGATGTCATACCCACTAGGTGAATTGCCTTGGGCAATTGCCTCTACATCAGGAGCTCTCGTGAAGACAAACAAGTCTGCTTTACTTACTCTGCTCACCGATGGCATATCGTCTGCACCTCCAACCAACACTGCTGCTGCTAATGGAGCCCTGATTATTGATGCTATGGCAATGATCAGGACCCAGAAGCTAAGCGAAGCGCCTGCATCATTTGGAGAGTTTACTGCAGTAGTCCTGAAACAGATCTGCGGCTACTTTTCTAAGTACACCCGAGTGGACTTCGTTGTGGACACGTACCGTGACATCTCCATCAAGAACTTAGAAAGGAGCTCTCGTGCAGCCGATGGCGTGTTGCGACTGCATCTGACAAACCGGTCCCAACGAATGCCTCGGCAATTTAACAAGTATCTTTCGCTGGGCACGAACAAGGAGGAGCTGATAGCCTTCTTGTTCACAGAATGGCAGCGTCCCGAGCAGATGCAGAAGATTCCTGATGGCAAGGAGCTTGTGACAACTTCCGGGCAATCATGTAGCACGGTAAGATGCGTCGATGGTGTGGGTGTCCATACTCCTGTTCCGAGCCTTAAATCGACGCATGAAGAAGCTGATACGAGGCTCCTTCTCCATGCCAGCCATGCGGCGGCAGCAGGTCACGCGAACGTGACCATCAAGTCACCGGACACCGATGTGTTAGTTCTTGCTGTGTCAGTCACGAATCGCATCCCTGCTGCTCTACACTTCCTAACTGGAACTGGCAACAAGACACGGAAGATACCGGTCAATGCCGTCAGCGAAAAGTTGGGCAGAGAGGTGTGTGATGCTCTGCCGGCATTCCATGCCTTTACCGGCTGTGACGCAGTCAGTTCCTTTGCGCACCAAGAAATCTGCCTTCAAGTTGCTGTGCTCCCCAGCCCACTCCGACTACAAGGCAATCTTCGCCCGTGTTGGTTGTACCTTTGACGGACTTCCTGGTGATGTCACTGATTCCCTGGAGACGTTTCTGTGCCTTCTCTACAATGCAAAAAGTTGCACCAAGGTCAACGATGCAAGGTATCAGTTGTTCTGCACGAAAACGTTGCAGTCGAATCAGCTTCCTCCATGCCATGATGCCTTCGTCAAGCACTGCGCCAGGGCCAACTATCAGGCTGCTGTGTGGCGCCTTTGTCTTGTTGCAATACCAGACATACCTGCTCCACACGAGAATAATCAAGGTAAGAGGCTCAAGGTTACTGTTTTAGAATGTGGTGCATGGAAGCTAGGAAGAAGCATTATTTAAAAAAAACTGTGTTAACTTTTAATATTGCCTTGTGGATGATCAGTTCCTCTTTCGGTGCACTCCTTTTTGTACAGGCTGATGTCTGAATAGCGATGGCAATCTTGCCGTTTCTTGGTTGAGCCTACCCCCAGCGCCCCGAGCACTCCTTGAGTTCCTCAGCTGTTGCTGCAAGACAGGCTGTAGCAGTGGGAACTGCTCATGCCGGCGCCATACTTTGAAATGCACAGATGCCTGCCAGTGTCGCCACAACTCGGCAGGAGTTGCCTGCACCAACTGCCCAACTCTGGACACGGTTCAGGAAGATGTTGCTTCATCTCTGGAAGCAGATGACACACTGCAAGCTGTGCAGTGAAACACTTCTTCGCTGGTCGCTTATACAATGTACTTCCCGGTACAGCCATCTACCATAGCAAATGATCCGCTCTTGCTATGTACTGTTAGTCTCCTACAGAGAGGAGTAATATCTCTGGATTGATTCGATGCTGTAAATACTGTACATACATGTACATCATGCTAAGCTGGAATGTATTACTTTTCATGATTAGGATAATTCTACTACAGTCGTTCTGTGCATGCCAATTGCCAACTCGTTACTATGTTATAACTTTGATGTGTGCTATTGAGTAGTCTAGGTGGTGCTATCATGTTGAAACTTGGCACACAGATTACATTTGCTTGTATCTATTTAATGTTGAAAGAATTTTCCTTTTTAGCCATGCAGAAGTGGCTTTAATACACGATTTTGCTTGTTGTTGCCATGGCAACGCAGGACACAATTTGTTTCCATGTGTTGGTCAACAAAGCCCCGGGTTACTGGCATAAGTGACACATCATGGGAAAGCCCTCTGAATGCTCTATCTGCTCCACACATCAAATCCTTGTGCACTTCACATGGGAACGAAAAATAAATAAAACCCGGCTGGCTTGTGGACTAGTATGATGCAAGCCAGATATGGATTGATCGAAGAAGGATAGATTTACCATCACTGTGGATAAGAGTCATACTGTAGCTCAGTTGGTTAGAGCATTTCTCGCGAATAGCAAGGTCCTTGGTTCGAGTCCCGGTGGTGTGACTGATGATTTTTTTCTTTCTTTCATATCTGGCTTGCAAGTGTTGAGTTTTGGAGAGAAAAGAGCAGTACGTGGCATATCGCATGTGGCCTCTAGTTTCCTAAAACCATGCCATACAGTTGGATATACTCAATCTGTTGGACATATAATTATTTGCTGGATTACAGCGCTGAGCACGGAATTAGTTCACTGTCTTCACAAACACAATGATGTGATCATGTTCTCCTAGACAATCTCCATCACTGACCTCGCCGTGACCGAATGCCCAGCGTTCGATAGTCCTGCAGCCGTCGGATCTCCGTACGCAGGAATTGCTCGTCTGCAAGGAACACACGCACAACACGAACACAAAACGTCTTCTAACTCTTCTTTAAAAATAACCCCATCAACAAGACTCAATCACAAGAGTTATGTGACAGGCAAAAGGTGTGTTATGATCATGGATGGGGCATGTGCAATGTTAGTTTACTTAAATAACAATACAGAGTACAGACACACTACAGACACTGACCAGTGGTAAGTCACATGAGCAAAACCCAGCCAGGACAAACAATTGACGGAACATCATCTACAGCCTACAGATTACCAAAGTGTACAGGCGTGTACTGTAGTGAAACTGCACCACAAGCATTCCGGGCTTTTAGGAGAAGGTTGCGAAAGGAAAACTAACAGAAATGTACGTGTACACAGCTTGCACAGTCAACATCAGCATTCAAGATCCATACAGTCTTAGTGGCTACCATTGCAAATGAATTGGCAGTGCACTCATCTCTCTCTCTCTTATCCGGGCCTCACAAGTCATGGTGACGTCAGTCTAACGGCCACACTGTGGGTGCGTTTTAGTAGAAATATTACTACTCCTTTGCCATTTTTTGTGGAAACAGTGATGTCGTATGCCGGATTCTCTGGCCCTTCACCTTTGAGACGTGTGTGATTCAGAGTTATGGACATCTCAAAATTATGGGCAGTGCCCTGTCCTGGATAGCCTGGATAAGTGAGATACGAGTGTAGTACGCAGTAGTGATATGAATGGCTTTTAACTAATCTTTTCAGGCAATTTTTCTTTACAGTACAACCGTCACTGTTCGCTCTTTTATAAAACATATTTTTAGTCTTGACATCCATGTGTACATGATTGTGCAACAGAGGCTTTTTTCACTGAGTGCAGAACAGAAGTAATACGAGTGTAGTAGTAGTAGACACAACAGTACTCACAGCACAGGCTCTGTAGAAGCTGCTCGTGATCGCCAGCACTCTGCATGCGCATGCACGGCCGCAGGACGTTCACCGAATTGCTGCAAGCAGTACACACGGCACACACACACACACACACACACACACACACAACACACACGCATACAAACACGCACACAAACATGCACGCATGCACATACATGATGTCATGATACATTTCACAAGAGCTCGACTGGCACATGCATAACAGCGTGTGTAGTGGACAACATAACACATGCGTTATACAGCACATCCTGACCTGTGGATGTGTACTGCAATTCCCCAATACTCGAAGTCAAGATGGCATCACAGTATTTGAGTCACAAATTATGATGCCATGTACAGAAGTCACGTGCAATGGTCACAGTCAAGGACCCAACAGACGGATCGGAGCGCAGGGGAAAGGATAAGGGCAAGCTCCAATCCAATGTGATAACCACTGATATGATGCTATTGTGCTTAATTCCGTTCTGTTTGGGTACCGGATGTAAGACAGACCCAACATGGCTCCAGGATGCTTACCCAATATGCCGACATAGCTCCCGTTCATGATCTGCCAGGACAGCATGGACGCATGCACAAACAGACACACAGACACAGACACATACACACAGACACATACACACACACACACGGAAGCACAGAACACAAACACTGCTCGCAGGTGTAAGAGCACAAAAAAACAAATCGCACGCCATCAAAAGCTGATACGACGAGGGCCAACAGCTACAATCTGGTCAGAGAATAAAACGAGCGCACGGTGAGCTATAAATTGGCACATTAATGCACGGTGCCCCTCCCTACACAGACTGAGCTCAGGCGGTCATATTTCATTGAGCAGCACCGTAGCATATGCATTAGAGGACCCAGTATACATACTCTGATGGCATTGAAGATTAATCAGGCCATGATCGCGTATAGACCTGGAGAGACAATGGCACAAGTACAGGCAGAACACAGTCACTGCTGCGTCAATCCAAGATCGTGCAAGTGCCACCGCCACACGGTTACCTGATGCTGTCTAAAAACGTTGGAGCAAAAAATCACGGTTCGCGCGAGACTCAGCTGGACTGAGCGTTCTGCATCCGTATGCTAGGAACGCCACCACCCCCAAGGATCAAGGCGCAGATGCATCTCCTAAAACAGTGGCAGGTGAGTAGATCAGACCCACCATCAAAGGCAGTTAGAGTAACAACAACCGTGCGTAGGAGTATGCTGATCTGATCACATAAATTTCATATGGGAACAGCAGCCGCATCCAAAACTGTTTGATGAAACTCCCAGCCACCAATACGACAGTGGATGAGTGATGGTGTACTAATGAAGACTGCCTCTACCATTGTCTGTACAACAGAGCACAGCATGTCCGATATTACGACGATATAGCTTCAAGTCCAGTCGCTACGGTAAAGGATCCGGCTACCGAATGCAGTTACTTGAACTGAATGGCATTGGAGTACTTTCAAAGTATGCATTGTATAGAGGTTATTTGCGAATGATTCCATGCGGTGAGTCAGCGGAACCGCGTATGAGCGCTAAGTATACAGTGGGAGTCGGCGGATTCGCTTTTGGGGTCTATGCGTCGCTAGTGCAAGTGCAGCGCTGTGCAGCGACTTCGCCAAAGCATCTCAGCTGATGGTGTAATCGCATAACCTCAATGCGCAAGAATACACACAGTACGTACGGAACTTTATGGGCGCAAACCACAATAATCCTGCGGAACGCGGTGTTGAACTCACCGCTTTCTAGCCTCTCGCTGCTCCAGGACGTTCTGGTAAATATCAATGGCAGCCAGCTTCAGTGCTACCAAGGAAAAAGAAACACACAGAGAAACAGGATCGGTCATAACTCGTACCACACTATCCTTTCCCTCACCCATTCTATTTGATTTCTGTTTCAGCCCGAAGTGTGACCACCAAGTCCTTTGGAAACCATGGATGCTATGGCTGATGATAGCCACCGGGATGATTCACCTGCAGGATCGGCGGCAGAGCACACTGAATCCAGTGTCGGTGTCGCCCGATCTGAGACACTGAATCATTCATGCTCAGCAATGCCACCGCGAGCATGCGAACCAGAGCATGGCCGTGACTGTGCGGCATCGCCTTCCGATATCAGACCCTTGTGGCAGTTCCGAGGAACCTGCCGGGATGAAGATGTGGGCCCAACAGATGATCCATCCAGTGGCTTGTTCACGGGTGACAAACGGACCATGCCGAGTAAAGAGCATGGCAAACCATTCGACCCCAGGGGTGCCCAGGGTCAACGAAACATATACAATGCCCCACCCGAAGTGAATGATTATTTAGAGACCCACTTCCGTCGTGTGTTGCCTGATGATGAACGCCGTGAAATGCAATCTGTGCATCCTCGGCCAAACACTGACGTGCTACACGCCACGGGTGGATGAATCGGTTTTGAATGGGTTGGGGCGCAAGCACCCGAAAGCACTAGACCAGAAGCCATCCCAGGTACAAACGGCAGTGCGGCCGCCGACCTGTGCATGGAGTGATGCGATAAAGCATCTGAACAGCACGCTTGTCCCCATAGAAGAGATGCTGGACGTGTTCCAACGTACATTAGTGCTCTTGCCTCTTGGGGCATGCTAATGCAGATACGCAGGAGCATTGTGCTGGAGGCTAGCGATCCGGAGATGGCCAAGTCAGTGAAAGATGATCTGCCTCAGTCTGGCAAGCGCCTATTCGGTGAGGCATTCACTGATGAGCCGACGTAACGGGCTAAAGAGAGTACGGCACTGCAAGAGGCGTCCAAGGCATTGCACCAGCCCTCGCATAGTAGCGCATAGTGTGCATGGGGCTATCAGGCGGGCCGTGACTGCGCTCACACAGATAGAGTCACCCGCGGCCAAGTCAATAATTCCCTTTCTTTACCCATTGTGCAAACTCAAGCTGGATACAAATCTTTTTCATTCCTTGGTGCTGACCGCTTTAATGCGCTTCCCGAATCCCTTCGCACAAATCAGGGGCCGTTTACATGAGGAAAATAAGCCTGGGCTTATTCGCATCGGGCTTATTTTTCAACCGTTTACATGACGGTTGTACGGGGCTGAGTTCAGGTGAGTGACTGCGAGTTCTGCGCGCATTTTATTTTTTCAAATCGCACATGAACGCAGTGGTAAATGTTTGTGTCTGATGAAATTTGGATCAAGAAATGCCGGCTCAGGTTTCTACTGCCTTTCCAATTGTCACTTATTTTTCGAGAAGGTGAAGGATGGGCTAGGACCTTCCACTGGACAAAAACCAAAAGAAAACATACCAAGAAATAAATAAAAGAGACGCACTGTCCACGGCCACATTCTCTCAGGTTCACGAGGCAAAATCGAAAAATACGGAAAAACTCGCTTATAAGCCCTTCTTGACCGTTTACATGACAAAATAAGCCCTGGGGGTTGGATAAGCTCGGGGGTCAAGGGTAGGGCTAGTTCAGCTCGGGGCGAGCTGAATAAGCCCGCCTGACCATGTAAACGCGCGCTCTAAAATGACTGGGTGACAGATCAAGGCGGGCTTATCGTAAGCCTAGGGTTGAATAAGCCCGGGCTTATTTTTCTCGTGTAAACGGCCCCTCATATCCCCAATTCATTTCGCCAGGAACTTACAAATTCATTCATCTTGGGCACCCTGTAAGAAGACCTTAGGGTCTGTTGGGAATGCCCAAGTCAGGCGCGTGCGCCGGTGCCCCCTGGGGGGTTCCCGGTGGGGTTCCGGGGGCCTGTCCGGGAAATTTTTCAAAACATGAAGCAAAATCCTGCATTTTGAGCGAAAGGGGGGGGGGGGGGTTCCGGGCACCCAGGAACCCATACGGGGCATGCGCCTGCAAGTACAATAATAAAATACAATACAATACAGTACAAGACTTGCACTACAGTTGTGCTTGATGAAATCCGACCCAAAGGGCATATATGGCGCCCTCAACTTGCACGGCCCTTGACGCTCTGGATGTGGTATGGATGCTGCTGTACATACACATGTACAAATACAGTGATGTAATCGGAACTGGTGCAGGGCGTCAGCTTTGCACTTTGGGTCGGGTTTCATTGAGCACAACTGTATGTACACAGGGCTGCCAGGCCGTACAGTACAATCATGTGGTGCATCAACAATACATAACCCCCCCCCCCCCCCCCCCAGAGTGTGCAACTCCCACATACAGTCAACTTCACTCGGCGGGACATCAGAAAAGTGTCCTTATTCGCGAAATGTCCTTATATCCGAAGTCTCATTATATGTACTACAGTTAGATGGGACTTTGCTCTGTGCATGGAAATTATGTTGTTATTCGCGAATTGTCGTTATATCCGCAGTCGTTATTAGCGAAGTTGACTGTACCCTGCTGTCCCGACAGAATTTCAAGTTGACGTCATATTTATGATGTAATGCTCCTTGCACCAGTGATTTTTTAAAGACATTTGTACGGGGTGTCAACACATCACACGCTTTTCTTTGCATGAATTTGTACCGGATCAAACGGGGCGCTGTCCACCACAGGTTCAGGATACGTCTGACAGTACATGTACAGTGAGTGCGCATTGCATCATAAAAATGACGTCAACTTGAAATTCTGTCAGGACAGTACCCATAGTCGAGTTGCACACTCTGGGGGGGGGGGGCTATGTACTCTTGATTGCATGCATTGAGGCACACACTGTGCCATACAAACACAGTGAAATGTGCCGAGCGCACGCAGCAGCACCAACGAGACACTACACCAGAGAGTGCATCGTAAGCGGCCGCAAACGCAGAGAAAATCCCGCCCGGGCCCCGTGGCCGGCCAGGACCCACTGTGCCGGCGTAAAACCCCAAAACCATCATCACCAAAACCCCGCCACGGCTAGGAGAACGCCAGAGGCGAGTGCCGCGACTGATCATGTCTCAAAGAGCAGTGCCCCACTTGGGCGACCGTGTGTTGCTAACAGGCAGGCTGTCGTCAATGTAACAGCACCACTGCACCACCAAAACCCGCTTGAAGTCCCTCGATTGGCCGACGTTTGCTGGCTCGAGGCTACAAGCATTCAAGCACCTTGTGGATGGCAGCCAAGAGAACTCGTACCTTCCGATAAATAAATAAATGTCACGGTTCGCGTGAGACTCGGCTGGAAGCCAAGTTTTCCGCATCCGCCGTGGGAACGCCACCACCCTCTAGCATGCTTATTGTGCATGCTGATAGCATGCACAATAAGCAATGCTCGTACTTGTCGGTCGTACTGCAAGTGCATCAACATACCAATGCTGAGGTCGCAGTCGCTCGGATCAAACTCCACGTCAGACACGACCGACTCAGCATCGTTGAGATGCTCCTGAAGGTGATCAAAAACATGTACCCGCGTCCGCACACACACACACACACACATGCACACCAGTATGCATAAGTGTGCACTTGAGGACGCAAGCGAAATGTACACACACACACATACACACACACACACACACACACACATGCACACCAGCATGCACACCAGCATGCATAAGTGTGCACTTGAGGACGCAAGGGAAATGTACACACACACACACACACACACACACACACACGTGCACACACACACACACATACGCACACACAAATATGACACCTGACACCAGCCAGATTAAGACTAACCGTTGCAAAGTCGCCACGGCAGGCCATGAATTCGGGTACGTCCAGATCACTGAGGTTCGGCCGCAGATATCCATTCGTGAAACCTGCAAAGTACAATCGAGAAAACATGGAGACAAGTGTGTGAGGCAGAGTGTGGGACCAGAGAACTCTGAACACGTTCTGTTAATGTGGAACAGACGAGAAGATAGTCACCCTGTGATCAGTAGCCTAATACAGTACCAGTGGACACATTTCAACACATTCGTCTTCAGACTGATGACATGATGCACAGGAGCGAAGATTGGGAAAACAACAACAATAATGATAATAATCTCATTCTGCTTGTATTGTGGAATTTGACTACTCGAACAAAGTGGTGTGTAATAGTCCTGTGAGAATCAAGCTTCTGTGAGTTGTACGAAAGGGAGTGAAAGGGCGTGAGTGAGAGAGAGGGAGAGAGAGAGAGAGAGAGAGAGAGAGAGAGAGAGAGAGAGAGAGAGAGAGAGAGAGAGAGAGAGAGAGAGAGAGAGAGAGAGAGAGAGAGAGAGAGAGAGAGAGAGAGAGAGAGAGAGAGAGAGAGAGAGAGAGAGAGAGAGAGAGAGAGAGAGAGAGAGAGAGAGAGAGAGAGAGAGAGAGAGAGAGAGAGAGAGAGAGAGAGAGAGAGAGAGAGAGAGAGAGAGAGCACCCACTCATACACATACACACGATTATATACAGGTCCTAGAGGGAGACAGAAAAGGCAGATAGATGGACAGAACAATAGGGAAACATTCCATAAACATTTACCAGATGATGAAGCTAGCCCTACAGTAGCTGGCGGTTCTATTCCTGGAGAGTGAACAAGAAAAACGAGGTTAAAGGCAAAAGAAGGTAAACACTACAATCATAATTGGCACCACACTTCCCCGATTAAAAGTTTCAACACACACACCATATCAAGACAATAGATATGCAACCCTTGAAAAGTAGAAAACTAAATTAATGTCAAATGTGCAACGATAGCAGACACAATTCCTTCATTTCTTCAAACGGTTTGGTGAAGGCAAGCCTCAACGCGTGTTGTACCACTCACTTGGCATCTGCGGTAACGGACTGTTCACGTAGGTCTGCAGGTAGTGTTGCTCACATTCTGTACACGGGCACACACATGCATACACATGCACACACACATGCACAAACACACATGCACAAACACGGATACATAAACACAGATACACACAATACACAGACGCACAGTCGTATAAAGGGCAGAGCAACATATACGCACAAGGGAACGAAAAGTCACACCACACTTCCATCATGTGCATAACCCAACACAGCGGTCGCTTGCAACGCCAACTGTGTGGAAAGAGAGCTGAGCAAAACACCACAGCCCAGTCTACTGCTTACAACAACTACAACTTTACTTGAAGAAAGGATGGGTTGTTGATTTGATACACCGCACGCACGCACGTACGAGTACACATGATACGCCAAGCAGCACTCACCTTTCGCATCTTTGGATTGCACATGTTGCGCTATTTCTGGCCTGTGAACACACGTGCACGCAAACAGGATATCGTCACAGTTGGGGCGAAAAGCTTCAGATAAATTACATAACCGAAGAGAAATTAGCGGTAAACTTGACGATTACGTTGAAATCAGTCACTTCACCACTCCACAACGTGCTCTCGGCCGCCCCACTCCCCTTGCTTAGCACTACCATAGCAAGGACAATCCCAATTGAGATTCCAGACCCTCCAGACAGCTGTTCCCCTCCAACAGAGCTCAGGAGTGGAGGCAGTAGAAATGAATAATTGGAGGTGAATGAATGATATGTTATACAGGGCAAAGCTGGCACCATTGTGCACTTTATACATAGAAGTGTGGCATGGTCTGTCAAACGGCGGTCAAAACATGCTAAACATCACATGATTTATCTAGCTGCAAACAGTTCCGTCACATCTTGCAAGCCCATCTCCTCTCATCATCACCATCTGTTCGCGCCTTGCATGTGGCATGCCCTAAGAAACCGAGGTGCTCGAGGTGACAACAGGTCTAACAGAGGAGATAACGCAAGCGTGTATTGCCAGGACATGACACGCAGCACTGGAAATGGTGCAGGTAGCAATCCACAGACTGCAGCTGTGAGAGGCACTACTAGAAAGTGCGCAATCGCGCCAGTTTTGCCCTTTGGAACATGACTCATTCGCCTCAGATTAGATTAGTCACTATCTACTACCTCCGCTGACGACCTCTGTCGGAACTGAACAGCTGCCTGGACGGTCTGCCATATAAAACACTGAACGGAATTGTCCTCGCTATGATGGCGGCATGCAAGCAGAGTGGGTCGGCCGAGGCACATTGTGGAGTGGTGCAGTGACTGATTTTAATACAATAATAATACAAGATTTTGCTTTCTCGGCCCGCGTTCCACAAGGTGGCAAGGAAACCAAACGAACAAAGTCGACACATTGGGAAACCGGACACCTTACACATGGGAAAACTTACAGTATGGACTCATCATTGATAAAGATGGTATTTTTGCCCGTACAAGAGGCTTGAAACACTGGACTCGGATGGAGAGCCAAGGGTAAATTTATAGAAAAGAAAAAGGACCAAGGAACTACAAGTAGTAGTTAGGCCACACGTTTTTATTTCTATGTTTCTCGTCACCTGAAAATCTAAAAACGTATGCGAGAGGTGGAAATTTTTTTAAAAAAATGACCAAAAAATAAAAATAAAGGTTTACTAGACCTTTGTTCGCACTGAAATCCACCAATACACCATGCAAAATAGCATCCATACGACCATAGTTAGCAACTAGTACGTGGTAGGAGCTTCTGTCACAGTCTGTGCATGTGCAGCTAGATTGCGCACAAAAATGCCGACCTCGCATAATGTGTCGCGCAGGCCAGGCCACATATGTACATGTGCATGAGTGTGCTGGTCCCCACAAGCGCCCACATGCACAGTCAGTGCAGCACAGTTTTTTTTCTTTTTTTCTTCCAGACTCCTGAATCGTATGCGCGCGGGTGACGAGAAACATAGAAATAAAAACGTGTGGCCTTACGCTATAATGTCCACTAACACCACCAGTCACTAAACAATCAGCTCATGCGATAACATTGCACGACACTGACCGGTGGTACATGTACTGACGTTCTACAACGTCGGTCAGTGTCGTACAATGTTATCGCATGAGCTGATTGTTTAGTAACTGGTGGTGTTAGTGGACATTATAGCGTAACTTGTCGTTCCTTGGTCCTTTTTCTTTTCTTAGATTCTATTCCTACAATTTGGTATCATTTCGGGAATACTACCGTTTGCTGCAAAAACGAAATTTGATCCTGTACTGTCGTACCTGATTTCTCTTATTTTTCCTCTACTCTCTGCATGCTTTTCATCTTACCAATTTCCAAATCCAGAGTTCGATAAAGCCTTGATCAGTTTTAGCTCCTCTTCCGCTGTCCAGTTGTCCTCCAATATGGCAAAATTCAAATGCTGTACAAACGAAACAGTAGATGCACAAGTACTGGAAGACTTGAAGAGGAAACGCTGCACACATCACACATGAAGCATTCTGACACTGCGACGTACAGCACACATCGGTTAAAAGGAGGGCGCTCACTCGATCAGCAATGTTGTGAGCCTTGGTAAATCTCGGAAACACCCAATTCGAGCAGCCTACTCCACTTTCGCGAAGCTTAACCCAGGACAGCCAGCTGAAGTATGCATGTTAGCACCCAACATAACATTCTTGTACTCAGCAAACTTTGGAAAAGTTGCAGCCCCTTACGAAATTTGCACAAAATTGAAGTATTACCAATCCATGATTTCTTCATGCATAGAACACACACACACACACAGAAGGCAGAGGGCCTGGACGTTAAACTTACCACCAGCTGATACGCATGGTCACTCTGATGTGCCTTCACTTCCACGCCGCGAGAGAAACACTATATACAAGCACAGGCACAAAAGCAGCATGCATTACTGTATTTCGCACACAAGGCTGCAAGTACGGTAAAAGAACGCACAGCGGTAAAAGAACACACACGCCCGTGCGCGTACGCACAGACCACTTTTGTTACCCCTTCTTCCGTAGGCACAGTAAACCCTGTAATGGCGACCACTCGACCATGGCGACCACTTTTCCTTGTCACGGACGCATTCACATTCAAAACAGCTCGGATAAGGCGACCACTCGCTCAACGCGACCGACGACCACCCACCCGCGACCGCGTTGCACAGTGCTAGTACATGTACATGTCAGTGTATGCATTGCATGGTGTACCATGCATGGTAGATCTACACATCAGTGCAGTGCAGGACGTGTAGATGTGCGTGGTGCAGGCACGACACTTGACAGGTCTGAGGAGTCAGGACCCCAGGCGCATGAGTCGTGCGAGAGTAGCATACTAGTAGCAGTAGGTGTGTGCACTGTGATACACTGATCAAAATGATGTATCACATGTACTAATAATATTATGACGTGGATATGGTCACGTGACCCACTGAACCTGGATAAGAAGACCACCTGGCCACGGCGACCACCTTTTCTCGTCTCTTGAGTGGTCGCCTTAGACAGGTTTCACTCTATGTGCAATGTGATAAAATTGAATTAAATTAAAAAAAATTCACGGTTCGCGTCCCAGGCTCGGCTAGAGGCCGAGTTTTCCGCATCCGTAGGAACGCCACCACCCTTCAAGGATCAAGGCGCAGATGCAGCTCCTAAAGCGGTGGGAGGTGAGTAGATCAGCTCACCAGCAACTGGTCAAAGACCAAAAATCCCATTCACTGCATCCATGTTTTATGTTTTGTTTGAATTTATGCAAAAGAGAAAGACCAAGGAACTGTTTTTGTTTAAAAAAATTGTTTAACTCACCGATGTGCAGAGACGAATGTTCTCGCTGCACTCCTGGCAGAGAATGTAGGGCAGGCGAAGAGCAGCAGAACAGCCAGAGCACACCTCTACGTGCAGGAGACATTAACACAACAGACAAGCCAGAATTATTGATCAAAACCATATTCAATCTGCAGACAGCAGGGCTGTTTCGTTCTTTGTGAACTCATCGGAGCAGCACAGAGAAAACGAGGCCGAACCTGATACACTCACACACACACACACACACACACACACACACACACACACACACACACACAAACCTGATAGCAATGAAAAATAAAATAAATTCCAAAGCCAGATTTAAACCAGGCCCAAACATACCTACCAAAAACCATACAGAGTGCACACTTCACAGCCAGGGACATTGAACATGCCATGCCACGGCTACTACAGTACCGTAGAATCCCGCGGATAAGCCCACCCGCGTATAAGCCCATGCTCGCGCATAAGCCCAGGGAAAGTTCGAACATCACAAGGCTTCGTCGTACAAGCCCATGGGCCTAAATTGTACCATGAGTCCATAAATTATGGACTCTTGGTCGTACCATGTACATGTATGATGATTGTACCTGTACGTAGTACGAGTGTTTAGGGTTTTTTTTTTGTACATTTCAACACAATCATCGGTTGTTTTTGTTTGCACAGTGGCTTTCAGCAATGTACTTCTCACTTCATTGGCACTTTTCAATAGTACAATGTTGGTGTCGGCGGATAAGCCCATGCCCGCGTATAAGCCCATGTTCTTGTATAAGCCCACCGAAATGTCCTTGTGAAACAGATAAGCCCATGGGCTTATCCGCGGGATTCTACGGTATTGAGGGCTGGCACCGTTGGGGGTACTTCAGATGGATGACCATACCACCCTAAAATACCTTGACCCTATGTATCACTTTTTGCCCCAGGTACCAGTTATTCATATTATAACTATGAACCGGTAAAAAAATGTTGGCTCTATAATTTCAGGGGAGGGCCCATTGGGGGTACTTCAGATGGATGACCGTATCACCCTCAAATACCTCGACGCCGCCTCAACCCACACTGGCCACAGCACATCTTAGTGCAAATGAGTAGTATCCTGTTTGCCACGAGATACACAATAGATTGATAAAGGCATTCTGTGGTAATAGAATGGCTGAAGGTGTACAAGCGGAGTTAATTCGAGGGGGTGGATATAATTACTTCGCTCATCAATCACTTGTGATTACGTGGTACATCGTATTCGAATAGTAAAAGGTATAGATTCAGATAAATTCTAACAACTCGTCATTGTTCCGTTCACACCCACCCGTCCGCTCTATCGCAGCTTCCACTTCGGAGATTGTTATCTCCTTCGGAACAATATGCTGCCCAGAATCGTCCATAACACAAGGCTAAAATTCAAATTGAAGTGGTAAGACGCTGGAGGCCCGGTGAAAAAGTAAGCAAGACACGGAAAGCTGCTTCGTGTTCGGGTGAACCACTACCATCAACAGTTGTGAGAATGCAAAGACGACGTAAGCAAGTACATGTAACAATGTAGATCAAGTAAAGAAGTGAGTAATTTACAAGTAAAATAGGTTGTTGCTGTCAATGAAATCCAAAGAAGGCATTTTTGGTACGCTTCATGCGCCTCAGTTCAGGACTTCATACCGGTAAAAAAATCCGTGCAAAGCTATGCTGCTGACTTGTACTCGTACTGTTGACTGTTGTTGTAGTTGTACAGCTGTAGCAAGCAAGAGACTACATGGGCAGTACCAGGGTCGTAAAATACCGGTATTTTACGACTCCCTGGTATGTACGTACTCTTGATGCAAGCTCCAGCGCCGTTGTCATGACTCTATCATCAGTAGACTCTACGTAGATCTAGGTCTGCGACTCTGGTTGTGACGTCGTTGCAGTTTCTTCTCCTGACAAGTGACATGATGTGTTTCTTTGGTTCCAAAATTATTTCCTGTAGAAGATGAACGTCCATATTATGATTATATGCATACGAGACTCGAATGTAGTAGCTGGTCTGGTGTTTCTGTTAGTTTGACTGACTAGTGAGTTGCAGTTTGAAAGTATGAGCAGCGTTTTTGACCCTGCAGTTTATAATGAATCGATATCCATAAATTTGTGATCGATGCTTTTAAATATACCTCAATGGGGACTCAACGGATGTCCCTGGGCCTGCGAGCATGTTCTACGGCAGGTGATAACCCTTATCTGGTTCCCAATGCCGACATTGAGTCTGCGACTTCGTCAAAAGTAGCAGGGCTGAGAAAAAGATTCGCCAAAGGTGAAGGTCAGACAACTGGAAACTTCTATTCAAATTTGACAGTACGAGCATTTCACTCACCTATCAGCATTAAATCAAAGACAAAGGCTGACCCTGCTGCTTATGGTATAAAATATTAAAACTCAGCTGGCCATCTCCAGAGTGGTAGAGATTCAAGAGGGCAAAATGCTGGCGCTGGAAATGCCGCATGATTGTATGCTGGATGTTGACAGTAAAGCACCCATTGAGGGTGGTCTGCAATCTTCTTCCAACACAGAAGTAGATCTGGATAAGTGGAAGAAGTTTACTTATCAGTCACTGCACTTATCTTAGAGATAGGGCTTACGTTCAAACCAATCTCAACACAATATGCTGCAGACGTTGTCTGGCTGTGGGGCTTGGTCATGTGACTCGAGAAGGACCTGAAGCAGCATCATAATATGAGCAACAGTATAATACCCCCCCCCCCCCCCCCCGGTGTGCAACTCTTGATCAGTCCCTGTATGGAAGCCCGCTAGACGGAATTCCTCCATTGCGTCATTTTTTGGTGCAGTGCGATGAGTTGTGGCCGAATCTGTGCAAAAATGTGGAAATGTGCAGTCAACACGAGAAGCGTCCTCAGAGACTGCCTAAACTGCGATATTAATCCGATTTCTCGAGTAGCAAAACAAAGCTCCTGATGCCCGATCTCTGTATCTCTTGCGCTGTCCACAGTGCCACGTGCCTCAGCATGTTTCAGGAAACCTTCGAAGATAATTTCAACTGACTGTAGTGTACAAGCTACATGTATGTACACAAGTAACAGTGTCCTAACTGTTTCCTGTCAATGTGCGTCGTATGCCTGGCTCACACCACACTACATTGTAGGCCGATTTTTCGGCCAATGCTCCGACACCGATTTCAAACCAGCCGACTGTGTCTGGCAGACTCGGACTACCTCTACACACGGTCTGTTTTCTCTTACTTATTTGGCTGCAGACAGATGGAATATGGACTGGGACAGGCTGTCTTGCCATCACTAAAAGACAATAATGAAGAACAGTAGGTCACGGAAAACACCCTGTGAGAACGAAAACATGCCTGCGATGCTATGCTTCCTATCCAATTCCACCGGTGCACCGTAAGACACAGCCACTAGTTTCAAATTCAAAACACAGCTTTCGCAGCATAAAATGCATTTGACAAGTTATTTTTCATCCACTAGCAATCCTTGAAGCGATATCAAGAGTCCATAAACATGCACTCTTGGTGATATCCAACAACTAACCGTTACTTCAGAACATTGATGACCGAATATCCCGGTTTGGGATGCCATTTTACCGGTACACATTTGTTAGAAAATGACAGACCGATTATTTGAATACTGAGAATACTATGAAAGTAGGACAGGATTCAAGACACTTTTCAAAGTTGGATCATTCCCATTTTTTGACACAACGGGCATGAAGAATAGCACTTCCAGTTGCAACAATTCATTTGGATGTAGCTATACAAGTCATGTAGAAGTGGCTGAAAAAACGTCATTTTACAACAAAATCACCTCGTACCGTATTCACAGACGTAATATAAGCTATGTATAGCCCATGCGCTCGCTTATATCGGGATTTTTTAGAGCATTTCTTTGATGCTGTCCCTGCGATAACACCGTTCAATAGACACCCTTAGCAAACAACGTTATGTTGCGCGGTACAACCATATACGCGACACAAGGTGAACTGCGTACGGGCTAGCTGCGGACTATGCAATGTTTAATATAATAAATTCGACGGGGTTCGCGTACCGGGTAGGTCAAGAACAAGGAGTCGTACAACTCCCTGGTCAAGAAGTATATAATAACACATGGTACGCGGGCATTATGGCTGATTTATGCCCTAGTGCGTAGCCCGAGGTCGTGCACCGTAGCCCAAGGGCCGCAGGCCCGCGGGCTACGGTGCACGACCGAGGGCTACGCACTAGGGCATACAATCAGCCATAATGCACGACGCACCATGTGTTTATTATAGTTCATACATGCCACGTGCCTAGTTGTAGACAAATAAGGTAAACATGGTCAAGGGAAGGTTCCAATCAGCTGTCATATGAATGAAGGGTCAAACAAGATCGGAAGGAGCTTTCTCCGTGGAATGATAGAACGTTTTGTGTCAGATTTACTTGCAGTTCCAGGAATATGCCTTTGCATTTTGGTGCATGTTAGTGGTGCCTATTGGGCGGTACGGAAATTAGCTGATTCGCTGCTGCTTTGGAGTTAGTTGGACGCAAACAGCCTTGACCAAGTGGCACTAGTAATAAGACTAGTTTTGAGAGTACATTTTAAGTGTTCTTATTCGGAACAATGATACTTTTTCACATACATGTACATTGAGATTGTGTTCGCATTGCTTTCAGTTTACTTGACGTCCATATGTACACTGGACATGTAGCTAGGTACATTTGAAGTACATGTACATGTAGATGTAACTGTATATTTTGTAGGAGTTCGAGATACAATCTGATCTATTCCAGATACTTTGTGATGCATGTTCACCTGTCGACTTGTTCGTCTCTGACTTGAATTTAGGAATGCATTGTAATGACATGCTGTGTACTATTGTCGCGTTGTTATAAATTACTTCTCCTATGTCGACATTGCTAGTAAAATATAATTGTTTTGGACGGTGCACGTAAGTAGTTTCGTTTTGTGTGGTGTGTGCGAGTGCATGTGGTGTCCTTAGGAATGGTCCCATGTGTTCTACGTGCGCTGGAGTACTGCCAATTATGTACCAGGTCACTGCCCAAAAGGCATGGCTTGGTGCATATTTGGCAGTGCACCAGCGTACGTAGTACGCCTGGGGTCATTCCTAATGGGCATGGGTACGCCGTACCCGGGCATTATCGTCTGATTATAGAGAGGTTCTGCAAAACGAAAATGTGTACGAACTTTCGCTCTACGTCACAAAGTGAGAAACTTCGCACGAACTTTCGCAACTTTGGACGCGAAACTTGCAGGGAACGCGAAATGAACTTTCGTAGGAAGTTTCGTGAGATCGGATCATGGCGTACGTGCACTTGGCGCATGCAAACTACGAAAATGTGCAGAACACAAAGTTCGTGCGAAAATTCGTACACATTTTCGCAAGGCCTGTCGCGAAACTTCGTTCGAATTTTCGTTGTGCAGAACCTCTCTAATGCCCTGGTACGGTGGTGCTCTGATTGGCCAAATGCTAGCAACGACCTGACAACAGGCACGTGACATGTATGAACCACCTTTCCGCTTCCGTGGGACGCCACCACCCCCTGATCAGGCGTCAGATGCGGCTCCTAAACGGTGGGCCATGGAGGAGGATAGATCAGATCCACCAACCAGAGGCCAAAGGCCTCGATCCCATTTGCAGCACGGTTGGAAAAAAATCCTTCCAAGCAGGACTCGAACCCGGTACCTCTCGTTTCTCAATGATTGTCTTAGACCAACTCACTGTGCCTGCCTGAGCTGATGCAATATTTGGGCTATTATATGCAATATGTCCCATAACGTTTTTACGCTGCAGCTTCAACGCTATTTGGGTGATCAAGGTACGAGTACCGTAAAAAATAACGTTACCCTTGTTTGCTTTGTAATTCCAGAAGGAGTCGTCATTACAGGTACAGTGATACGTGAAATGTGAATTCTGTTCAGTTACAAGCCCAGGCGCTTACCGTAAAGCTGTCCCCTTGGAAAAACGCGATTCCGCGGCCGCGGCAAATTTCGCAGAAGTTGCCATCATCCGCGGAAATCACGGAATCCACACTTTTGCCCGCGGAATCTGAATTTTTTTAGGGAAAATTACTAAAATTACTACTCAGAAAGCAGCAGAAAAACTACTTTGTGATCTGTTTGAGCACATTTCTCTTGCCAGTGCAGGTCTCTCCATGACGATGATTCTTCACTCTTATTCAGTTTGTGACTGCAAAGGATAGTATGAAAAGTACTCCTTCATGCGACTACGGACTAGTTGTCATATCCTCTACGAGGAGGGTGAAAAACGTGCAGGAAATGCCGCAGATTTTTGATTTTACCGCAGAAAATGCCGCAGAAAACCCCCCTTTTCCCCGCAGAATTTGCCGCGGAATTTTGAATTCTTCGCCGCGTTTTTCCAAAGGGACAGGTAAAGTACCGTTGATCCGCCCCCCGCCATGTCGCTTCCCAGCTGGGTTTTCGGCAGGGGGCGGGAATTAGATCAAGGCTGTCAAGTGCAGTGCAATGTACAACAACGTAGAGGATCAGACTTGATGTGCTGAATTGTGCACATTTTCATCCTGGATTGGCAAGTATTGTGTACAGCAGTGCATGCGTTGGTTCAACATCGTATTTCGTTGTATACGCCGAAGTCGCTTCACAAGTAGAAAATCGACAGGGGGCAGGAATTAGAGAGGGGGCGGATCAACGGTACTTTACAGTATACGCAAAGAGTGCGCTTATATCCGGATTAGGCCTGTGCGCGTTTATGCACGTGAATACGGTACAGACACGCCCTCCGAAAGTAAATACTATTTTCCAGGTGGCCCCGAATTTTGGGCATGAGGGATAATCATCAAGTATATTCTTTGGCTTGGGCTTGATGGCAGTTTTAGCCATACACACATTGCATCCCAAAACACACAAATTGGAGTTATGATACGACATAGTCACGTAGTTATAGTTGAGGTCAAAACATCAATGTGGCTCTGCATCGTCAACTAATGAAGCCAAAGAGAAAAGACGAACAACAAGAAATATATCAGTATGACAATACCGGGAGCATAAATGCATAGTGTACAAATCTTTCAAAGATACTCAAACCGTCAACAAGTCCGAAGACTTTCCTAAAATAGAAGATGCGTGCATATAAAATAGCTTGCAATAGGCATATGTACTAAAAACTACCGACCGCATGCAATCCGTGCGGAGAGCACTGACAAACAGAAGACGGGCAGAGTGAGCTGGTGAAACTCAGCATCAAGTACAAACAAGATGTTACGTGTGAGCAATCAGCAGGTTCACTGTGACCTGCCTGCACTAAGTATTTCTCTGGGCCGGGATTGAAAAAAACGAAAGTAGAATGAAGATGCACACCCTAACATGGCTGTTTGACAAATCCTTTGTACAGGCAACGACATCAAGACGAATTAGACAGTAAAAAATAATGTTCACTTTGGTGTAGGTGGAGAGTATTTGTTTGTACATATAACAGCTATTTACAATGCAGAGTCGAGGCGGCCAGTCTACCAGAACGGACACCTAAACAGCAGAACATCAACACAAAGAACACAATCAATGAAAAAATGCAATACTCTTCTCCAAAAGGAAGAAGGCACAATGATAACTGATAATAAGCAAACACAAAACTGCATTGAAAGGGAAAAGAAGGAACCTGGTAAAGACTCTGGTAAAGACTCTGGTAAAGACTCGCATTAACACAATTCACCATAGCAGTCGATTCCTTGCTCTACGTGGAAGGAAGATAACAGAAGATGGTCTACTCTACATGCATGCATAGAAATCAGCATGCAGGCCAGTAAGCATTTTCGTTGCACACTCGCCTCTGCTTAGAATGTAAATGTCCGACATACTAACGACTCATAGCACCATTGTATATAGTGAAACGAGATAGCGGTACGCGATTGTAATATTGCGGTTTGGAAACGCCAAACGACAGGTCGGTATGCCCTGCCGTCTGGAGCTGAAACCGCCAGAGGCAAGAAGGGAGAATGTTAACATTACAACCAGCCTCAGTAATAGGACCCCCTCCCCAAAAATTGCAAAAAAGACTCACCATCCAATGTAGCACTGGCAAAGGTTCTCATTAGCAATGGCCTGCTTGATGAGCAGATTGACCTGGGTGCGAGTGTCACAATAGTCAGACTCAGCAAAGTCATGACCAGTGAGCTTGTCACGTACTCGCTTGGTTATTTCAAGGGCTTTCTTATTCATCACCTCTGGCGGCTGAAGTCCATCTGCAACAAAAATGCAAGGAACAAGAAAGATTGGTCAATCAGAGACTTGCTCCCCTGCGCATATTCCCCTGTATCTAGTTTGAGAAAAAAATGATCAAAAAATGACAGGAGAAAAGAAACAACGGTTGCTGGATGACTACGGCATGCCAAGCTAAAAAGTATGGGCGACTTACGACTGTTCTGAAACGAGACACTTGACACTTTGTAGGATCTACTTGGCTGCGAGACATGCATCATGGAGTCATTGTGTTGCAATCCAGAACCTGGTATAAGCACAAAGGAAAGATTTGTATTAGAACACAATTCACTATAGCACAAGTAGATTCCTTGCAATAGTGTTCTACATGGAAGGAATATTACAGAACAAGTTCTACTCTGCATTCATGCACAGAAATCAGCATAGCAGGCATTTTCGAGGCACACTCAATGGCACAAGCAATGTAAATGTCCGACATACTAACGACTCATAACACCATTGTATTTAGCGAGACGAGATAGCGGTATGCGATTGTAATGTTGCGGTTTGGAAACGCCAAACGACAGGTCGGTATACCCTGCCGCCTGGAGCTGAAACCGCCAAACAAACAGGAGCATGTAACATAAAACCCATCCTCAGTAACATATGGAACTGGACACTCACCATCTTCTTCGATGTTGTTGGTGCTGGTTTGAGGCTCTTTCTTCGGACCAGCGGCTGTAAACAAAGGAAACAAATTGAGCGAGCTTATTGAAGGCTGATAATTTCAAAAGGGGAAAGACTGAACACGTGATGATATGCAACAGCAAAATCAGAGAAATGCATGTGTGCAAGAGTTTCACAGGGGCAGAAAAGAAACAAGACACCGAGAGACTTCATACTAAAGAAAAATGAACTTACTTTCCATGGTTAGCCTCCAGTTCAACAGCGGGTCGTAGACAAACGCCTCGAGGACGGCCATGACACTGTCCTTGTTGTCACGCAATACACGCATAATGCTGTGACAGGTGATGCGGTAGTTGCCCTCAATGCCAGTCACCTCCATGGCATTCGTAAGCATACGAGTAAGGCGGAACGGGATTTTCTCTGGATACTTCTCACGAGTCATCGCCACCTGATACACACACACACGACCGTCCCCAAACACAAAGCTAAGATCGACTGTGAGCAACATATACAGCAACTATGAACTATGAACATAAAACCTACAACGGTAACAAAAATCCAAAAATCACACACAAACATTCGAAAAGCTGTCTGAGGACTTGGAGCCGCGGCAGCTTGATACGAACTGCAACGGATAATGACGCCCCGGTAGCTTGGTAGAGCATTCGCTATATGCAGACTGGACAGGGTAGAAAGCGGCCAAGGTCCATAGCAAAACGCCATGTCCTTGGCACGCGCAGCCAAAAAGCTCAGGTTGGTAGAGGCCATGCATACGAGATGCAAGACGACACCTGCCCACCATATAGCCCAGAATGCAAGGCGTGTATGTGTTTTCACAGCTACTAATCTGAATTACCTCAAAGCAATCGCCAAAGTCAATGTGCAGGATTCGTCCCGACAGCCTCTCCAACATCAAGTTCGAAGGATGCCTGTGAACATGAATGAAAAGAAAGAAAAGTGAAGTAAGGAATGGTGGAGAAAAGGAAACATAATGGACAATGAAGCATTAGAAAGTGTGTTCTCAGACAAATGCCTCGCAATAAGCATCAAAAGGCTCCTTGTAGCACATGCTCAGAAGGCCATGCATAGACATAAAACATGGCAATGCAAAACCAAGGCACCAAACACAGTACAGACAAGAATTCAGACTCGTCATCGAAATCATCAACGAACACAAAGACTGCAAGGGATTATACAGCATGCACAGCCACAACATCTATGGTACAACATACCGGTCGCCGAGACCCAAGACGTATCCAACCATTGACATCACAGCCAAGGAGCGAGTAAAGTTTGTTCGGCGGTCGAACCACACCTGCAAAAAGCAAGCAGCAGAGCCACACACATTGAAAGAGAACTACAATAGTACTTGCCAACCCCAAAACAAAATAACTATTCAAGATCACACACACAGACAACATGCCATGATAAACAAATACATGTGGACGCAGGTGAACCAGATCTCTTACAAGCAAACAATAATTTCACAACTAGAATGTTGGCCAAAGCAGTGAATTGGGTCACACAGGATTTAGTGAGCCAAACTAGTCACCACCCAAAGGACTGAGTTCAATATCTGTGGGTAGGTGGGATGTGCGGGTGGGGGGTATGAATACAAGTGTTAACCGCACAACCCTAAGAGCCCACAACCAAAGAGAGAAGCAAGTAGTAACAAAGCAGCACAGTGCACAGTTGCTCCTACCCGAACCAAAAGGCGGTGTCCAACATTCAAAAGACACACATACACACACCAATGGAAACGAGGCACGATCAAACTCACCTCGGAGCTAGGACTTTTCAGCCAAAGCACTTTCGCCAAGTCATCACCATCTGTATGGGAGATTGCATGCTCGAACACTTCCACCTTCTGCAGTACAGTGAGGTGGTCATACTCTGGGGCCATCTAAAGAAAGATTAAGCACACAAGAGATAACATGCAATGATAAATATAAGTGGATGCAGGTGAAGCGCAAAACGAAATGAAGGAACACCTAGCTATTGGCTTGCCTTCTGAAGAATCAGGACTTACAAGCAAACAATTATTTCACAAGGTAGAATGTTGGCCAAAGCAGTGAGTTGGGTCACACAGGATTTAGTGAGCCAAACTAGTCACCACCCAAAGGCCCGAGTTCAATATCTGTGGGTAGGTGGGATGTGCGGGTGGGGGGTATGAATACAAGTGTTAACCGCACAACCCTAAGAGCCCACAAACAAAGAGAGAAGCAAGTAGTAACAAAGCGGCGCAATGCTCTTACCCGAACCATAAGGCGGTGTTCAACATTCAGAAGTATTTTTCTCTTCTCTCGATAGTCTCGTATGAGTGCATGTAGTGTATCACAATGGGGCACCCAGCCAATCAGACCAGAGTTGGTAGACAGTGGAATCACAGAGTATCGCAAGATGCTCAGGTGGCGCTTGAATGTCTCTGGGTCGTTGGCAAGTAGTGTGTTGACTAGGCCAAACAGCTGCATGACACGCTCATCCTGGCGCAGATCCTCGTGTCCCTTCAGCAGAAACATGAACTCTGCACCATCACTGCCGTACAGTGATAATTTCCGTGGTCTCTGTTTTGACGTGATCACGTTTAGCGCTGGAGCAACCTTCTGGATACGCACAATGGGCTTGTTTGCATCATACGAACCAGGCACAGCCAGCTCAAGGTCTCGGCACGATAGTAACTTGGGAGACACATACTGCAATTCAAGTGATGTAAGCTGCAAGGAAATCAAAAGACAAAAATGCACTGACATTAGGAGTGCATATAGGATCCACATTAGAAAATACCAAGAGTACATTATTGCAAAGAAAAACGTGTGACGCTTGACACCTGTACACATGTTGTAAATAACTGGTGCAAGGAAAATTGCATCATAAATAATGACGTCAACTTGATATTCTGTCAGGAGGGGTATGTGGGAGTTGCACAGTCGTGGGGGGGGGGGGGGTATGTACTCTTGACAATACAACGGTAAGGCATCTAGGTAGAATGGCCAAAAAGAACAGAGAGAGGGTATAGACTCAGTCATGCTGATAGAATAACACATCAATATGAGGCACCCACCTGTGGTAGCTGTTTCGCAATTCTACGGAAGATGTGATAGTACAAGTCCCAAGCTTGAGTAAGATCTTTCTCGTTTCCATACTTCTTGTAGCGCCGACCCCATTCATATGCTTCCTGCAAGTCTCGACCATACGCCTGAAAGACGAGCAAAGATCAGACAACATTTCAGCTATGTGCACTCGACCTAAACGACAATTCAGCAGGAAACAAGTCCCTGCCAGACTACGATTATCTATTGACGATCCATTTCTATTCAAGAGAAAAGGAAACCCAATGGACAATGAAAGTGTGTTCTCAGACAAATGCCTCGCAATAAGCATCAAAAGGCTCCTTGCAGCACAGGCTCAGAAGGCCATGCATAGACATAAAACATGTCAATGCAAAGCCAAGGCACCAAACACAGTGCAGACAAGAATTCAGACTCGTCATCGAAATCATCAACGAACACAAAGACTATGTGGGAAATTCTTGCACTAAACGTTTGACCATTCTGTGACTAGACTACAAACCTGATGGAAAGAAGTCTCCTTCAGAGTCTGGGCGCCTTTCTGCACCATGACGTGGAGTGGATCCAGGACTTCAAACATAGGTGTAATCTTCTGTTCACCAAAGTACAACCGAGAAGCATCTTCCAAGCCTTCATGCCACTGCTCATGCCAAAGAATGGCAACACGAATTAGCTCCTCGCTCACCTAAACATACACGGATAAGAAAAGAGGTACAAACTTGTCAAGTACAAATATACACTTGGCATTATTATAGGCTTTTCCGCATTGGCTTGGCTAGCCTTCGCAGAAGCTGCTCCATGATGACGTGACAAAACAATGAATGCATGTATATAGGATCTAGGACAGAAAAATGAGCTACCAGTTGAGGAACACATGCTGTAGGGTAGTAAACTGCAGAAAAATTCTGGGGTTAATGTCCATGATAATTATATTTTAGCAAAAGGAAACACAAAATGCCACACAAAAAAACACATTGGGTAAACATACCATAATGGCTTGGCTGACTAGTGTGTTGCTGTGCTCACGCATGTTCTGTAGAACTAGATTGGCGGCATTGCGACGTGCCATCACTGTAGACTTTGATGCAACCGTCAGTGGGTAGATTAACGCCTGCGGATGATGCTTGCCAATGTCCATCAACAGGTGGTGGATCAAACGTCCGACAAGATGACGTGGCGTGTCAATGCGAGCAATAAGCTGGGGGATCACCTGGAAAAGAAAGGTGCAAAGGAGGCAGAAGAGGAAACATTGACACTCCGGAAATTGATGAGAATTTTTTTGAACGTCACCAGCTGGGTCAGCCACTTCTTAGATTGTGTCAATTCGAATCCCGGCCAAGGGATATTTCCAAACCACAGGGAAGATAGCTCATCCCACCCATTACCATCATAAGCACAGACCTATCGTTCACAGAACTACATGTATATGCTTACCTGAAGCCATGTATCGATCTGGATGGTCTTTATTCCTTCTTCCAGAGAATCATGAACATCGGCCCAATGACCATATTCGAACCAAAGTGTAAGCAGCCTACACAGACACAATAATAATACTTGTTAAGTTCCAAGAAAAGACAAAAAAAAGGAAGCTAACACAAACATTTGTGCAGTCAGCTGGTAGTGCATGTTGTAAAATCATCGACATACTCAGAGAATATGGTGAGGTTTTATGCATCATCCTGCTCTCCTTTGGAAGAAGTCATTCTTCACTAGGTCAACTAACCTGAGAGTGTCCTGCAATGAATTCATAGCCTTCTCCTGAGACAGGGAGATAGATCTGAAGAAACCTTGGACTGCAGGAACAGTGTACTTGTGTATCCATTCAGTGGCAAGTTTGCTAGACGAGGAAGGCTCTCCGCTTGCTTGCTTCTTGTAGTGCAGTACAGCCTCAAAGTTCATCATGGCCCATGAATGCCAAGCCTACACACAGATCGAACCAGAAAAGGAACCAATGAAGATATTACCTTGTTCGATGGGTGTGAGTGACAGTCAAAACAACACGTAAGGGTTGTGTTCTCAGACAAATGCCTCGTAAATAACTTCAATAAAGTTCTTGAGTGAAGAGCACGAAAGGCAGAGGGACAACATAAAACACATTGCCACTCCACCTGGGTTTCATACATTTCCATCGCAAGAGTTCAGACTCGTCATCGAAATCATCACCGAACACAATAGTAAGACAAGCGGCAAGTTACTAATAATATATTACCTTGTAGCAATCCCTGTCAAGCTGAGTTGCTTTTTCGTAAGATGTCAGGATGTGCGGGATTGTGTCTTCATTGTAGCCATGCAAAGATGACTGCCAATCACCCAACTTCTTGTACAGTCTAGATGAGAAAGAGTAAAGAGAAAACAAAAAGAATCTATTTACGGCAAATACCAACAGAAAAATTCAACATTAAAATACAATTTTCCACTGTTTCTTGTAGCAGGCTCACCAAAGATACACGGGCATACGCATAGAGAATGGGTACACATATTGAAGATACATACTTTGAGAGAAGGCTTTGTGACACTGCAGGCCGGCGGGCAAGGCCCGATGCGTTGATAAGAGCATTTGAATCAACCTTCTGAGAAGCTAAGACAAAGGCATCCAACTGGGCATAAGCATCAGCCTGCATAGAACGAACACAAGAGTTCAAGAATGACAGCTATAATTAACTACACTACTGGGAGCCCTGAGAATAGTGTACAATGGGTTATAGTACAACTCTCAGGTGGTCACATTGCACAGACAACCAGTCTTATGTTATTGCATGGCAATGTAAATGTCCGACATACTAACGACTCATAACACCATTGTATATAGCGAGACGAGATAGCGGTACGCGATTGTAATGTTGCGGTTTGGAAACGCCAAACGACAGGTCGGTATACCCTGCCACCTGGAGCTGAAACCGCCATGTGAGAAGCAATTTACACACCCATACAGATACACTGGCTGCAAAACACACAGCACCACTGACCTGCTGGCCTGATTCCCACATGTGCTTGATGAAGGCAAACGCCACAAGTGGGTGCGCACTGAGCAACGGCTTTTCGGGCGCTGTTGGCTCTACTCCCAATAGCCGGCACAGGGTTTTCCGTGAGAGCTCCATCCGGCCACTCTTCCTGCAAAGACTAGCAAACTTGATCAGAGTGTCGATGTTGTCCTCATCAGCAAGAACGAGAGAGCGGATACGCAAGATGCGCTGCCAATCCTCAACATTCCGCTCACAGCCCTGTAGTAGGATGCAAAATTGCAAAACTATGAGTACCTGTTACGCATAAAGACGGCGGTCATGCAGATTATTTATAAAGCATATAGACCCAGGGAGTAATAGCCACCTCACAATACAGAGGAGCTACATTTTATTGGGACTGTCAATGTCGGCAAGCTACGAGCCTTGTGACCAACAGACACAGCCACACGGAAAAGCAATGCTTGCCAATATAATCATACATGAACACATACACAATAATCAGTAATTGTTTCAAAAAAAGGAAAATTACCTGCAAACGATCCCACCAGATCTGTTTGATAACGCTGCTTCTTTCTGGGTTGAGTTTGTACCAGACAACTTCCTCAAGCTCTGAAAGCATTTGCACACACACCATGCCCTGGAGTGCGAAAGCAAAAACAGTAAGGCCAATATTTACAATCAGAAAATATGAAAAGGACACAAGCTCCTGCAACACAATACAACACGATTATAGAAAAATCCTATGAACAAGATGTACCTGCAGATTACAACACGTGCACCACATAACGAGATGCCAATGCGAAAAGCTGCAGTTCTCCTTTGCCCTTCACATGGAATCGATCACGCAACAAGAATGCATGTCAACTATGGGTGAGGGCTTGTTGAACAGAGAAAATAATAAGCAAATGATATCTGTCGCAACGTTGTGTGGATGCACTACTTACTCCGTATGCTCTGTTGTAACTCTCGCCAACCATGGCTGTGAGCTCACTGTCAATGATGTCACGAGCAGTGTCTATACACTGTGCAAACACAGAGGAAAGTCAAAACCAATCGTAAGAACATAGCTAAATGTATTCCCATCGCAACAATGCGGAGAAAAGTAAACCATATGCCTTGGTCAGTTCAAGGAAGGCAATTGTCAAATATCACACTGAACATAGTCCAGTCATACAGTGATAGACAAATAGAATACATCCTTCCAAGGCAGGAAAAACTGTGGCGGGGAAGAATGAAGGAGAGAAAACGTACATACCTGCTGTGCTACATCGAAGTGGTTGTTGTGAACAGCAATGACAGATCGATAGAAGGCACCGTCATACGTATCTCCAGGAATGATACACGTGTATTCATCCATTGATGTCCAGTTGCTCAGACCCCAAGAGGCCGACGCTGCCATGCGAGCCATTTTCAGCTGCATGTCCTCAGACGCGATTGACCACTTCTCCCGGGCTACATTGTACAGACGGTGCCATTCGCCCATGGCTTCCAGGCAGCGCATTCTGCCCAGAGTCAACTCGGAATTGTGTTCATCCTCTTCCTGGCGCATTTCATACAGTGCCAGCGCACTGTTCCAATCACGGAGCTTCTCGTACCAGGTCTCTTGAACACGCTGAACAGCACAACAAAAACAGGAAACAGGTTAACCCTGCAATTGGTGCAAAGGGCCAAAGGAAATCGTCCACCACAGTACAACTTGTGTATGCATGTGACAGGCACCAAGTCTATCAAAAGGCCAAAAGTTTTACTTCAGAACCACCAAAATTAACAAAGGCAACTCGCTCAAAATTACTCACCAGATCTGTGCCGTGATGTCTATTGGCATAGTCAAGAATACCAGATGCTGCTTCAGATAGACCCAACTTGTTGTTGATACTGATTAGTGCCTCGAGTGTTGCCGTGGTTGGTCCAGCGTGGAACTCTTCCTCCTTGTAGTGCAGCGCCTTAGCATAGGCCCGGACCTTCATAGCACACTCACCCATCAGCTGAGTGTTCAGTGGTAGAGAGCCCTATTGCAAAAGGAAGCAATGCAAATTACACAACTAATGAGGAAAAATAACATATTGTAGGACAGCATGCAAACTCTCATGTACTCACACTGCACAGGCCACCGGTGTAACTAAACCCGATCATGTTTCACTTGGGCGAATGGTCACATTGCACAGACAACCAGTCGTATGTTATGTCATGGCAATGTAAATGTCCGACATACTAACGACTCGTAACACCATTGGATATAGTGAGACGAGATAGCGGTACTCGATTGTATAATGTTGCGGTTTGGAAACGCCAAATGACAGGTCGGTATACCCTGCCGCCTGGAGCTGAAACCGCCAGAAACGAGCATAGCCATGGCCAATAATACCACCCACTAGTAAACATACCCATTAAACATACCACCCACCCAGTAAACATAGTACAGCTTTAGTACACAACATACCTTGTCTGTATGCTCCATGAACTCGGCCAGGTTGAGCAAAGTCTGTGTGATCTCAGGCAAGCTTTGAGTCTGAAGTGCCATCTCCAATGCATGCACTAATTCGTCTTGCTGTTGCTCAGCCAGCTCCAACCAGCAGGATACAAATGAAGCATTAAACAGATCCCTGAAAGCAAAGGAAAGAAGACGACCAGATGTGTTGATAAAAAAGTCCGAAGCTGTGAATACACCAGATACAATCACATGAAAGCAATCAGCTGGTAGTGCATGTTTTAAAATCACGGAGACCCTCAGAGAATAGGGTGATGATTTCTACATCATGTTGCCAACAAAACAGAAAACAAGAAACCTCTGAAGACGTACTTTGCAAGTGGATTGTAGGCATCAGCAACTGTGCGACAATTGCGGATGAATGGTGATGAAGACTCTTTCAGAAACTCCACACTCAAACGGCGCAGCCACTCTGCCCAGTCCTCCTTTGACACTCTGGATGAAGTTTCCCATGCCTGTAAAAGGAAAGGATAAAGTACAGATATAGCAAAACATAATGAATGCAAGACAGTTAAACTACGAAAGAGGCAGGAAATCTGTGAGTAGGCTGGTGCACACAAACAAAATATGTTGCTACCCTATATATCGCGATATTGTTTGGAAAACAGTGAAACCAGTCAGTCCAAGGATCAAAAACATGCCATGCTGAGAGTTCTGGTTTATCCCCTTTCAAACATGTGCCATGGTCGCGTACCACTTGCAGATTCAATGAATGGACGTTGTGCTTTTTTACACTGGAGTCTGAAGCATCTTCAGTTGTCTCTGGCTTCATAGACACTTTCGTTCGTCGATAACACGTGACTGATGTGTCGTCGGTCAATGGCTCACGACGCACTACTCTCATCACCAGGCTATCGTAATCCTGATGCTGGATTTTGTTCTTCTGCATCACCTGCACAAACAAGTACAGCATAAGAAACGACAAGTCAAGAATGGAAAAGAAAAATGTGCAACAATGGATGCTCACAGAAGTAATCAGCTGGTAGTGCATGTTTTAAAATCACGGAGACCCTCAGAGAATAGGGTGATGATTTCTGCATCATATTATATATATACAAATGAAAAACGAATGGAAAATGTCTTACCCGACTGATAAGTGGAATGAAGTAGGTGTACTTCTGACCAAGCACAAGCACCATTGAGCACAGTGTCGCCATGGCCAGGGAACGAAGAGCAGCAACATCGAGAATGCGAACAATCGGGTGGATGATACACGAAGCAAATTCCGACAAATCAACAACAAGAAAGAGAGCGTTGAGCGTCTCCAAAGCTTTCCTGCACACAAAGAAGAAAAGAAACTTGTTCAGCAGTTTCCTCAGGAGGGAAGCATTATAGCTGAGAACAACCAAAGGTCAGAAATGGATAAGGCTAGGAAAGGTTGTTCTCAGTACCGCAACTAGCAGTTCGAAAACCGTGGTAAGCCCATCATCCCTACGAAGGATATAAACACAGGAAAAAAAAAGGGAAAGCGAGCTTACTTGCGTATCTCCATGGACATTTCCGATGATTCAAACAGTTTGACAATAGAAGGTACGATCAGGTACAGGTAGTCGTCAAGAGTCGGACCAAGCTTCGTCAAGGCAAATAGAAGCTGCAAGGGAAGGAGAGAAAAATTCAGTATGTTATCAACCCACACCATGACCACCAAAGCATGCAGAAGTGGACTGGCCAGACTTAAGAAAGTTAGGAAAGGCTGTTTTACTACCACAAATATATTATTAGACAACCATGGCAAGCCAATTAGACCGGTATTGTAGACAAAGCACCAACTAGATTCAGAACTGACCTTGTCAGTAATGGCTCGATTTGCACTCTTGTCGTGGCTGCAAATCTTGAGGATCTGCGGCATTAGCCATGGAACATAGACCTTGAACTCGCTACCAACTGAGCTAGCAATGTCTGTAATAAGCTTGATGATACTCTCCTGTAGCCGAGAACTGTCTGGTGTGACCTGCCAAAACTCCTGTAGGCAAGGACAACAGAAAAACAGCAAAAAAGTAGCCAACAGTCAGGGCATGTTCGGGGGCAACCAAGGAAAAACAATTATGGGTGAAAAGAAGAGGTGGAGTCGATAGATGGGAAACTGTTCTCGACTTGAGGCACATTTTACAAGTAGTTTCTGCAAGTACACGTGATCCAGGACTTTGTTTCACAAAGCTGAGGTCTGTTCGCACGATGAATCCTACAATGTGGTTCTATTGTCATGCATGAGGGCAATGCCAGTGAATCAAAAACATACCTTGATCACCGTGAAGATGTCTTTTAGGTATGGCTGAATGTTGCCCTTTACAATGGTGGCCAGCACAGACAACTGCTGAAAGAGAAGCTGCAAGGCAAAACAACACAACATCACACAATCAGCTGAAAACATTCATGATGATTCCCAAGCCCAAGGCATGCAAATATAGTAGAGTGCTGGCCTTGGTCAGTTCAAGGAAGGCAATTGTCAAATATCACACTGAACATAGTTCAGTCATACAGTGATAGACAAATAGAATACATCCTTCCAAGGCAGCTTTCCAGGGTGACCAAATACATCCAACAGGTCAGATTGATCACACCACACCATTCCTCATTAAATTCAGAAAAGCAGGAAACTACATGGCCTAATCTGCAGTGTTTTTTAAAACTGGGACACTATCTTCATTCATACAACACACGTACCTCACGACTTTCTTCGCAGCTGTGAATGACACTCAGGTAAGGAGGAATAATCTACAGAACACATATAAGGAGAACAGATTTAATAAGACAAGACAAATGATCACAGAATATGTTCCCTATCACTACGGATAACAACTTCAACCATGGCTAACATAAAAATCCAGAAGTATGCAACTCTGCAACTGCATTTATTGTGTGCTCACTGTGGAAAAACACCATGCGTTCCGTCGGGTTGAGATTGAGTGAATGAAACAGTCAGTGCAGATCCACAGATACAGCTTTATGCAGCAAAATTTACAAATTGACTTACATGGCCGAGGAATGGAATGCACAGTGCACCAAACGTACGGATATTCGCTGCAAGTGCCTGCACAAAGATCAGGACACACAATGATTTTCTGCATGTTATATACCGTAGAATCCCGCGGATAAGCCCATGGGACATTTCGGTGGGCTTATACGCGGGCATGGGCTTATACGCCAACACCAAGTAACATTCTACATTCAACATTCTACGGTATACGATATATGTACGATCATATGGACATGCATAAAACGCACACTTGAACCAAGAACCCTCCTAAAAATACCAACACAGGGTGGAGCATATGAAATATCCTTACATGAATGCATAGAATGTGATGCTCCTTTAGTGTGCTGTCCTTGAGGATTTTCATCAGCGCTGAGAAAGCAACTATGGGGAAGAAATCGTCAAGCTGACCACTTGCAATCGTAATAAGCATCTCAGACGCATTCTCATACGCTGGAGATAACACAACCAGATCAAAGAGAAGCAACACATTACCAACGACGAAACATGTAACAGAAACCCAACGAGCATGACCACACAAGAGCCATTCCAATCAGCTGGTAGTGCATGTTTTAAAATCACGGAGACCCTCAGAGAATAGGGTGATGATTTCTGCATCATATTGGTAATGGTTATCAATGTGAAAAGGTTGAAAATTACTCAAACCCACCTTGGTCTTTCTGCTGAACATCTCTTGATCTACTGTGTCCAACACCACTGATGAGAATCTTGTACTTGTACGGATCCAGGGCTCCAAGTAAGCCAAGAACTCGCATACTCTGCAGGGGCCAAGCAACGGATAAGGAACAGAGCATAAATTTCCACACACATTATGTTGCTGTTGCGAGAGTCCGAGACTCTCATACCCCAGCATCAAATTTTTGCTAAATCACACTAAATCACACATTGAAAGCTCAAATTATAACCCACCTCTCTACGAATTGTTTGCACAGTTTCGGTCTTCAGAATGTTGAGCAGGACTTCGAGAAGATGGGGATATCGACAATACGGCTCACTGATACAGCTGCAGCAGGCAACACAACAATTTGGTTTGTTAACCGTTGTAAAGTATATATATATAATTATACAAGAGAAACAAAGGAAATTGAGTCAGCCACTTCTTAGATTGTGTCAATTCGAATCCCGGCCAAGGGATATTTCCAAACCACAGGGAAGATGGTTCATCCTACACAGTGTACATATACGGAGATAGCAAGCGATACGTACTCACCCAGTACTGCCGACAACTTGACCCAAAGTCCACAAGGCAACCTGGAAGTAACAATAGCCAGGTCAAAAAATACATTAGTGGCGCCAAAATACCATACGTACATACATGCCTTGCAAGGAATACGTCGCCATTGTGACACATAGCAAAATCAGGCACAAGCGTATACTGCAAGATCAGATGCACAATTCCTACAACCTCTCTTCATGAAGTGCTCATTTAGAAAATTCTCTGAGATAGATCTCAGTCCGCACGCGGTAATCATAGCACATGAAGGGATGAAGGAGGTTAATGCACCCCATTAGAAGATGATCACTTCACTATAAAAACAAAAATTGAACTGAAACATACCTCTCGTTTTCCGGACGAGATACTGTCTTGGAGCATGCTGATAATGATAGGAAGAAGGTCGTCAACGTACGGCTTCATAGTGACGCCCGACACCTGAGGACAGTGAATTCAAATAGGTCTTGTTGAGAAACAGAAATCACGGAACTAAGATAAACACCACATTTCAATTGTACAATATGTTGCTGTAATTTACAACACTGGCTCCACGTGCCACCGGCTACGATAGCATTACGGAACAAATGCGAAAAGATACAGCCAGTCACTATCCCCTACCACTGGAATCACTACACAACTTGGTAATGTGAAGCAATTCTTGCACGAGGGTAAACAGGCTAAACCATGATGCAAATCATTGAATTACCTGTGCTTGCTCTCCAATTGCAGCCAGAATGTTGATGGTGACGGCAGGATTAGGATCCGCTTCCTTGAGTTTCGGTATCAAGGCCTAAATAAACGAGAAGATCAAAATTTGCTCACATAGAAGTCCCATCCAAACCATAGGAAGTTAAATACTCTAGAAAGTTAACCAAAGCCACTCTAGAAAGTTAGCCAAAGCCACTAGAAAGTTAATGAAAGATGCCCTGAACTTCACCTAGCAAACGGATTGCTGATGGGAGGCCAAAATCTTACCAACACCATAGCAGTTGGCAGATCATGTTTGCCTACCCAGCACATTTGCTCTTGCGCCACCAACTCACCCCAACATTGATAAACAAAAACCAATGATGGGGCAGAACAAGGGGCGCAAGATGAGTCCTAGTATTATTTGAAGGTAAATGAGTCAAAAAAAGCTCTTGAACAATTTCCAAAAATGGTAGTTTACAGGCAAAGTTCTTCGAATGTGTTTTTGAAAAATGGACCATTAACTCACATCAAGAATGGACTTCATGTACGGTTTGATCAAACGCGGAGTGTTCGATATCAAGTTACTCAGTAGCCGAGCTGCTTGTTCCTTGTTACGACCATTCCCGCTGAACTCCAAATCTGTCAGCAGCTAACAAAGAATGAAGAAACAAGGTGATCAGGACTAAGCATTTTCAAACTAGCCCCATGATACGACAAACAAGGAATGCATTTACAAAAGGATGTAACAGCATGCATATCCCACGTGATAAGCATTGGACATTGAGAAAGAGGTCCTCGGAACAAATCACGGCAAGATACAGGTAAGCTGATGTTGATATACCCTGGCAGCCGGCAAAACTGTTAATGGCAACCGTACCGGCAGACAGCAGTGCTTGAAGAGAGAGAGAGAGATGGATATTGCGAGAATGTCACACCAAGCTCAAAGACAAGCACTGCATACCAATACGGTGCAGCCTACAGAGCGCCACTTACTGCATAAGGGATCTTTGGCAGAAAACAGAATACACTATGGTACCACACAAGTACAATCTCTGCCATATAGTACAGGACACGAATGCCCCAATCACATGCTCACCTGGATGAGAAGCTTTCTCAGAGATGGCATGATAAAAGCAGGGTTGAGGTTGCTCAGCCGCCCGATGGTGCACACAGCCAGTTCGCGGATTTCAAACTCCTCGTCGTTTAACGCCACAAACAGAGCATCCAAGTTCTCATGCTGAGCCAGAAAGTGATCAAAGCGCTCGTCGAGATTGGAGAAGACGCAAAGCCTTATCTCAGACTCTACAAAGTAGAACAGGAGCAAAAACATGAAACCAGTAAACAATCAGGATGGGGTCTTCTTCAGGCAAGAATCATTCAAGAACCATAAACGTGCAAGAATAATTATACTGGAAGATCAAATGCACAACTCCTGAATTAATGCCCCAAAGATGCTACGCCTCTTCTTCTTCAAGTGCTCATTTAGAAAATTCTCTGAGATAGATCTCAGTCCGCACGCGGTAATCATAGCACAGGGATGAAGCTGGCATTGCACAGGATGTAAACCGGGTACGTTATTGTGTACATTGTCCAGAAGTGCGATACGCAAACCTGCTATAACAAACAGGTGTACTCACCTGAATCAGTGATTCCAACGGTCAGCAGCTTTGCCAGCACTTCTGACACAACCGGTACACCATATTGGCCACTGATTGCATGCAGTGCATTGGAGCTTGACCCAGACTGCAACATGAACAAGCACAGCATCCACAGCAGTATGAGTATACTGAACCAAAAAGTGCAAGTGAAAATTTTCCACACTGTTAAATGCTCATTTAGAAACTTCTCCGAGATATATCTCAGTCCGCACGCGATAATCATAGCATAAGAAAGGATGAAGCTGGTTATGAAGTCTTAACTCACCGTCAAGGTAGGCATGAGCAGTCGTGCACAAGTACGCACGGCTTCTATCCTCACAGAGACGTACTCGCTGACCAGGAAGACGTTGGCACAGTGACGGACGAACTGAGTGAGCGAATGACCTGAAAAAAATAAACGCAAATTAAACATGGAACGTGCTGGACAAAGGGAAAGTATCCTTAACAAAATGAATATTCCACAAATTCCACACATGAAAATACAACAAGACTCACCGCTGAAATCAAAGGAGCCAAGGGTGTGCAATGCTAACACAACATTGCTGGTATCCGGTGAATCTCCTGCCAAACATACAGAAAAATCAAACGTAGTAGGTAAACAGGAAATGCAAAATGCACATGGGCAATAGGCAACAACAATCCTTGCAATCATATTTATATCCGGAAGTAGGAATGTCCGACATACTAACGACTCATAACACCATTGTATATAGTGAGACGAGATAGCGGTACACGATTGTAATGTTGCGGTTTGGAAACGCCAAACGACAGGTCGGTATACCCTGCCGCCTGGAGCTGAAACCGCCAGAAACGAGCATAGCAATGAAAAATAAAAAGCTGTTTGCTAAGCATACCTGACAGAGAAGAAGAATTACTGGATGTATTCTTTGCAGATGAGGCGGAGCTTTTAAGTGCCTTGTTCATTAGAATTAGCGACAGCATCTTCAGGAGACCCTCTGCAAAAAAGAAGAATAGAAATATACAAGGGAAGACCATGAACCTCACAGTAACAGGAAACGTTGTGATCAATCGAGACAGTAGACAACAGCATTATAAACACGATGGGTGGGATAGATGGTGACTTACCTTGAATATCTTTTCGTATCCTTGGTATTTCTTGTGCCATGACATGGAGACAACGTGTCAAAGCAGGACTTAGACCCACTGCAAGCATGTTTTCCAAAAGCTGCTTCATCTCATTGAAGAGAACACTGCTAGCAGCACGTGCCAGCATGCTGATGCACGAAAAGACAGCCGGATCAGCGACGACTTGTGCTGCCTTATGCCGCCTAGCAGAAGATAAAGGAAGGTAATCAGAATACTTAATGAGTACAACAGCCACAGAGTTCAAACAGCTTACATGAATGTACAAAGAAACTTCTAACAGCACAAATAGGAATGTCCGACATACTAACGACTCGTAACACCATTGTATATAGTGAGACGAGATAGCGGTACACGATTGTAATGTTGCGGTTTGGAAACGCCAAACAACAGGTCGGTATACCCTGTCGCCTGGAGCTGAAACCGCCATGGCAAAAAAAACGTTGCTCCGTCAACTCACTTTTGAGCATTCATGACATCTTTCGAAGCCGGTAGTGCTTGGCGGATAACATTTACAATGTTATCCAAGTACGGACGGATGTGATCTTGAACTGCATACGCCATAAGGCCAAGCGATCGGAATGCACAAGCTCGCTCTCTTTCCTACAGATGAAGAAAACAAAAAAAGAATATACCAGTATAAAAGTGACGCAGGCTAAGGAAATCATAAGCGCAAGGGACATATCACACAAAGCATATCGGCAGTTTCTAACGAAAGAAAAATTAGAGAAGGCCCAAAAAGTACCTTTTTCAGTGCGGCAAGCAGATGCATTATTGCATCATCCAAAAATCTGAGGGCAATGTAAAGAAAAAAACAAGAATAGCAAGGTGAGAACACAATGCAAGAAAAGCAGGAACAAAAACTGCAGTGACAAACTAGAATACAGCAATATACAGAAATATAGACCCAGGGAGTAATAGCCACCTCACAATACAGAGAAGCTACATTTTATTGGGACCGTCGATGTCGGCAAGCTACGAGCCTTGTGATCAATGGACATAATCACATGGAAAAGCAATGCTTGCCTTTATAAAAAGCTACAATGTGATAAGAAAAAATTCAAAATGGCTACCGGTTCGGTCCTAAGAATAAAGGGCAGAACTCACCGTTTGACAAATCTGGTGCGATCAAAAGCAGCTAGACGGGGCAGGAGCTGATGAATAGTTTGCTGAACAAGTACACTCTTGCTGGATCGAAACTTCATGACAATGTAGCAAACCTAGGAGGAACAGAGCAAAAACTCATATTAGGAGTGGCAATATTGCTACGGAAGATTACATTCCAGTACGAAATTTGGGTCAGCCACTTCTTAGATTGTGTCAATTCGAATCCCGGCCAAGGGATATTTCCAAACCACAGGGAAGATAGCTCATCCCACCCATTACAAGCATCAGATGCCGACGTCAAACCTTGGCAGTACATACCTCATCAAAGTTTTCCTTCATGAAGTCTCTGCAGACCTTGCTCTGTCCATGTGCGAGCTCACTGGCCATCAGGGACGAACCAGAGTTCCGCCATTGCACTGTAGAAAAAACCGAATTGTCATAAGAATTGACCGACAACTGACCACGCAATAAGGTAAGCACAGATATGACAAAAAAACATGTATATCACTGCATGGAACAAAAATGCATTATCCGGCGATATGACAAAGACATGACAGTGGCATTGGGAAGACAACATGGCATGAGGATTGCAAAGTACCGGTTTCAGGTAGCTCGTGTAGAGAGAGTGGCGGTGGCGGAAGGGTAGGTGACAGCAATGATAAACGACGTGAAGTACGCAGCTTTCGGAACCAGCTTGAACCAGCTTCGCACAGGATACATTGAATACATCACAAGAATGAGCGTTGTTCAGGACATTAGCCATTAACATGTGTTCTCAGTCAAATGCCTCGTTCTTGACATCATGTCGGCACAAAAGCACCAATGTCAGGCTCGTCATCCGAAATCATCACAGAACACTCTGGTCAAGTTAGAAAGATAGCACTACCACACCATGTACCACACCATGTACCACGCCATGTACCACGCCATGTACCACGCCATGTACCACGCCACGTACCACACCACGTACCACACACCAATGAGCGCATCTCAATTTTAGTAGAATGCATGAATCCAGATAATTATCATATCAAAGTTATTACTTGTATTATCAGTTAGTAAACACTTCAACTCAGTTATTAGCTTACTTTGCTGATTATAACGTGTCGCATTCGCTAAGCTGGCAGAAACAGGTGGGGGCAGAGCTTCATCTACATTGAAGTCAAGACAGGAAAGAGGCGTTAGTGTGTCCGACATCTCAGCCGCAAGCTCCTTGCCCTGAAAAGGATCAAGAGGGGAGAGAAAAAGATGAGTGACGGAAAGGAGCTACAAAAACCCAGCTCAAGACAATGCAAGTGGTGTTCTTTCAGACAAATGCCTCGTTCTTGACATCAATGACCATGCCCAATGGATTGACAATGGTACTCAGGCTCGTCATCCGAAATCATCACTGAACACATTATTCTGGGAGATCTCCAAATAAAATTAAAAAGACACTTACCTCGCCTTGCAATTTTCCAGAGTTGAGAATCAGCTCCATCAGGACAAGTAAAGATCCATGCGCAACTTCATCCTTGATGGCAGCTTTCGATCCAGAAGCATCCTTCAAGCCTTTCATAGCCTCCTCATAGCAATGCTGAATGATGAAAGAAGCAATAAAGAAGATGTCAAAACATGTGGTGTTGAAGTTTCCGAGCCAAAAAATACAGTAAATAGAATGGACATGAAGAAACAAATGTGCGACGTACTAACGACTCGTAACACCATTGTATATAGTGAGAAGAGATAGCGGTACGCAATTGTAATGTTGCGGTTTGGAAACGCCAAACGACAGGTCAGTATACCCTGCCACCTGGAGCTGAAACCGCCAAGTAGTGAAATGGCCCAAATCTTTACAAATTAAAATATAACCATCAAGTCGGAAGTCATAAATTGGAGAGATCAAAACAATTTATTATTAGACTGAAATATTGACTGACAAATGCATTATTTATTAGTTGACACCAAATTAGTCTGTCCAAGCATTCTTTCAAATTAACTCACCGAGTACCATGTTGGTCGTTGGGTCTCCTTGGTCTCACGTTGAGCCATGAGCGCCAAGCAAGCTCTGAGAGCTGCGATGGCATTTTCCCGGATAATTTGCTGCGAGGCAAACAAATAAAAGAAAGTCATTTGGAGCAAAACACCCTGATGCCAATAGGCTGAACTGTACAATGCTACACGACACAGTACAGCATGCCAAACCACAAGACTTTCATTGTCAATGTCATGTATACTCAGAAAAATCAGTATAACGGCCAAACACATTACAGGAGGCACTAGGAATGTCCGACATACTAACGACTCATAACACCATTGAATATAGTGAGACGAGATAGCGGTACGCGATTGTAATGTTGCGGTTTGGAAACGCCAAACGACAGGTCGGTATACCCTGCCACCTGGAGCTGAAACCGCCAAAAAAACATGCACTGAAACATTGGCATTACAGTGCATTTCAAAACTATAGACGCGTAGGGTTTTTGAAATATTTCAAACTTGGCTGGAACTTTTTGAGAATAGTTTTCGGAATATTGCTCAGGATCGCTCCACAATTACTCTCATATAGTTTCTAAAGGATTGGATAACAGACGCCCAATTTGGAAAATTTTATGCACAACGTGATCACAGATTTTATGTGGTATAGATGCTGGCATAACGGTTTTTGCCTAGGGACGCGTCTATAGTTTTGAAATGGACTGTAGTAGATAGTAGATAAACGCACCTTTGAGTCTCGCACTGCATTGAATATATGGTCGAGGAATGGTTGCACTTTCTGGAAGAAGAATGTAGGTGCATTTACAGCTAGCTCGCGAAGTAAAAGAACAGCTGCATGACGTTTGACCTCCACCCGTTCACCGCTTAGCCATTCCAGCGCCCGATGAACTTCATGCTCAACAGACTCCGCAGCTAAACTTCCTCCGGATGAAACCAACCGGCCAGCAACTTTCGCTGCAAGTTCCATAACAACCGGGTCACTAATACAAAACAGAAACAAAGAAGAAGACAGAGATAAGCCTGCGAAGCCAGTATATTACCAAACAATTGCTTTCTAGCATTCTGGATTTGTCCGGCACACTAACGACTCACAACGCCATTGTTATTAGCGAGACGAGATAGCGGTGGCCAATTGTAATGTTGCGGTTTGGAAACGCCAAGCTATAGGTCAATACCCTATAACCTGGAGCTGAAACCGCTAATCATTTTCCAAATACAATAATCTACAACCTATAACAAAAAAAACTACATACGAAAGCATACTGGCAACGTAGCACAATCATCATGCATCCACGTACTGTAAACAACATGTTGCTGGTGAGAAATTTTTGCTGTCTGATTTTTTTGATCGAAAATGCTCTATGCAGGCACTCATTTTCCATTGTTCGCAACTGACGAAATTCGAGCAGATTCATTTTGTCCAAACGGGACCAGGAGGCTAAATAAGTGAAATTTAGTTCTTGTGGCACAGTGTACTGCAAAAACAAGATGGCCACCAGAAAACGAGAGATGCGCATTGCATCGTTTGCCGCTAATAATGTACAAAGAGAGGAGGAATCCCCTTTCAAAGGTAGGCAAAAGTCTAAACGGACTAGTCGAAGACAATTAAATTATAGAAAATGGTGCTCGTCAAAAGAACAAGTACGACCCAAGAGTTAGAGTACGGGGTACACTTACTTGCTGGGTAGGAGAGAGCGCATGTACGTTGTAAACCGATTGAACTTGTTGTTACTCCCGACATCGTCAAGGCCGATCAACGCCACTGGAGGGAACGAAAAGAAGTCCGGAGAAAGAAATAACCAACAATGATTCCACCTAAAGTAGTGCCCGAAATAAGCGGCCGCTTACAAATCGCCAAAACGCCTCCTTTCTTTTCATGCACCTCGGAAGATGATGAAATGAGAACGAAGACATTTTTGTTCAGCTCCTCGGTGAAGGCATTGGCGTCCTCCGCCGACATTTCTCGTAATTCTGTCGTGACATACTGGCGGAGCTGCTGGGCAGTCTTCAGGCGAACCTTGTCGCTTCGATGCTTTAGTCCTGCTACAATCTGGGATATCATCGTAGCGGGTCAGCATACGAGGAAAGGCGGGTGGAAATCATTCAGCTCCGCGGAAAGAAGCAACGAGAGCTTCACATCTCCAACGCCACTACATAATGTCACCTCTTTTGCTTGCCAGACAAGGCAGTAAACACATGAAGCCTGGCACCTTCCCCATCAGCTACCGGCCAGTGGAACCTCGCATGAAAAAGCCAACTCCGGTGGGAGAAGATGCTGCAAAAACATGTGCTCAAGGCACTTGGCGGCCATTTTGCGAAGAATTTTTATCGTACCACCACCAGCATGTTTCGTATAAAGGCACGCGAAAAATACGGTAAAGTACGATAGGACCAATCCTGGACACCGCGATCTCGGCCTTCGAGCAAAAACACCAATAAATTATTACTGAAGGCGTCGCCATTGATGATTATGAGAGAAAGTCAAACTGGACAAAGGTGCGAGCTTCCTTTCTGACAATCGCTTCAAGAACAGTATGTCGTGTTTGTAAGCCAGCCATATGGCGAAGTTGGAGCGGAAGGACAAGGAGTCAACCATGATTACGTACATACGTGATGACACGAAAAGCACTCCAAACTTCACCGACACAGTGCTAAAAATAGTGTACATACATACAAGTACACACACACACTATTGTTTTGGAAACATACTACTTTTATACCAACCTTGCTGCTACAGCAAAATCAAGACAATTCTATACACAAAATAACCATGACAAGAGGTATTTGCGGGGCTATGTCCCAGCGCAATATGACCTCGGACATACATTTCAAAGCAATGATTATGATACTCACATTATGCAAGGAGTGGCAAGCAAACTTGAATAAATGCAAACATTTATGATTACTTTACAGAGTGCAGAGGTACGATACGATAAAGAAAAGCATGCTACTACATAGTCTGTGTTTCGTTTGGAATCCCGGAGTTGTTTTCTTTGCAGCATGAAATAACAATTATTATTTTATTGAAAATCATGTCAACAATTTGTACAATATACAATGGACGAAAGAAAGTGCTTACCACTGTCGGAAACGTATTATACACACTGGTAATTCTACAGTCCATCGATGCACCACTGGGATTCATTTCTCTTGATGGGTGGATTGTACAGCCTCTCCATGCAAACAAATGCATGCACGTGTAGATTGCCGCCATGGCAGTCACCATGCGACCGGCATGTTCTGCAAGAGAGTGAAAAATTCACAGTAGAAAAAAATATTGCATCACAGACAAGTAGACAATAGCGGTTGGTTGTGAATCAAGCATACCTGCTGAGAACATCCGGCCGAAGGGAGTTCAAGAAACAAACTTCCATGTTGTCCTCTGGCTGGTTTTATGTTCTGGTCTGGAGAGCTGCGATCCCTTTTCTATCGGCGCATGCGGTTTGTGCCCTTTTTCGAGATTATCATTTCCGCCAATCTCCTCCGTGGTCATGGCCACAGCACGCAGCGTCACGACTCTTCCGTGGCGTACTCAACCATGTCAACGGAGTCAACCCCACACCAAAAGAGGCGTTTCGTGTCAGTGTGCAATGTCTGTATGAGAGATTGAGACATAGAATGATTGATGATTGAGAGGAGCTTTACTTTGTCTTTGCCAAAGTCTTTGGTTTATGTATGAGGAGCTTTGTGGCTGATTACCGACAGATTGCTGCACTGGACACACCCAGTTCAGCCGCCATGAAGCCCTAAATCAGTGTAGGCTGTAGAGATAACCAGACGATCGTCGATCTGATAGGTGATCGAGAGATTCGAGACCTCAACTGAAGCCAAGGCGAAGACTGGCAAGACTCTCTGCTGACTGCTGAGTGTTGGGAAGGTGGCACGTTGCTCAGTGTTGTGTGACCGGTCCTAGCATGAAGGATCGAAGCACTTGGCCCTTGGGAAGTAACGTTAGTTGTGACACTGTACTAACAGCCCCGCCTGGCCTAGATCTACCATACTTGCTCATGCACGTAAAGTAAGTGCATTGTACAATGTAACACTTGACAATGACAATGCCATAATACTACACTGTATATCCACATGATTGCACATGATTGTAAAGCCACATGACTGTACTGTGTAGACCTACACAATTGTTCATGTTGAACTTTCAGCATAACACATGGCTCCTAGTAAGACTAAGTAATTAGTTGCAGGCAGGAGCACTGTTTCTTGCAGAGTGTCCTCCGTCCTGTGATAGAGTATGCTGTCATGAAATCCTCGCCAAGCCTGGCAATTTCTTATCTGCGCAGACTGCTCAGTGCCTATGGTATCAGAGCGCTTTCCACAAGAATAAGGACAACTTGACGATTGTTCACACACCTTCACAGCACTCTCAATATGATTTACCGTCTCTATAAACCAGAACACAAATCAATCAAGAAAACTATAAAATATCCGAATTTCGGGCAAGGCCCATCTTCGATGATAATGCATGAAATCAGTCTAAACGGAACAGAGTTTACGTATCTAATATTGACTGAGTACGAGGTCAATATAGGAAATAAAAGCCGAGTAAAAGACCGAGGCAAAGCCGAGGTCTTTTACGAGGCTTTTATTTCCTATACTGACCAAGTACGAAGTCAATATTAGATTCATCACGTCAAACAGTCCGTATTTCAAATTCCAGAACGATAACCTCATGAGTCCCGATTTTATGATTGCACAACCGTTGCACCACCACCTACTCATGCAGTGACAATGCTGCACTAGGCACCGTTCAACTGCGCAACCCCTAAGCAGTCAATATAGCCCTAAGGAGTGAAATATGCAGGAATATTTGACTGCTTAGGCATAGCGAAAATCAATGGGAGTCAATACTAAGAGAGTGATAAATGACTGTACAGTCAACTTTGCGTATAACCGTAATAAACGCATCAGAAAAGTGTCCTTATTCGCGAAGTGTCCTTATACCCGAAGTCTCATTATAATAATAATTATGACTTTCAGCTACAGTAGAGTCGCGCGCCCAAGAACGTTGTTTCCAAGGGGTTAGCCTGGGACGTTCTTATTTTTCTGCAATCTGGCTGCGTTCTTATAGCACGTTCTTAGAAACAATCCGTACTGGATCATATGTATTCCACAAGCTGCCAGAAAACCAACACCGCCGTTCTTAGCTTTAGGCTGTGGTGTTCTTAGAATTTCAGGCTGGACGTTCTTGGGCTCCGCGTTCTTCAGCGCGCGACTCTACTGTAGATGGGACTTTGCTCTGGACATGGAAATTCTTCTGTCGTTATTCGCGAATTGCCGTTATATCCGCAGTCGTTATTAGCGAAGTTGACTGTATATCATAATCATATGACAAACACAAACAAACTGGCCGTTCGCATCTCGAGAAATGTATTGATGAAATGTTGCTGCTACATTATAAAGTAACATTTCATGTGAAGTTGCCAAAATTCTTCACCAATCGTTGCAATATTTACAGCACGATGTGCGGCGTTTTGTGGGAAACAGCTCCATTCCCAGGGATACACAGAATGATGGGCTGAGAAATCCCGTAGCTCTGCCATCTACCGACTCCTACTTGCCTCTAACCGGGTAGAACCAGTAAGGGAAAACACTGTAGAATCTACCGTTTGGTGTAGAAAAATGAATTCATCTACCGACAGCTACTGTTTCTACCGAAACCTGTAGATCAAAAACGAGCTCCCCACAGTTTAACCCCACGTCCAACGAACTTTTTACGGTTCTCGCAAGACTGCACCGGCCAGTCCAACTGGCTTGTCCACATCCGCACAACCACCACCACCCTAACTCATATCTCAGACGCATGCCTGTTAACTTGTACCGATAAGATCGTTTCATATCGTCATACAAGGATGTATATCACGCAAAGTAGAGTACAGTGACGCAAATCATGCTGTAAGCAAAATCTCCAGGGCTAAATAGTAAATACACAGAATAGAATAAAATAAAATAGAATAGAATGGAATAGAATCCGAATTGGAGGTTTTCCCCAGGCAGAAAGCTTCAAAAGTTAACGATGCATCTCCTGTATCCTCATTCTTCATATCCCAAAAATATATCTAGTGTCAGTGTAGTTGCAGGAATGAGTGCACGAGACGTCAGTATAGTTTTAAACGGCCAGAGCGAGTGCACACTGCGAAACACAAGCTAACCAGGCAGCACAACACACGGGTGTACTGAAACAAGAGCATCTATGACGTGGGTAGGTGACGGAGCACCCAGCTTTCTCTCCAGCAGCAATTATGTTTAGCAGTGGGCAAGCGCAATCGCAATACTTGCATGGAACGGGAATTGTGCAAGAAAGGTGCTTCAAATAATTATGTCCAAAGTAGGTGAGGGAGACAGAAAAAATAAAATAAAATGTTGCGGCGAAGAAACACGGTCAGAACAAAGGAGATTCGAACCGTGCAAATCAGCGTGTACACGACAGTGAGGACAAGAAAGGAAAGCTAACTTCAGGCATGGATCGCGGGGTAGTAGTAGTGGGTGAGTGCTTGTGACAGTGTGATTCGACACAGCCGTTAATTGACCTTGTAGCGGTCCTGGCGAATCCTGTGCAGCTGCCTCTTGGCAAGCTCCAGCTCTTTCTCCTTCATCTGCAGCTGCTCCATGGCTTCGATCTCCTGTGCCATGCCGCCAACCTGGACACCAGAGCAACGAAGAAACTCGATCACCTATCTGGAAGGCACTTGCACTATCACAGGGTTGGGAACAGTCTGGTGTGCACATACTGACATGGCCTAGGAACTTGTACAGTTGCGCTCGGTGAAATCCAACCCAGAGTGCGAAACTGGCGCCCCGCGGCCCCGGGTCATTTCTGATTACATCATTGTATTTGCACTGTGTACGTCCAGCTGCATTCGTACCACTTCCAGGGCGTCAGGGGCTGTATAAGCTGAGGGCGCTAAACCTTCACTTTGGGTGGGATTTCACCGAGCGCAACTGTACATCAACATGACAATGCAGGCGCGTGCCCCGTATGGGTTCCTGGGTGCCCGGAACCCCCCCCCCCCCTTTTTCGCTCAAAATGCAGGATTTTGCTTCATTTTTTGAAATTTTTCCCGGGGAAGGCCCCCCGGAACCCACCCTTGAAGGGCACCGGCACACGCGCCGGCTATGCATATACACATTCTTTGCAATAAGACAGAAACTAACTCAAGGGATAGGGCACGGAAAATTGCATTTACTCAAAGTCAAAATCAATGGGATATACCTGACGTCTTTTTCGCGAGTATGCAGACAGATTGCCCTATTTATCACGGTAACACATTTTCCGTTTTTCTCCGAGAAACCTGAGTGATCGAAATGGTGTTCGCATACGTATCTCCATGTTCGAGCGTCAAGAATTACAAAACTGAGGCTGAGTCGGAATACGTTAGCATGAGTAACGTTATATCCTTTCATAGCCCGTCACTTCTCCGACTAAGACGGTCTCTACACTGCGAATAATTTTACATTCTGCCAAATTTCCAGAGCCTAACCCATTATCATGGTGAACAATATAAACAACAAGATCCAGAGCATAGTTTAGTGGAACTACATTATCGTTGCTGGAAAGTCAACAATAGCTTTGGTTCTGGATTATGATTTACGTATATATTTTCTGTTCCACTGGACTTTTGATTGCATTGAAGCTCTGCTCGTCGTGCATCAAGCACTCTGACCAGTAGTCAAGGTTCCATGTACAGTTGTCCTCGGTGAAATCCGACCCAAAGTGAATATTTGACGCCCTCAACTTGCACGGCCCGTGACACCCTGGCTGGGAGTGGTACGGATGCTGCTGGACGCGCACATGTACAAATACAGCGATGTGATCGGAACTGGTGCAGGACGTCAGCTTTGCACTTTGAGTCGGATTTAATGAACCCAACTGTTGCTTTGGTTCAAAGGAGATATGTGTCCTCTCTGGCAGCAGGTTGATCCAATTGTGCCGAATAGATCAAAGGAAGCCTTACATGTCTTTCTGATACATTGATCGGGACTTCCTCGTCCATGGCTGCCTCCATAGCCTGCTTAGCTGCCTTGACAAGGTTCTCAGATGCAGCCTTCACAGCTTGGCCAGCCTCCTGCAGTGTGGTGTCCACGTGCGCACGCACACACACACACACACACACACACACACACACACACACACACACACACACACACATGTACTCTCACACACACACACACACGTACACACACACAATACACAGAAGGCTGCATATTATCCAGCGAAAACTACCAACAAGAGGAACAACGCACAATTCCTGACACCAACCGAGAAATTTCAGTCTGGAGACAGTTTTTTTTTGTAAGGAGAGTGTGTCTGCACCACAGCCAGCTGGTCTAGCTGCTATCATGATCTGACAACACCTAGGGCTGTCTACATACAGTGGGTCCTTTATACTCCGGCACCATTTGTGCTGCGGACCCTCTGCTTGGGTTAGGGAGGGTGGTGGATTAACCAATCTGATCTGCTGCTGCAGTATGCACGAAGGTACATTTTGATTACTGAAAGCTATGCTGGTTCATGAAGTGCTGGACTAAAGAGGGACGGTTGTACATGTATACCACTGCTGCGACACACAATCAAGGCAGACGAATTCCACATGATGATGTTCTTTACCTGGAGTCGCTTCATGGAGGATCCCGTTGGATCGGCCTTAATCATGCACGCCACCAGGAGCTGAGCGGTGGCCTTGGCCACGGCCTTGGAGGAGGCGATGAGACGCTCCTCGCTGGCGCCACCGTCCACGGCCGCGTTGGCCGCCTCACACAGAGCGTTGGTGGTGGCTGCTACAGTCTTGGCCTAGCAGCACACACACACACAAGAGAACCAGACAGGGAGCGTAACTTACTTGGTTGAGTCTGGAGTTCAGCAACGTCACACTAACCTGGTCGTAGTAGACGGACTTCCTCCTACCACTATGTGTTGCATTATTCATTGCTGGCACCATCAGGTCTCTTGTTACATGGGAAGTCAATGTTTTACTTACCTACATAAGATAATATCTGTATTCTTCCTTCCACACAATAACACTTATGTTACCATGGTTACACGGTGAGCTTGCTGAAACAAACGACTTCATCATGACCATCGTGACAGGCTTACATTGTTAATGTAGCCATGGGAAGTCAATGTTTTACTTCGAAACAAATAATGCAAGATCTAGAAGTTCTAAGAGGAGTGCTAACGGTCAACCCAAAGTTGGTGTTCAGCACACATGCGTATCTTCAAGGTAGCTGTTGACAGAGCTGACTTTGTATTTCAACAATCAGGCTGGTATTTTTTACTGTGAACACTGTCCTACTGGGAAACGTGTGGAGAATAACAAGTAAGAAGATATGTAAGGACAACGTGCCGGTGTACTGAGAACGTTTGCAGACCCCTTACCGCTGACACCAGTCCCTGAGACCACTGTTGGAACTCATCACCACCATAGCCACCATCTGATACTTGCATCTGCAGGGAAATGATGCCACAGGGGAAGAAAAGCATGTGTGGAATAGAAAGTCTTCGTAGGAACTGCAAGTTCCTACTTGTAGTAGCACACGGTCTGGTCAAAGGCTTGATGATTTCACATTCACACACATGTGCGCGCACACACACACACACACACACGCGCGCGCGCGCGAGCGCACGGGCACACACACACCGTCTTGTTCTTGTATTTACTCACTGCCATAAACTGGTCACATGGGTCTTCCCAGGACCCCGTCTATGGGGGCAGCGAAGGCAGGACTTCACATCACGTGACAAACCCGTGCACATCAGTGGCACCCTAGGCCCTGGGCATGCCATGTACGATTCTGGTACAACTCCCTGATGGTCACTTTGCACTGCATGTAGTTGAACAAGCTGTGGGTCTTCAGCAAATTACTACAGTAAAACCTGTGAAGGCGACCACCTATCCCAGGGAACCACTACAACCAGGACCAAGGAGTGTTATTTCCAGTCACATAACCCTGGATAAGGAGACCACCTGGACACGAGGACCACATTGTTTACGGTCCCTTGAGCGGTCGTCTTTGACAGGTTCACTGTAGTACCGCACTCATGCCAGGGGTGTTGGACATACATCAGTCACTACGGTATTGACCGTATCACTCTTTGCCCCGGGTACCCCAGGAATCAATAAAATGCACTTATTATATCTGGACTTTAAATTTCCAAAATGTTCGGCTCAGCCAGGCCTCCTCCATTAGTAAATTGTACTTCAGATGGCTGACCGTACCACACTAAAATACCTTCCGACGCCCCTGCATGCACATTCCCCACCGGCACACGCAGTGTTCATGACCTTACAGCTCCGGACGCCACGAGCTCGCGCTGAGCTTGCGTTGCGGACTTGACGAGAGCACCAGTGGCTGCCGTGATGGCACGGGCAGCCTCCACAATCTGTTCGTGGAAGTTGAGCGATGGATCAGCCTCCTGCCGGTCAGGGAAGAACCACACACAGGACAAAGCAGCAGCGGCATGAATAGATCTCTACTAACAATCTGCCGGGCCTTGTACAGATAATAGGTGAACAAGTCTTCTTGCACCAAAGAGATCATCCACTATGATTGTTCAAGTGATGGATATTCTGGTGTTCTGGATAGATTTGAGGATGTGCGTAATTACCAATACGTTTCCTAGTGCACAACATTTAATCAGATCATTGGGTGTATTCCATTGTGATATCATGCTATCCAACAAGAGTATGGTATCAGATTGAAAGTAAACACCCCCTACAGTAGTTGCCCGTACCTTCCACCCCACTGCCTCCCCCCCCCCCCCTCCCATCCTTCCTTACCAGTATGACATGATATCAGTAGGGCAAGAAGGGGGGGGGGGGAGAGAGGGGGCAGCCTCATGCAATGCGCTTTTGCCGGCCTTCCTTCACTTCCAAGTGCTCCAGTGGCTAATGCCATAGTAATGGACAAGACACGGGTGTACTAAAACAAGAACATCTATAACATGGGTAGACGAAAGAGGGATCTGACTCACAGAGATAATAACGAATAATCTTTACTTCAGGATGAGACACTAGTAAAGCAACTGAACTACACGAGAGGAATAACTGCAAGCTGTAACTGACTGAAACAACGAAAAGAACACAACTCGGTGTAGTCTCCAGTCCAAACAACAAGACGCCGACTCAACTAATTATGCACAGAAACTACAAGCCGCGAAGTCGGTTTCACGCGCGCGCGGGAAACGGCACATGAGACATGCATAACACAACACGATGCACTACTACTACTACATGCATCATGAATAGCATGAATAGCACAAAAGAACAGCCAGGAATAATTATGATTAGACTGGTCCACACAGGAACAATAAATGTATCACCTCTACGCGTGCACACAGCATAACTGACACCAAAGAAGGGCACGTTGATGCGGGCATGCATTGGAATTACCATGAACGTAATGACACCCAAAGGCTAGCGGCAGTGATTTGCCATAACACCATACTTAGACTACTGAAAGAGGTTCACCGTCTACTCATTCCACCCTCCTTGATACAACTACCGGTAAGTATCAACGTTGATACAACTAAAATGAACTATCAGAAAAGAAAACGAAACGTAACGAGCTATGAGCTAGCTGTACAGAAACATAAATGGCTGCAAAAACGGACGACTGATGCACAAGAGAGACACATCCAGCCGGTAAGCATGCTAGGGCGATTCAGAATCAGTCCTCACTATCATCAGGTCCAGCGACGCCCACCGTGACAACTGGGCACAGTCGCACCACAGGCCTGGTCACTGTCTTCCCGCCAACTAGCACTCTTGCCACACGCACGGTGCCGTCTTGACCTGGCATCACTTCCGTCACTCTTCCAAGGGGCCATTTACCCCGTGGCGTATCTGCCGTGATCACCAGGACGATATCTCCAACTGCTATGTTCCTTTCCTCGGCGGACCACTTAGCACGGCGATTCAGTCCGGGGACCCACTCTTTCATCCAACGGTGCCAGAAGTGTGTGACAAGTTCTTGCACTCTCCTCCATCTTTGTTGTAGGCGGTAATCGTCACTGCTTGTGCCGATGGAGAACTGCTCCACACGTCCAACCAAGAAGTGGTTCGGAGTCAAGGGCAAGTCGTCTCTGGCATCCACAGAAGGGATTGTTAGCGGTCTTGAGTTGAGGAGAGACTCGGCACTACAGAAAGCGGTCTGAAGCTCCTCATCGGTGATGCTGGCATCACTCAGAACTGCATGAATGGCCTTCTTGGCGGCTTTGACCATGGTCTCGTGAACGCCGCCGAAATGCGGGGCACCTGGAGGAATGAAGTGCCACCGTACACGTGGGAACTTCAACTGGAGCGCCGCCTGTTCTTGTTCTAGCTCTTTCAGCTCGCGTTGTCCTCCTACAAAGTTCGTCCCATTGTCCGACAGGACCTCTTCTGGCACGCCTCGGCGGTTGCTCATTCTCTCGAAGGCATTCAAGAAACTACTGGTGTCCAGGGAATAGGACAACTCCAAATGCACAGCACGGCACGTGAGACAAGTGAAGAGGCAGAGGTATCTCTTTGCCCGCCTCTGTCCTCGACCCTGAACTGTCGTAAATGGCCCGGCGTAGTCCACAGCAACCCGGCCGAAGGCACGACGCGGTGACTCTAACCGTATCTTCGGCAGAGGGGCCATGATTGGAGTGACAGGTTTGGCTTTCCTCTTTCTGCATTCAGTACACCTCTGCTCGCACTCACGAACTGCTTCTCGTCCCGCAATGATCCAGAAGCGTTGCATCAGCAGGGACCACGTGTGGTTGACTCCAGCAGCATGGTTCGCAGCCTCATGTTGGTCCTTGACAATCAGGTATGTAACCCAGTTGTGACGTGGTAGAACGATTGGATGCTTAGTTGCTTCGGGTAGGAATTCTGCATTCTGGGTCCGTCCTTCCACTCGCATGACTCCATCTTCATCTAGCCGAGGACAAAGACTAGCCAGTTTGCTGGTCGTTGGGATTGCCTTCCCCTTTCTCAGGAGAGCATACTCTGGGAAGCTCTCTTGTTGAGCTGTTCTGATGAAGGAAAGCTCCGCGTCTGTCACTTCCTCAGGGCTCAAGCTGCCGACTTGCCTCTCATCAACCGGGGTGCGGCAGTTGCTGACAAAGCGAAGCACCCAGGCTAGACGACGTACGGCGACTCTCCACGATGAGAAGTTCCTGGGTTCCAGCTTCCAATCTTTGCTCACAAACGTGAAGAGTGACACTCCTTCAACTGTGCTCATTGTGGCTTCCTTGCATGCGGACCTCACCTCAGGCACGACAGGACAAGTGAGTTTGCTGGGTGGTGGCGGCCACTGGGACTTGTCAAGGAGAAGATACTGCGGTCCATTCCACCATTGGGCCTCCTGTACAAGCTTGGCGGCACTGGACCCACGGGAAACCACATCTGCAGGATTGCACTCTGTCGGGACGTAGTGCCACTGACCTGGCTGACTTGAGGCTTGAATCTCTGCCACTCTGTTGGCAATGAATGGCTTGAACTGGCGACTTCGATTGCGCACCCACCACAAGACGTTCATGCTATCCGTCCACCAATGCCAACTGCTCTCGGGTATAGCCAGCACTTCACCCACTGACACAGCCAAATCTACTGCAACTACCGCCGCAGTCAGCTCCAAACGCGGGATGCTGGTGCTTTTTATCGGAGCTACCTTGCCTTTACTTGCCACCGGGCGACAGGTCACAGCCCCGGATTCGTAGCTGTGACGGAGGTAGGCGACTGCTCCATATGCGTCTTGCGATGCGTCGCTGAAGATGTGCAGTTCCGTGGCAGTGATCGCTTCTGTGTTTGACAGTCTCAAACAACGGGGCACAGCCACGGCTTCTAGCTTCTCGAATTCATCACACCATTGCACTGCTCGGGCAAGTAGATCATCTTGCAGTGGCTCATCCCACTGAATACCATCGACCCACATTTCCTGGAACAGGATGCGGCCGCTCATCACGAAGGGCAAGACGAACCCCAGCGGGTCGAACAGAGTCGCCAGAATCTTCAGAAAGGTCCGCTTGCTCAGGACTGAGTAACTTGGTGCTCGACACCTGAACGTAAAGACATCCGTCTCTGCATCCCACTGCACACCAAGCGCTTTGGTTGACGGCAGAATACTATCCTGAAGATTCACCTGCTTGGCACGATCTTCCGGTGGGATCAGTTGGAGTAGCTCGGTGCTGTTCGAAATCCACTTGCGAGGATGCATTCCGGCACGGTGCCACAGCTCACTCAGGTCCTGGTACAGTTTGATGGCATCCTTGTCATCGTCGGTGGAATCCATAGTGTCGTCCATATAAGTCGACTTCAACACCGCTTCTGCAGCACGTGGGAATTCTTCTTTTAGCTGCTCAGCATGTTTCTGAGACACCATTTGTGCTAGGAATGGGGACGAATTCACGCCAAACACCACCCGTTGGTACTGGTAGGCGACTGGCTCCTTTGACGCATCCAAGTCCCGCCACAGAAAACGATGAAATTTCTGATCATCTTCAGACAGCTCGATCTGGAGGTACATCTCTGCTACATCGGCCACGATAGCAACTGGCTTTGCCCTGAATCGCAGCAATATGTGCGGTAGCTCTCTCTGCAGCTTCGGTCCTGGGTGGAGGTAGTCGTTCAGGCTTGCTCCTTTGCATTTGGCTGATGCGTCAAAGACCACCCTCACTTTAGTTGTTGTTGCATCTGGTCTGGTGACTGGAAAGTGCGGGAGGTACCAACCACCTGTTGACTCGAGCTTTACTGCAGTCACGTATCCAGCGTTCACATGATGCTGCAGTACACGGCAGTACTCCTTTGCTACTTCTGGTTCCTTGTGGAGGCGTTTCTCTGTCGAGCGCAGTCTCTTCAGTGCCATCTCGTAGCTACCGTTCTCCTCTGGCGGGCTTCTCTTCCAAGGCAGCTTGACGGTGTACCTGCCGTTGCAGTACTTTGTTGCTGCCTCTGCATCTGCAAGAGTTTGTCGGTCATTTGCTGCAAGCGGGCTCTGTCGGCGAGGCTCTTCCACCTCCCACATACGCCGGACCAGCATCTCCAGATTACCGTCATCGACTCTGCTGAAGTGAGTGCGGTGATGATCTGAGCTTCCACTCACAGGTCCAACACAGGTCCAACCTAGCGCGGTTCTCCTCGCCACCGGTTCTCCCTGATCACCCCTCACCTCCTCCAGAGAGTAGTGAAGCTCGGCATGATCCAGGCCAATCAGCATATCAATCTGGCGAGTTGCTGGCTGTTCGAAGGGTATGTCCAGCAGATGATGGTACTGACTTGACTCGACGGTCCAATCGTACGGTTTCAGTGTGCCTGTGACGTGACTAGTTGTGATGGCTGAGAACGGACTGATGAACTTGCCATCTACACTCTCTACCAGCAGATCCACTGGCATTGACTCGAAAGACTCCACTGCTCCGTTGAGGGTGCTGATCGAAACCTGTTTCATGGGTCCCTGCAAGTTGAGCTGGTCCGCTACCTCTGTGTTCACATAACTTTGGGTGCTCCCATCATCCAACAGCGCATTCACCCTGAGGTTGCGGTCACCGTTTCGTAAAACGACCGGCAAGGTTCTCAGTGACAACGGTCTGGCGCCTGCTCCGATGTTAGCAGTGGTTGTGGTTCTGGCTGTCTCACTGGTACGACCCCTTTCCGTGCCATTTCTGGCTCTAGACGTGTCAATGGCTACTGCCCTGTGAAGCAGATAGTTGTGGGTATCGCTGCACTTGTCTACGCCACACTTTCTCTTCCGCTGGCAGTCAGCACCTCGGTGGCCCTTGCCCAGACAGCGATAGCAGAGCCGATGTGTTTTCGCCACTTTCCAACGCTTGTCCACATCCATTTCCTTGAAATCTTTGCATGTCCACACTTGATGGTCCTGGGAGCATACTGGACACGCTGCCGGTGTCGGATTGGGTGACTCTGCTGCATGGAATGAGTGGCCTCGGGCTGCTGGGCGCTCTCGGCCATGTCTATGGCGACCAGGTGCTAGGCCTGCGATGGCTTCATTGGCGGTAATGTGAAAGTCGGCCTCGAGATTGACCCACTCGAGCAACGCCTCCACCCCTTCTGGGCGCTGATGCTCATAGAGCCACCTATGGTATCTTGTCAGCAGGTCTTCTGGCAGCTTCTGCTGGATTCGCGCGTACAGAGTGCCCACCTCTAGCTCCGATTGGCGACCCGCTGCTTTCAAGTTGGTCACGGCTACTTCCAACAAATCTGAGAACTGTTCCAGATCTTGTGCGTTGACTCGATCTCCGTGCAATGGCTTGAACCGTTCCAGTTCATCTAAGTACACCATCACTTGGCGCCGCGTACCTCCGAATTTCCGTTCCAGGCGTTCCATTGCCTTGTGGTATGAGTCCGGGGCGTACCCTAGCCGCTCGATGCATCTTAGCGCTTCTCCCGCTACATACTGTCGTAGCTGCAACAGCTTCAGGGTTGGGCTGATTGGCGCACTGTCCACGCACGCCAAGAACGTGGCCTTCCATAACTCATAGGCACGCTTATCACCATCGAACACGGGTATTGAAATGCTTCTCATTTTGCTGAAGACGTCTGCGGCTCCAGCTGGTGGTGCAGCAAAACTAGATGGTCTCGATGGAGTTGGTACTGGTAGACCATTGTAGCTGCCGCCATGGCCATGTGCCACACTCTGTGTAGGCCTGAAACTGGCTCTAGGTACAAATGGGACGGCGGCCACAGACTGGTGTAATGTATGGGCTGGTCTCTGGCTACTTCCACTCATGACTGCTGTGTGTACCCTGCTGGAGTGAACAGGGGCTGATTGCCTGGGCAGTACATTGCTATTGGTTGCTTGTACAGCTACAGGTGCGCTGGTGTTGCTGGCCTGACTCAGTGGCACTGTGGGGCCTGCTGCTGCTGCTGCTGCTGGCGCACTGCTACTTGTGCGGGAACTGATGCTATGGCTACTACTGGTACTAGAACTCGAGTGGTGACTGCTCCCTGCACTCACACTGACTGGTGGAGTCGAGCTGGAGCTTGTGGGTGCACCTACAGACGAAGAAAGTGAGGTGATTGCGCTTTTACTTGAGACACTGGCACTGACAGGCCTGTTGGTGCTGAATGTGTTGCTTGTGACAGGAGTGAAGTCCGCACTGACGCCACCAGGCGCGGAAGACGGTCTAGCGGACTGTGCAGAACTCGCAGACTGAGCAGTTCCTGACACCCCACCTAATGGGTCGTGAGCAGCGTTGAAGCTTGATGGCATAACAGGGTGGTACTGACTGAACCCTGCGGAATGACGCGCACGAATATGTTGTTGCTCCTCGTACATCTCCACCTGCTGCTCCAGGTGCGCCATTGCTTCTGCCACTTCCTCCAGCTCCGTTATTGCTGCGTCGACTGCTTTGCCTTTTTTCTCGGCTTGAAAACACGTCACCAGTGACTCCAACACCTGATTCACCTCGTTGGCGAACCATTGCACTGCCTCGAATTCGTCTCTCACGGCATCCAAACTCAACTTCTCGTCACGGATCTGCAAAATCAAGCCTCGTCGCCGCGACGTCAAGCGCCGTTTCATTTGAATTTTTGCCACTCTCATGTCTGCAGATGCCGAGGTCACAGCATCGTTGACTTGCTCTTCCTGGCCGTCCGTATTACCAGGCTCAACATAATCGCCAGGCTCAACATAATCGCCAGGCTCAACATAATCGCCAGGCTCAACATAATCGCCAGGCTCAACATCATGGCCAGGCCCAACATCATCGCCTACCGTGACCCTGTTCCGCTCGTGACTGATATCGTCGCTGTGTTCAGACATCTCGCTCCGATGGACTTCCGACTAGGTGAAGATAACCATCCTCTGCTACCATTAGACGAAAGAGGGATCTGACTCACAGAGATAATAACGAATAATCTTTACTTCAGGATGAGACACTAGTAAAGCAACTGAACTACACGAGAGGAATAACTGCAAGCTGTAACTGACTGAAACAACGAAAAGAACACAACTCGGTGTAGTCTCCAGTCCAAACAACAAGACGCCGACTCAACTAATTATGCACAGAAACTACAAGCCGCGAAGTCGGTTTCACGCGCGCGCGGGAAACGGCACATGAGACATGCATAACACAACACGATGCACTACTACTACTACATGCATCATGAATAGCATGAATAGCACAAAAGAACAGCCAGGAATAATTATGATTAGACTGGTCCACACAGGAACAATAAATGTATCACCTCTACGCGTGCACACAGCATAACTGACACCAAAGAAGGGCACGTTGATGCGGGCATGCATTGGAATTACCATGAACGTAATGACACCCAAAGGCTAGCGGCAGTGATTTGCCATAACACCATACTTAGACTACTGAAAGAGGTTCACCGTCTACTCAATGGGTGACGACGGAGCACCCGGCTTTCTGGCCAGCAGCAATTAACTTCGGAGTGGGGAAGGGCAATCTTGGGAGCTAAGCTTAGCCGATTGCCGACCTACCTGTGCGTCCTCGCGCTTTCTGAGTGCGGTCAGCTTCTTAGCAGCTGCTTCGATGGCCGAGGCAGCTGCCAGGAGCTCATTCTCAGCCTGGACGTTGGGATCGTCGGGGTTGACCCAATCCGTTCCTAGTCGCCATTATCACAGCAGACGGTATACAGACAAAGGTTTGATGTCCAGTAGTGAAAGGATTAATCAATTTACAGGAGGAAACAGGGGAATTACTGGGCTACTTCAAAGTAATAGTAGTACCCCTGATGATGATGCCCTCCTGGGTGAAAATTCGGATGAAATCGAGTGACGCGGTAGCTCAGGGATACATGTACACTCACTGTGTACGTGTATGGAAGCCACGCGACACCACGCATCCGTATATGGATACTGTCAGCAGCCTTACACGACTGAATCCTGCCGGATACGGATGATCAGGCTGATTGGTCGTGTACTGTAAATATACAAAATTTCGGCGCTGCAAAATTTCGGCACTTCACGATTTTTGACATTTCGGCGGCGATTTATTTTAGGCGTGGGGTATAGTGCGACAGATGCTGTGAAAAATTTCATCGGCGTTTTAATTTAGGCGTTTTGGGTCGGTGCCGAATATAGCCGAAATTAAATAGCTGCCGAAAATTTGTATATTTACAGTATGAGGTTGAAATATGAGTGCTGTTTGCGACATGACTATTGAATACCCGTTATAGCCATGTGACACACAAGTGCAGGTGCGCACGGTAAAATCCGACCCAAAGTGCAGAGCTGGCGTCCTGGACTAGTTCCGGTTACATCATTGTATTTGTACATGTGTACGTACAGCCACATTCGTGCCGCATCCAGGTCGTCTAGGGCGTCATAGTCGAGGGCGCCAACTATGCACTCTTGGTCGGATTTCACCGAGTACAACTATAATACTGTAAGACCAGTAATGTGAACGAACTTTTAATTCTAACGTTTAAAGAATTTAAACAATTCGTTAACATTTGAAGTCGTTATGTACAAAACGATATGTGCCTGTACAGGTATTGGCCGGTTTTGAGACGGAATTCGTTACAATTTCACCTCGTTAACCCACAAAAACCCGGAGATCGTCAACTTTAATTGACGTTAAAATATCTAGTCTTACAGTCACGATTATGTGTGTTGTATGCGGTTTACCTTTGAGGACTTCTGCAGACTGGATGACGTCGCTGACCGCCACTGCCACAGCCTTGGACAGCTCGGGCAGCTTCTGCTTCTTCTCGTAGTTCTGCTTGGTGGTGATCTGTACAGGTAAGCATGGGAGTTTGGCCACTTGTCCAATTTGAGAGTTCTTAAAATTAGCACCACACGAATTGGTAGAGTCGGTATGGTGCGTGCTAGCTTTCTTGCTAAGACGTGCCCAATGGAGGTGTGCATGTACTAGTACCATCCTGGTTGCATGATATACAGCACAACTGGTGCGATTATTAGCAGTACAGTATTCATCACAGTCATCACTGAGCACCTCATGATCTCAGTGGGTGAAAGCTCCAGCTACGGTGCTGCCAGCCTTCCACATCCGGCTATATTTGTATGGAAAACCAATCCTTCGCCCGCACTTTGCAATTTGAACAACATGGTGCGGAATATCAAAAAGGATCGATTAGTGGAGTAGAAGCATGGCAAGCGCAAGCTGAGCGATTGAATTGTACATTGTAGTCGTTTTAATTTCGCAAATCCTGCAAGGCTCCTGAAAATTAAAACACTTTATACTAGCTGTGCACACTCACTCTACAGTACAGTATGTATGAACATGCACATTGTAGCCCGCAAGTGACGGCGCTTATTTAGGTGACTACGAAACATTTTCCCTTCATGAAATACACTTGCTTTACAGTAGTACAGTCGAATGTCACTTATCCGACCACTTCGGGAATCAGGCATGTTGGATAACTGATATCATTTTTTTATGTGCATATATGGCTGGATTTCACTGATTTATGTACACAATACCCGAATATATTCATGCATATTCCATGCACACATACATGTTATATAACGTTAGCATACTTAACTTGACCACATCTACTTCAGGTAAACGCATATTACACCGTATAATATACAACAAAAAAAGTTTCTTTTTATTTATTTTTTAGAATTTTACTGTTGAGAGTCATAAAATTACCACTCCCGGGCTTGTCGGATAACCGGCATGCTCGGATTACTGGCGTCCGGGTAAGTGACATTCGACTGCACATGTACCTACCATGAGTACAGAGTCCATGACCAGAAGCAATGCTTTCACGCAGGCCTGCGCCGATGCTCTGACTTGCTCTGCGTGCTGGTCGTTCTCTGCAGCGGCTGCAGCAGCCTTGGCCGTAGCCAGCAGCTCTGCGACAGCCTTACGCGCCAGCTGTGCCACGTTCAGCACCTGCAGGATCAGCATGGAAAGACATTTAAATTTGCTAGTGCCAAAAATAATAGTTCAAGGCTACATTCAGGGCTCACCACGACCATACAAAATTCAAAAAGCGTCGACCACCATTTTGAATGCCGCCAAAGCCAGAGTTTGTGCAGTCATAGCGGCTACGCACCCGAGTTCATGCTCATCGATGTACAGCGATGTACAGTCTAGTCGTAAAATACCGGTATTTTACGACTTCCTGGTCTACTCTGTACAGCGAAGGGCCAGTGCCGAAGCGAATCTTGTTATTTGATGTCGAGAAAGACACGCGGAGAAGACGTCCTTTCTCCAAGCAATCTTGGTCATTTTTCTCAATCCGCTGGTGGGTGTCGACCAAGATATGTCCGTGGGGTACTGGTGAACTTGAGTCCTGGCATCTACAAGAATTTGCCGCGCCTAGCTAACCAATGTTGTCAGTAGAACTCAGCGTTTCCTGATCGCGACTCGGCACACTCTTTTCTGTTTGGCCTCGCAGCTTTCACGCTGCGAGTGGGGAGTTTCCTTGTCACAAATGAATCCCTTAGTCATGACCATGATGAGAGGTGACTAGTATGATCCCTGACTGGCATGAGTCCTTAGCTTGAGTCAACACGAAGGTAAACTCTTCACTTGGAACGCTTGCTGTCTCCTCCGCCCTTTCTTGTTGCACTTGCAGATATGCGCACGGCTGCCAGTTTTTGTTGGTGCGCGCGGCGACGCACGCCGACCTTGATGTCTTCAAAAAAGTAGAACAGCGGTTCTCCTTGGCCGATTCTCATCATCGATAGCTCATTTTCAAGGTCTTGGAATTCTCTATCGGTTTACCGTCCCCGATTTCTAATTTTCTCTTCATTCACTTGTTTGCACGCCTTCGCGTTTGAGTGATTTCACCATCCGATCTCAGCCAAACGAAGGCCAAATCGAAAAATTCGAGACGGTAACCCCCCAAAGACACACCTTCTGAACACGAATCCACAATGGCCTAATGTCTAAAACCAACGAATACAGCCAAGCTCCACTCAGAAAACACCCCACAATTGCAAGAAACAGCCCGTTTTGCTGTGCGCTGATTGGTCAAATCCAAATGACCGTTATTGACGCTTTGTATGGTCGTGGTGAGCCCTGACATTAATACTGGTTCCACTGCCTTCATAGGCCAGGATATCTGGGTCCAGCTCCGAAAGCAGAGAAAACTGCGGATAGCTATACATCAAACGTGCATCAGTGCTCATACACATTCTCCATGCTCTCCGCCGTCTCTCGCCCCTCAACTCACATCGCTCTGCTTGCCGCTGTTTGCGGCAGCAATGGCACGCGCCGTCGTCATGGTGATGGCCTTAGTGGCGTGGATCAGATCCTCGGGCGTGGACTCGCGCTGTGGTGCCTCACTGGACGTGAAGATCTGTAACGCAGAGACCAGAACAAAGTGTTCAAAGTTGAGTTGAGTGAATTGTTTCTCGTGCGAATAGAACGATTATCCACTTGGTACTGCAGCATTGAGGTTTCTCGGCACTTGTGCCAGTGGTTGTGAGACTTATCTCCTCACCCCCGCCGCTAGGCGCTGCATCTGCCGCTCGGGTTTACCGGGTGTTAGCGGCCGTCGTGAGTTCCATTCGGGAACGGACACGATAATTTACTTATTACTTACTTACTGCAGCATTCTGATCAGTTCGGTAGCTGTGGATTTCAGAGCATTGATAATGAAACCCGCCTGATTCACGGTCTTCCACTGAAATAACCCGTCCCCGTGTAGTACACACACAAATAGCCGTAGTGAATTGGACAATAGCGTGACAACAACAAGAGTACGCACTTCAAACTGTCGTGACATGCAAAACACTATACCTGGAGCTCTTGGTTGACGGCCTCGATGGCGGTCTCCATACCGCGTCCGCCGCGTGCCGCTTCGTCGTCGGAGATCTTGACGGTCTTGATGAGCGACGACACACTGCCGATCATGACCTTTGCGCATGTCTTCAGCTCTTCCATCTCCGGATCGGCCACGCTCTTGCCGCTGGCGTTCTTGGTGGCCAGCAGTAGGCTGGAGAGCGCCTGGCTCACGTCCTTGGCAGAGTTCAGCACCATGACCTAGTGTGTGCGTGTGTGCACGTGTGTGTGTGTGTGTGTGTGTGTGTGTGTGTGTGTGTGTGTGTGTGTGTGCGCATGCGTGCGTGTGCGTGTGTGTGTGCGCATGCGTGCGTGTGCGTGTGTGTGTGTGCACGTGTGTGTTGCGTAAAGAAGAAAACACGGTAGCTTGATGTACATTGCCAGGGTACGTGCACCTGAACCAAACACTATAGTACAAGTTTGCCCTCATGTGCTCCCCGTTTGCCAGGAGTAAATGAGCACCAGGGTGTGCAGCTGCAACGCTGGCATTCCTGCCACTACATGACTTTAGTGATGCAGCAGCACCTATAGGCAAGGTTCCAGCAGATCTGCTGTTGCACAATGTTCAGCCAAGCAGTATGCACCGTGCCATCTTACTTCGCCGTCACAACTAAGCTCCCAAGTCTGAACAGGCTAAGCACTGTTAACTACACAGCAGTGTGACTTGAATCTTCAGTGTAATAGTATGGGCGAGCATGCACGTGATATTTGCTAATAAGGATGCTCAGACAAGCTCCAATTGACACATGCTTGTAATTGTTTTGGAGTACAAAGCAATACCACATTGTGAAGATACACAACAACGAGAGACAAGAGGAAACACTTGGGAATCATCCACATAGCCTTTCAATCATCCACATAGCCGTATAATCATCCAGAATCCACATCCAGTATTTACACGTGCTCGTCGTACCACATACCTGTGCCTCCTTGTCGTCTGGCCCGATGGCCGCTGCGCCGTCCTTGGCGGCGTTGGCAATGCCCTGGACGGTCACAACGATACTCTCGGCCGCCGCTGCCAGCTGCTCCTGAGTGCCAGCAGCACTGGCCACTAGCTTCTTGGTGTCCTCCACTAGAGTCTTGGCATTGCTCATCAGAATGTCACTGCAAACACACATGTACAGGTAGACCCCCTTTAATTCGAACTTCAAATTGCCAGGCCCCAAATTCGAAATATCCGGAACTTCTAATTATCCAAAAGCAGCCCCGTGTATTGATGTGTATGTCACAATACTCGAAATCGCATGCTGATAATTTTTGCACATTTTACTTGCATTTTTGTATTGGCAACGCACTAAGTCCCATAGTTCTCCACTCAACCACTCTTCACAAGATCCCAATCAGGGCCAGTCGGTGCGGCATTGCAAGATCCGGTCTCCAGTACAATGTGGTGCTAACCACTCACCGATGGTCGGAGAATGTGTCCGTGGGTCCCAGTGGTGTGAGAGTGCCGGCGTCGGCAAACATACACGTTGTTTCCAAGTCGCCCGTGACACCAGAAAGGACCATGATCGACTCCAGGCACGCCTGTGTTCCCCGCGATCCGGCCTGCAGTGCAGCTAGCATGAATGACACCTGCACACGTGTATGTACACACACGCATGCACGCACACATGCACGCACACACACACACACACACACACACACACACACACACACACACACACACGTACACACACACACACACGTACACACACACACACACACACACAAGTCAAAGCAAGGCAACACCAGCCTTTGCTAACCACTCTATTGACGGCAAGATATCTGCAGTGAATTTTTCTGAGTCTACAGGAGGAAATCACACTGGCACTTGATACACACTGCGGTGCATCAGATAGAATCATACAGCAATGGGAGTTCGGGTCGGGCCATGCATAGGGGTTGAATGTCCCAAGTAGGGGGCAGCCTTGCCCCAATCACAGCCCAGGGACACACTTGATCTGACTACAAAGACACAAGGTTGGGCCATGCATAATGGGCTGAATGTCCCAAATAGGGGCAGCCACCTCCACTTGTAGCCCCTGTCACAGCCCAAGGCCACATTTGATCTGATTGTAAACACATATGCACACACGCACGCACGCATGCACACACGCACACATGCACGCACGCACGCAACGCGCGCGCGTACACACACACACACACAAAGACACACACACACACACATACCTGCTGTGAAACGGCCTTGGCGGCGCTGCCCAGCTCCAATTTGTAGAAGGAATCGGACGGGTTGTCCATCACTGCACCAGCGTTGGAGATCAGTTGACCAATGGACTCACCCAGAGCCTTGGAACTCTTCTGAATGCGAGCGGCAACCTAGCCAACAGGAACAGTGCGCAGCAACCCAAACAACTGGATGAGTTAATTGAAAAGCAGGGATTTGACAAGCTGTACCTCCTTGGTGCAATATGTGAACTAGTATCACGTGTAGCCATACGATACGCACATCTATTCTTCTTGTTTCTACACATGCTCACAGTCCCAGGCTATACTAAGTACTAAGTACTGGCCCAAGAAATCCAACCTCATGAATTAAATAGCGTCGGGTGCTACACAGCCCTAGCTCTGCACATACTGGTCTGTGCACTCGAACACGGCGCTACTTTATTCATGAGGTTGGATTTCTCTGGCCAGCACTAATGTACATATTCAAAGGGGTTCAAGTCTAGCACAACCAAAGTAGCTTGTCAAGGTGTTCAAGTCTTGGTGAACACAACAATTGTTCAAGGCCAGGATCTCGATGCCTTACGCTGACTGACTACATGACCATTGTACTACTTTCCTTACATCAGCTTGTTCGCAGGCAGCCAGTGCATTCCTGGCCTCTCCTCCCAGCGCTCCGAAGTGATTGGTGATGTCGGTGAGCAGTGGGGCGATCTTCTCTGGCTCTGTGCTGGCCTTGCCAAGCTGATCACAAGAAGAACATAACAGAAGTTGCAAGGCGTGAGCAAGTAGTCAGAGTGGAGAGCAGAAAAAAACAATTAAAAAATTCACGGTTCGCGTCAGACTCGGCTAGAGGCCGAGTTTTCCGCATCCGTAGGAACGCCACCATCCTTCAAGGATCAAGGCGCAGATGCAGCTCCTAAAACGGTGGGAGGTGAGTAGATGCAAGCACTGAAGAAAATGAATGCGTTCTGTCTCATGCTTATCCATGGTGAGACACACACAGGGATACCGCCTCGTGTTTCAGCTCATGAGAAGGAATGGTTAACAGATGTACCAAACCATACAATTATGTATTGCCACTACAGCATGGATTGGTCACGGTGCAACCAGCTCATAAACTCAGGCAGCCATGCAGGACTCCTAGTGAAAGTGCTTTCCAGTCTGGTAGACATGCGTAGTCTCGGTATTCAAATTGATAGGCAGCCAGATATAGAAAGGGTTCGCTCCCCACACCAGAGCTCGCGCTATTCCGCTGACTTGACTTGACACTTGACTGACTCACAAACCCTTTCTTACAAATCATCGCCGAAGTTGCAACCACTATTTCGTACTGTTGTAGCCAGATGTAGAGAAAGAGAATTATGAACATAATTCTGAAGAAGACCGATATGGTCGAAACGCTAACAGTCGTCAGTATCAAGTCTGGCTTCTGTTGTGTGGGTAGACAGACATACACACAGACAGACAGACAGACCGACCGACATACAGAGAGACAGACACACAGACAGACACAGAGACAGGGAGGCAGACAGACAGACGGAGAAATGCAGGACTGGGCAGCTGTCTGGACAACAAGATCTCCACGACTTACAATAACTTGACTGGTCGTGGCAATGCTCCGTGTTGTGCGCACCAGTGACTCCTGATACTCCAGGAAAGACTTGTCCGGATCCAGGGCCAGAGCATCATCCAGCTACAAAGGAGCATAGCATACCAACACAATATGCACATCTCACATTCACAATAGATTCTTGGCTGGAAGGAAAGCAAATCAGCACACGGAGCACAGAAGCCGTATAGTTTCGACTAGGCCTTTCGTACCATTACATTTCAAGTCAAATACAATGGTGATTAACAAGGTAGCAAGCAAGTCCTTATAACCGGCAATTTGGCGGTCAGAGCGGTTAGGTTCACAATTTTCACAACAGGATTCACAGACGGTCTATAGATGCATTGCTTGGAGCACATGCAAGGCTGAACTGTTCAAGATATTGAACCCCGTGAGCAGAACTATCAGCATTGCATCCCGCTTAGGAGAGAGTTGTCTGTTGGTAGCGAGACTTCAGTTGTACAATGCTGTGTGTGTGTGTGTGTGTGCGTGCGCGCGTGTGTTTGTGTGAACACATCGTGGCTCAAGCTGTGCTGGACGGGGTCAACTCACTCTGTCCATGACCTGGCGAATGGTGGCGATGGGTCCCTCAACACCGTGTGATGCCATGCCGGCCTGTACGGTGGTGATGAGCTCACCGGACGACAGCTGTACGGCCTTGCCAGCCTGCACCACCTCGGCATTAGCCGATGTAGCCTGTCAGTCCAACACACACATGCACACACACACACACACACACACACACACACACACACACACACACACACGCGCATGCACACACACACGGCAAGGCATAACAGCTAGTACGCAGACCATGGGTTATAGCTCAGGCACAGCAGAGCATAGCAGCCAGTGCACTGACAGAACATGAACTATAGAGCTCAGCAATCTAGTGCTCAGCTGAGCTTGCTAATTCAACAATAATGTGAAAAGATATAATTATAGACAGACAGACATCACCTGGGTAAGGAGTGCTGCTGGGATTGAGTCGCTGCGTTATCTAAATACCGATAAACTAACCTTAGTTATCAAGTGGATGGCAGACTCCATGTGTTTGAATGGAGCAGGACAACATTTCATAGGTAAGCCCATACACTGGCCAATGACATGCCACAAAGGTGACCAAACAACTTGATTGAATACAGGCAGTCCTTACCGATGAGTTTCCACCAGCTTTCTTGCCGACAGTCAGAAGCTCAAGCAGACATTCGACGAGGGTCTTTGCCTGGTTGAGGATGAGCATCTGGCGGGTTGAGTCCTTGGTTCGGCTGGCAGCTCCGACAAGGCCACTGACCAAGGGATCACAGTAGCTGCTGATCAGACTGACCTGCAGGTGCAACAGGACGTGCAGAACGGGAAGGTGTAGTGCATGTCAAGTAAGCCGGATGCGAACAAAGGGGTGCTATATCACCGCCATGCTCGGAGACTGGCTATCCTAGGCCCTACAAACCACCTGTCTACCTGCACAGGAAGACAAACTATCTAGGCTGCAGTACACAGTGGGTACAGTGTAGCAGCCTGGAGTGTATAACGTTTTTCGCAGCATTGTCCCTCTCCGTACTGTCTCTCTCGTCTGTATTATATTACGCTCATGCCCCATGTAAATACATCAGTCTTTGTCTTGTCCCGCAATGGACACCTGCGTGGCTAGCAGGCCAAGCACAACATGGTGGCAGCGGTGGGATTCAAACCCACGCCTCCGGAGATACTGGAAAGGCCGAACACACTGACATAGCCAAGAACACAGTTTGTCATGCAGCACCCCCCACATGACCAGTACTTACGGTGTGGCCCAGTTTGGTCGGGTCGGACGTGGCTGCCTGCACCACGGATCTCACCGTATCCTGAATGCCGTTGAGAGCACTGACGGAACGCTCCCGGAAGCCCTGCATGCATGGCAACAGCATCGGATAGCGCAGTGTACAGACAGGGACCGTGTGCATGCAAGGCTTAGATCATCTTGAAGGCATTGCTGTATACTCAGTTCTGAGCATGGCAGATGTATACTTGGTGTTCGGAGCACTTGCACCCCCCCCCCTCGCAAAAAGTACCACCCAGCCATTATATTCCCTATACATTTCAGCATTAGGAATGTTACGAAAAGATTGAAGATTACAAGTCTGCATCCCTGTTCATATCATCGAGTCAGATACATTTACAAATAGGCCAGACTGCCGCCATACTACACTCTAAATAAACAGCTGACAGTGGTAATTCTCAAATTGAATCCTGAAGAAATGCATGTGCCACAGCCTCATGCTGTGAACGGCAGCACCTCCCCCCCCCCCCCTGGAGAAATGCTTGGTAAGAGAGCCTGTACCTCCAGTGTCGACTCGGCACGCGGCTGAAGAGTGTTGCTGATTGCGCCCAGGGTGGACTGATCAATTTCGTTCATCAGCTTGACAATGCTCTGAATTGCAGTCTCACATTCATGCTGTCCAGGTGCTTTGGATCTGCAGGAGGACCAGTAAGTGAAGGAACATGGCAACAACACAAACAATGCAGAAAGTTGTGCACTTTGTTTCAATATACAGACGAAATTCCATCAGTGTGAGCATCATCCGAGCGAGATATTTTGTTGCACTCAATGCCGACTCTGCTGGTGTTGTACATGAACAGCATTCCCAGATTCTGATCATGTCAAGTGACATAGTGCATTACATAACCCGTGTGTGCCTGACTGGATTAGGAGACATCGCAGGTACACTTGATGGTCGGTGACGCTTTCCCTGCCTCTCACACACTCCAACCATTCAAAACATCCCACTTCTATTTTGCTGCATGCGTGCCATCGGATAGTGTAGTAATTTTGCAAAAAAATGAAAGAAAAGAAGGTTCAATCACAAGTTCCGGTGAGGTCAGCATGCTTCCTATGAGGGTGCTGTGGTGGCATGGATTCCGGGCCAAGGCTGTTTTGAAGAATGTATGCCCCCCCCCCCCTACCATCCAGCCCACCATCCAGCCCATTGCCATACTTTTGATCAGTGACTTACACAATTTCTTCAAGTAATCTCTTGACGGCTTCGGTGACGGTCTTGCTGTGCATGGCGAGGAGTTGCCACGAGGCTGCATCGTCAGCGTTGCCACACAGGCTCTTTGCCGCGTTGACAAAGCTGACGCTGGTCGACAGGACTGCCTTGGCGGCCTCGATGATGGGCTTCATGTTCAACTGAGCCTGCATGGTGATGTTAGACAAGTACATGTGCACAGTATAGTCATTCAAGAGAAGCAGTTACACGTGATGTGTTCAGTCAGCTTTCCTTAGCCATCACTTACCATTATCCAACCTGCATTCTCAAGTTTCAAACATTCTAAACTGCATACTGCTTGTACAGCAAGACAGTGAGACTCTGGACCTCGGCAGTCCTCGGCAGTGCCGTGCCGTCTTCTTCACCACCGGCATTGTACACTCTGCAATGAATATGGGATCCGCTCTGGTAAACCTTCAAATCCGGACGAAAACTTTTGGTAAATGAAAACGTAGCTTGACCATGAAGGAGCAATTTCCCTCGTACAGCGCGAGCATATTGTCAACCCTCAGTCTTCACTTACGCTTTTGCTGATCTTGGCTGCTACGGACGCAAACTCTGGCGATGCGGAGAACACGACAAACTTGTCAATGGACTCTAGCAGGGGTATGGTGGACTTCTTACACACCTCTCTGTTCTGATCCGTGAGTCCACCAGCCAAGCTCTGAATGCAGTGAAGAGGGGGGGGGGGGGACCGGCACAAAGAAACACAGCAGAAGGCAAGTTGACCAAACTAGGCTACACACTGTGACAACACATGGGGAATAGCTGAGAGACACAGCACTGTCAACAGGAACATCATCAATACACCAGGCTCAACAGCACCACAGGAGATAGCTGAGTCATGTAACAGGAGCGAGAGTTGATACCCATCAATACTGGAGACGAGAGGTAAGCTATGAGCAGCTCAAGTCATCTATACTTTCTCAGTTCAGATCGGGGCTTTGTAATAGTTTATTACGGGTCGTCCACAAATATCAATATTTTTTAGGGAAGATATTCGTTCTTTGGGGGGGGGGGGCTGTTCGTCTTGTCTTTGTGAAAGATATATCGATCTCTATCTATGGACGGGCACTGTGCAAACATGTAGTTATGACCTTCACAAAGTGAAAGTCAACCTCGTGAACATAGCCACGACAAGGTTGTGCGACCGTGGCAACGTAAGCCTAGGTGTATCATGCACGGTGAATTTGAAGTTACAGTTGGTCACGTTAACGTTCCATGTACCCGCACACACACACACACAGAAACCATGGTGAGAGAATCACATGATAACCACATCAACACCATGTCCTACTGCTGGCAGCTGGCTAGCTCACCTTGATGGCCTTGACCAGTTGACCGGTGGCCTCGGCAATGTCCTTGGCCGACTGCACAAAGTTATGGCGAGCCACCTCGTTGCGAGTGCGCTGCGAGGCGCTCTTGCAGCTGTTGCACAGCGCGGCCGTGTGCTTGGCGATGGTGGTGGCGGCGGCCAGGATCTGCTGGTTGCGGCTGGCCGGGTTCAGCAGTGTGTCACAGGCGTTCTGGATGGCCTGCTGCGCCTGTGCAGTCTGCGTGCTATCCACCAGGCCCGGCTGCGAGGCGATGCTGGTCGGGTCCGATACTCCGATCAGATACGCAGCCTGTACAGCACAGGCAAGGCAATCATGACATACATCACTTCAATATGTTCTGTGATATTTACTACAAATCACTCACAGCGTGAATCGATCACAGACTTCGTGGGCCAATACAGTGTTGAATGAGTACTGATTGTTTCACACTTTTTGGCATGCTGAAGCGACCAGGGTACTACAAGGTAGCATGTCTTATAGTGATGCTAATCCCTTCCCACTTTGTGTACGTGCTCTTCATTTTCTTTTTTCTCTTCTTCCGTGGTTGGTCTCACCCTCTACTCAATTCAATTGGCTGTCTTGACATGCCACGAGGTGCAGAAATAAATAAATAAATAAATAATAAATGACCTGATGAACATCCGTGATATCCCGTTGACCGCATGGTTACCCTCAGTACAGTGTACATACATGCTACAAGGGATAGAGTTACAGTGACAACACTGGATCATACCTGAGCGGCAGCCTCGAGCAGTGAGGAGATGCATTCCGCAGCCTCCGTGATGCTGTCTCCGAACTTGTCGAATTCACGCTTCTTGATGTGAGCCGGAACGACTCCCATGGTTGCGCCAAGTGTCTGTAAGGCCAAGGAGCAGAATGATCACTGTCACACACAGCACCGTACACTCTAATCCAATAGAATATGATGCTGCTGATGAACGCTTGTTGTGACCCCATCACGCATCCTTTGGATAGCGGGACAACCACCATGACGTCACCTAGCCCAAAATGCAGTATTCGTGGATGTAATTGTTGATGAAAAAGGCACAGCACAAATTCTGCAATACCACAGGGGTGCGCTGGGCTTTCAGCACTGGGTATCAGACAGGACTGGCGGAACCAGTTTTGATTGGTTCGGCCATACCTAAGTCTTTCATATGTATTATGATCTGGCAGTACACATGCCCTTCAGAAGTAAACACTCGTTGGCGGGTAAAAAGTTGGTCCGGCCGTGGCCTGACCAACCAGACCTGTTCCGCCACATCTGTTGGATAAGTGTATGGGCTTGTGATAGTACACTCTCTTACCGTTGCCTTTGCCTGGACTGTCTGCTGGCATTCGAGGAACGTCAGGTCTGTCACTGGCTCAGAGATGGTCTCCAGTATGCTACCAGATCCCTGCACACAGGACAGCATTGGGGGTATGCAAAGAGAAGTCAAACACACCGTACTGGTAATACTGTTAAAGGCTACATTCAATCACCAACCATCATAGTATGCATGTATACGAGACACTGGTAATCACAGTGCGCAAAGCTCGTCGAAAGAGCTGATTTATCTCTAGCTCTACTGATGATGCCATCCAAGCAGTAATAACGGTATCTTGTAGGACTGAATGTTCCCACTTATCTCCTTTCCGAAGGCCTACAGTTCAGCATCGTTTGCAGTACTACTCATTAGCACTGGAGAATGTGGAGGTAGCAAGCCTCACCTCAATGCTACGCAGAACGTTCTCACACTCCTTTTGGCCAGGCGTTGTCGACACGCACTTGCCCAGCAGGGTGTTGATGGAGTCCGTTACGTTTCTGCTCTCTACGTTCAACTGGTTCTTGGCATTGAGCGCTTCCGGATGCGCCGCCAACTGCTTGCCAGCCACCAAGAACTTTCCAGAGGAATTCGCCAGGGCCATTGCAGCATCAATAATCAACTTCTGATCATCCTTGCTCTACAACCAAGCAGACACGAAAATAAATACAAAATTGAATATATCAGTAAGAGCAGGCAACAGGCATGGACAAGCAATGGGTTTAGGGAGAGAACCAGTAATTTGGTTCAATGCTGAACATCCCGGAGAACATAGCTCCCACATGGTAGAGGATAAAAATACTTTGCTTTACTTTTGTAGCACCAGAGCGGCATGAAACACTTGCATGAACAAGCAACGGGTTCAGAGAGCGAACCAGTAACTTGGTTCAATACTGTGATTAACAATATTATTGAACCTCCTGGAGAACATAGCTTCCATAATAATGGTAGTGAATAACATATGTTTTACCTTGGTAGCACCAGCGATGGCCAGAGCGGCATCGAACACTAGCATGGCGTCGTCGGTGAACTTCTTTGCGGCCTTAGCCAGCATACTGCTGCCGCCCTTGGAGGACACGACCAGGTGAGAGGCACTCGCGTTGAGACTGGCACCGTTCTCGTTCAGTGTCAGCTGCAACTTCTGATAGCTGTCAGACGGTTTGGGCAGCTGGCCAGACGTCACAGTATAGCGCGGTGACGCCGCATTGCCGACATCCAACCATGTGAGAGCATGTAAACACATGTACAGTCACAGACAGACAGACAGACAGACAGACAGACAGAACGACAGACAGACAGACAGACAGACAAAGACAGACAGACGGACACACACACGTACACGCATCCGTAAACACATGCGCAAACACACATTCAGCGTCATTATCCACCTACTGTATCCTCTGTGGGTAAATTTACCATGCACCCCACTACAGCAAGATTCGACTACAGAGGATGTGGGGATGTAGACATGTTAAATGAACATTACGAATCCGAGAAAGAGTGAGAGTGAAACATCAAGTAACAACTACAAGCTCATAGCTGTACTGATGAGGCCTTTCTGGCCAAACAGCTAGCTGTATAATAGCAAGTACTGCAGTAAAGCCCAGTCCTTAGCCGGAACCGCTGCTCACCTTTCCGCTGAGCTTCTGAGCCGCCTTGGCGATGGCCTGAATGAACGTGTCGACATCACGTACGCTTGGCAGGCAGCCAAACATGACGCCGAGCGACTGCTGGACATTCTTAGCACTCTGCACAGAGATAGATCAGTAGCATATGAACTGATGAGTGTATGCGAGATACCCAATCTGTCTCCTGGTTGTATCTTGCCCATGTCGGGTTCGCCAAATTTACTCATTCGCAAATTTCCCATGCTGAATTCAATTCAATGGACAGCACGTTCACGAGCAGATTGCAGATACGGGAAGCCACAGATAGCTATTTGGTTTTCTTGGCTGTAAAACTACTGCATGATTGGGCACTCATAAGCATAGGATGCTGTGTGGAGCAATCCTCATTATCTATGGTAACAGCACAGCTATCATCCTAGTAGAAAGGCAACCTTGTGCCATATGGGCTCAGTTGTTCAGTCACACTTTTCTGGATTCATTTTCAGTAGAGGAAAAGTGTTTGCCAGGTGGATGGATCCACGTGTATGATATGATGCAAGATCGATCCCAATAGATCCCAATAGAGATCCCAATAGAGATCCCAATAGAGATGCCAATAGAGATGCCAATAGATGCCAATAGATCCCAATAGAGATGCCAGTAGATGCCAATAGATCCCAATAGATCCCAATAGAGATTCCAATAGATCCCAAAGGAGATCCCAAAAGATATCTAGGACAAGTACCAGAGCAAGCTGGGCCTTGGGTTGAGGTGTGCCCGGATTCAGCAAAGCATCTTTGGCGGCCAGGAGAAGCTTCAATGACTGGTCCATGAGACCACTGCAAGCCTGCATGATGGCCTCCTGAGCCTGGCGTTGATCCTGGAAGCCAGCGGCCACACCACGGCCGGCGGTGTAGACCACCTTCAGAGCATTGGCCACGTCACGTGCAGCCACACCCGTGTAGTTCTCTTTGCCCTGTGCAGGTTGAAGAGAGCGAGAGAGAGAGAGAGAGAGAGAGAGAGTGTGTGTGTGTGTGTGTGTGTGAGAGAGAGAGAGAGAGAGAGAGAGAGAGAGAGAGAGAGAGAGAGAGAGAGAGAGAGAGAGAGAGAGAGAGAGAGAGAGAGAGGCACCGTGTTCTCCCACCATTTCATGGTTAATACGAAGCCATCTGCTGCTCTCGAAGATTTACCATGTCTTACCGGTTATAACTTGCCCCCCCCCCCCCCAATAATTGGTGCCTCGACTTTCAGGTTCAAGGACAGTTAGACCCCGGTTGTAAGTCAACCATCACTTTTTTAGTTTAGATATTAGGTCATAAAAGGTTGACTTTTTACCTGTGAAATACGGTACTGGACCATACGTCAAACTCGATACCGTATGAAATCAGTTACATGTGGGTGTCATGTCACGGAGGGGCCAGATAAACCAGTAATTGCTGAATGTTCTTCACGACTTGAGCATAACTCAATGCCTTCTATACCGGCAGCCATACCTGAGATGCAGCAGTCAGAAGTTGGGCCATGGACGAGCCGAACGTCTTCGTGGAGATTCCCAATTCCAGCGAGGCACTCTCCAGAGTCTCGCCGGGCAGGGGCAACAGCTTGCCGCTCTTGATAACCTTCAGAACGGCCTCGATGTCCTTGGACAGCTGGCGGACATTGTCCTGTCCGAGAAAAAAGCACAAAAGAACTACGCTGTTGCCAACTCAAGGGTATTGACATCTAACCGCTAGTTGGATCAAATAGACAAATGCCTCCAGAAGAAGAGTTTATCACTGCAGTACTTCTCTGTATGAATACTACGTGACCAGTATTGGAAGATCACACATTGTACATCTTAGGAATAATGGGTGTCTTTGATTCCCTCTGATATACACCATGTATAGCCCTACATCACTGGGGTGTTCAAAGCGTGGATTATACTCCAGAAAATACAGCACTTACGGCAGCGCTGTCCAGCTCCAGTGAGCCACACGTCTGCAGCGCAGCCTTGGCACTAGTGCTCAGGTCCACCAGCAGAGCGCTGAGCGACTTGGAGAAGTTGCTCAGTTGCAGAGCGGCCGCAGAGTCACCGATGGTTGGCACGGCCGCTTTACACGCAGCGACGAGCTGAGAATGAGAAGAAAAGGAAAGATAAAAAATAAAATAAATTCACGGTTCGCGTGAGACTTGGCCAAAGGCCCAGTTTTCCGCATCCGCAGGAACGCCACCACCCTCTTGGAAAGATTGTTATGTAAAAAAAGGGAAGAAAACATAATGAGAACGAGTTGTGCAGCAACTATCCACGACTGTAACAAGATGATAAACGGTCAGAAAGTGCGATAATATGGCACAAAACTGACAGGCTACTGAGACATTCATTAGAGTCATGAATACTAGTTCTTCTGAAGCAAAAGTTTGTAACATCAGTGTTCTTGACAAGGTTTCACCATAACTCAACATGCATCCAATGCCTAATTGTAGCGGCATGCATCCAACGCCTACCCACCCTGGACGTCGGCTGTGCTAGCTGCTGGCACGAGTGGATCAGGCCGAGCTGGGCGGACGCGCCGTCCGGATTGCCGTTCACGAAGCGGATGGACTGCACCAGGGCGCCGACAGAGCTGGCCACCTCCTTGCCGTGCGCGGCTAGCTGCTGCTGGGAGGCGGTGTTGCGGTTGCTGGCGCCGGCACCCTGCGCCGCCGCGATCAGCTGTGTGGCGCCGGAGGCGGTTTGCTTTGCCACGTTCTGCAGCTTGGCAATGGCCTGATATCAATAACACACAGAGTAGTACACCAAAGTGCAGTAAAACCTGTCAAGGCGACCACCTGCCCTGGAAGACCACTGTATCCAGGGCCAAGGGATGCTATTTGCAGTCAAACGACCCTGGATAAGGAGACCACCTGGTAACAGAGACCACATTTTGAAGGTCCCTTGAGCAGTCGCCCTAGACAGGTTTCACTGTATCAGCAACGTACAGTAGCAATGCAGACCCTACCAGCGAACATGACCTTTAGAATTATAATTATAGAAGTTGCATGTCCAGATCCCTGTACCAATATCAGGTGGTAACAGGTGGTGGTCGGGGGGGGGGGGGGGGGGGGGCAGTATTTTCCCGATTTTTCAATTATGTTCTTGCCCAGTCCCCTATGCGTACAAAGGCCGTATAGATGGGGATCATGTTGGAAGGTGCACATACATGTAGCTATGTATAATGGTACGTTCCGGCTTGGTTTAAATCTTGCTTTGGAAAATTTAGTTTTCATTGCTATCAGGTTCGGCCTCAGTTCCTCTGTGCTGCGCTGATGAGTCCACAAAGGACGAAACAGTCCAGTCTGCAGATTGAGTATGTGTAAAGTACAAATGTCCTGCTAAGCTGACATCCCACACACCTGCTACTGGACTATCTGTCAACAACCTGCCAGTGCCACTCTCTGTAGACATGTCCACTCACCTTCTTGCGCAGGACACTACCAAATGCCTCGTCCACCACACTGCGCAGATCCTCGGTGGCCTTCTTCAGACCGGTCTGGTACACCTCGTCGTTGGCATGCGTGGCGGCGCCCTTTGCACATTCCACCATTTTCGCCGTGGAGTCGGCGAGCTTCTTGGCCGAGCCCAAGACTTGCTTCTGCTTTTGTGGGTCTGCAGACAGTGCCTTGGCCTCATCGCGGAGACCAGTGACAAGGCGAGATGACGCAGTCGCCAGTTGCCGGGCCTGGATAACAAGCAAGCAATAAAAACACCTCATCTCAATGCATGGACTATAATGGCTTAGAATATCCTGAGGACATTGGATGATACAAGGACACATGTATCCTCAGTGTACTCGTATCTCCAGTAATGTACACAGCCCCTCTCTTTACTGTGCAGATTGTCTATAGCCACATGTTACTGCTAGCGTCTTCTGAAGGCATAGCGTGCCTAACGGCATCATTGCAACGGACAACGATAGTGATTCAACCCATGACATATGTACATGTATGTTAGAGACGGGATATACATGTAGGTATGGATGGATAATGTGTTTTACCTGCTTGACCATGTCGGCTGGTCGTCCCAGACTGCTGAACAGCTGCTCGATGCTGTCCATGACGCTGTCGATGAGGTCCTCGTGCTGCGTGGACGACTTCCCCTCACCACTGCCGGTGGTCTGCGGTCCCTCGCGCAGCTTGTTCATGACCGAGTCGATGGCGGCTGTGACGGCCGTGGCAGCGCTGCCGATGGCCGACAGCTGCTTCTCGTCGTGGCAGGACTTCTGCGTGGCGCTGAAGATAGCGTCCACGGCGGCAGCAACAGCCAGCGCTGCCTCGTTCATCTGCTCCTGAGCAATGTGACTCGTTACGCAACTGGACAGTGTCTGCACGTGGCAAGAGAATATATGGGCACATGGTTTATATTACAAATCATTCCTTAAACCGTTGACAGTCTGGCTTGTGCAATGATGCCAGATGGAGTCATGGCTCATGGAAAACAATACATGAATGTAAGTGTGGATGCACTGATCTCCGTTGCTCACCTTGGTGCATGCTACGAGTTGTGATGTGCTGGTGGCGGTGCGCTTGGTGGACGTCACCAGCTCAGCCTTCAGTGTCTTGTCCTCGCACTTCTGTGCCACTTCCTTGACATGCTGCACCAGCGCCTGGGTGGAGTTAGCCACCTCCTTGGCCAGAGTTAGAAGTTGCTCCTGGTCATGAACAAAAGCCAGTAAGTAGGTCACATGATTGTAATTTATCCGTGTGTACCTGTGCAAACGCTAAGCATTCCGTTCTACAGGCCTCATCGTAAAGAACAGACTCTGACACTGTCTGCAAGTGAGATGCGTCGCAATCAAGGCATGCCCGCCTGGTTTTTACCTCCCTGAGCATCTAGTCGAAGTAACCCTTTTGCATGCTCTAACACACGCTTCATAGGGCTATGGCTGTGTGGAATTGTAACACGTTAACATCGATTATGTGCTTCCTGGTATGAAGGGTATGGTCGGTGTTATTTTTGTATGCCTAGATCAGGAAATTTACGAGAACATGCACAGGAACTTGAACAGTCTAGGCATGAATGACTAAGTTCGAATGAGCATACCTGGAATTCGGAGTTGGCAAGTTGCTCACCGATGGCCTTCAGGACCTCCCCGGAGGCGATGCCTGTGTCACCAGCGGCACCCAGTAGAACTTGACGTGACTGCAGTCGGCAAAAGAAAATATCACGGTTTCGGCGAGAAGGCACAATAGTTTCTAGTGACCTAAGTCCAAAGACAGCTCAGCAGAAGAGCACAGCTCAGCAGAAGAGCACAGAGCAAAGACAGCTCAGCAGAAGAGCACAGAGCAAAGACAGCTCAGCAGAAGAGCACAGAGCAAAGGACAATATGAAATGCACGTGCACAAGATGCAGACGGTGTTCACTGCATCTGCTCAGTTTGCATTTATCCTTGTCATGACGTACCCTGCATGCACTTGCACAAGGGTAGCAGAAAACAACATGCGACTGGGTGAAGCAGTGAGCCATTCAGCTCACAACAAATCTCTTTACACCGCTAGACATCTAGTACAGCACTGCCAAGTGCCGAAAAAAAAACAGGCTAGGATGTCACCAAGCACAGCATATCAATGCATACACGGTGACTCAACTGTGCATAGACTGTAGTAACTTTTACATGAAAATTAGAATGGCCTAGGCTAGGAGTCTGACCCCCAGTTCTTCGGCACCCGACATAACTGTACGCACTGGAATAGGGGGGGGGGGGGCACGGGTATGGAATCCTTACAGCATTCTGCTCCGGAAGGACGGCATTGAGCAGCTTCTGTGTGCTAGCGGCCAGATCCTTGGCAGACTGCAGCATCTTTTTGGAGTCCCCTGTATCGGCCAGGAGAGCTGCCAGTGTCCTTACACCCTTGGTCAGCTCCGTGAAGTTGGAAGAACTGTACAAACAGGTAAAACAATCGGTTAGACCGGGTTTTCCGCATCCGTAGGAACGCCACCACCCTCAAGGATCAAGGCGCAGATGCAGCTTCTAAAGCGATGGGAGGTGTGCAGATCAGACCCACATACAAAGTGGTCAAAAGACCGAAAATTCCATTCGCTGCATCCCTACAGGTCAACACGTTGGGAAATCAATGAGTCATCATACAAATGTGGAAGCAGACCGAGCACACAGTTGACTTACATTGTTGTCACTGAGGAACCGACAGCTGTGTAGTTCGTGTCATCATCATCGCCTACACAGGAAACACCAGTACCAATTTGAAAATTAGCTTAAGAGAAGACATACTGTGTTTGACATGCAACCAATAGTGACTTGTAGCAAGGCAAGTACACACACAAAATCCAAAATACGCCGGCACACATGAACACACACAAGTGCGCCACCCCCCCCCCCCCACACACACACAAATACACACAAGTGGCCAAGTTACCTGATGTCCGTCGAATGATCTGTGCAGCCGAGGCGGCAATAGCAGTGACTTGCGACGAGGCATTCTGCCGCAGGACATCAATCTGATTCTGTTTCCACTGCACAGAGCTCTGTGAGGGGAAAGGCACAGCAAAACAGCAACACGTGAAGGTTAAGTCCAGTGAACACGCAGCCCTACTAAACATGAACAGGCGGCCAGTTGAGACAGCTCGAATAGAGTGCCCTAGACACAAATGTGCAGAGAGCAGTATACAGCAAAGCCTGCCTAAGTCAACTGCTCAAGGAACCTTCAAAATGTAGTCCCCGTGTACAGGTGGTCTTCTTATCCAGGGTCGTTTGACTGGAGAAAAAAAAACATCCCCTGGTCCTTGTTGCAGCAGTCTTCCGAGACAGGTGGTTCCCTGATCAGAGTGGTTGCCTTGACAGGTTTCACTGTATACACGAGGTGAAGTAGTGAGCACTAGGCTCCTGAACTCTCTTGTAAGAGTTACAACTCACTACTATACCACAGTGGACTACTGGTGCAAAGCTATCCAGTGCTGCCAAGGTGCATCGTGTTGTTGTTTTGATAGAGCAGTCAGTTTTATGACCAACCCACATGCTAAGACTAGATCCACAGCCTGGGTGGTTTTAGTATGATGATAGGTTGTGTGTGAGTTGTATATACTTCTGGATAATAGAAATCATTGGTAAGCACAATCACGTGCACGTGCAAGCACACGAACACACAAATGCACACACACATGCACAAACACACACACACACATACACACACACAAACACACACACAAACACTAAAAACACACACACACCTCAGATCCCAGATCTCAGACCTGCCCTTCGCAGAAGCAATGGTAAAGAACAGCTACGACACAGCAACTAGTGATGGGATAACACAAACACACACAAACACACACAAGAGAGAGAGAGAGAGAGAGAGAGAGAGAGAGAGAGAGAGAGAGAGAGAGAGAGAGAGAGAGAGAGAGAGAGAGAGAGAGAGAGAGAGAGAGAGAGAGAGAGAGAGAGAGAGAGAGAGAGAGAGAGAGAGAGACACACACACACACACACACACGAGCACAATGCACTCACTGGGTCGGAGCCAATGGGAGGCAAGTCGGCCGCAGAGTTCAGGTCAGGTGATACGCTGGCAATCAGGGCCAGTGTGTTGTTGATACTTTTAGACAGAGCGGTCTGTGCAGCACTGGCGGTATGTGACACAGGCTGAAGAGCACCACAAACATAGACAAGTATTAAACACAGCAGTGGACAACACTCAAACCATGGGCAAAGTGCAAGCATCATTTCCTTCTGTAGGATCTGTCTTTCGTTTTCTTTCTGTAGTGGTATAATGGTCTGCAGACATTCACCCTACGAAGAAAGAGGTTTTGTCTACCGTACTCACTCGATTGAAAGCCATGGCTTCTTTCAATACCAATGTTGAGGAGGCTTCTATTCAAGAGGGGGTTTCTAATCGAGTGAGTACATGGTACACGATTGGTATTACTATGCGTACGCAATGGGATTTGGGGTTGATACATACAGGTTCTACTGTAGCGGCAGTTGCATTGGATCAAGTACATGTACTTCCTTGCATGCTACTAGTATTCAGATATCAAGACCTCATTTTTCCCGGAGGATGGGCCTGGCCTGGAACCCAGGATAGTCTTCCACCTTTACTATACGTAACCAAGGTAAGGGACAGCTGTGTGACGTGCAAGACGACAGTACATCTCCCCGGACCTTACCTGTGAAATTGACATGGTGCGCGGCATCATCTGGCCGAGCTGCATTCCGCCAGGCATGTGCTGTACTTGCGGCACCCTGAATGTACACATGGCACACGACAGGATGTACGTGATGGCACTGAATCACTACATACAACCCTGGTCGTAACCTAACACTAGTAACAGTAGCGAAATCACTTGTCAGCACACGTCGCTCTGCCAGTGATCGCAGTCAGCGCAACATCAGGAATCACTCTCAATGAACTCCTGATTCCAGAGTCCTTTTGCTGGATGTGTATCACTTGCAGCTGCTGGAGATTTGGGCAATCACGCCTCACAGACCATGGTAATAGCACGTTTATCTCCCCCCCCCCCCCTCCTTCTCATTTGAGTACACGGAAAGAATGAAACCACCTAAGTTTGAGTTTGCACTTGTGCATGGGTGAGTGCTGCTTACGGTGCTGGAGCTGCCTTTGCTGGGTCGGAGATGTCAGCAGCCTGTCCTCCACCACCAGGCAGGTTCTGTGCCTTTGTCTAAACAATATGCATGCATATTGGAACAGACGGAAACACACACCGGCGTCAGCGTATAAACGCAGTGGCAAAGAACAGCATAGCAGCACCTATGGGCTTTGCACTCATTGCCATCCGATGTTATCGTACACACTTTAGTTCAGTGGAAATCGGAAGCAGGTGACAGTGCAACAACTGCACTCCAACTGGAGGTGGAAACGCAATTGGTTTCATTTTTGTCACTAAGCCAGATCTTAGGAAAGAACTTGCTACAAAACTTGGGCAAGAACAAAATTGGTCGTACACTCAATATGTCATATGCAAGGCCGTCATGTTCAGTCTCCACTGCACATCACAATGCAGTGCAATGCCGACACGGATCTACATTGGCTTTCCATATTCTTCACATATTCACACACAAGCTGTGTAAAGGAGGATAAGCTCAACAGCTCAACAGCGATAAGCTTGACAGTTTCTTAGCGTTAGTTACCCGCTTCAGAACGATGTCGATGTATCCTGCGAGCAGCTGTGAGATTGCCTCGCCCTCTGATGTCTGCACGGAGTAATAGGACTCGGCGTAGTCTCCAAAATCCTGGACAACAGAAGAGCAAGGTTTTTTCTGTTATGACTCAAATGTTCGAGCACCAAAAGCATCATCATCAAGCAAATTGGTATAACATGTGGTAAGCATTTCAGGAAACGACACGCGGTAGACGTGTTTTTATCCGTCCGTGGCCTGCTGCAGAGCAGGCAACAAGTGTCAATCGGGTTGACCTTCGAACCGACCTTTAGAAGTATCCAGGTACATGATTTTGCACTGCAATAATCAACTTGTACAGCCATAAATGTACGATAGGTCAGGTACAGTGTGTGTTTGTGTAAAAGTAACGATAACTAGCCTTGCACTCAGGCAATGCCTCGTCCTCACGCAATCCTTCATGCGTACCAATTATCCATCTATTGCATACATGTACATGTATATCAGTTTTGATTTCCAAGCAGGCTCTTGCACAAGACACTCTACCACTGTACGCACTGTCTACATTCTGTGCTGCTCACCAGCGTGAAGCTATTGGGAGAGGCTGCCCAGCGACGGACAGTAACCAATGGCCACGTCTTGAGCACCTGCAACAAAAACACAGCACATAAAGCGAGCGTTGATCAACAGCTTCTTTCACACATCTGTCTATCCTAGTATTTGTGCATTTGTGTGGTGTCACAACAAGTACCATATGTGCAGACACTTTTAGTCAGAGAATAATGTCGTCCAACTCCGAGCAGTCCATCTGGTCACCAATATTATCCATAAATGACGTGACCTATCAAAGGGCAGGTGATTTGCGAGTATGAACGGGAACTTTGAGTATTGTCCGAAACGGACGGAATTACATTCCCCACGCACATTTCTGCCCCATGCGCGCACACACATGTACACGCGTGCACGCACGCGCGCACGCACACACACACACACACAAACACACATGCATACGCACACATGTGCACATGCACCCACACTCACCTCCTTGGTCTTCTCGTCTAATCGCATCACGTTCTCACGGGACACACCCAGCAACCTTGGCGTCAGCCTGTTCTTTCCCTTCACCTTCTCCTGTTACGTGAAACAGCAAAGATAGATACAAACACACACACACACACACACACACACACACACACACATACACACACATACACACACATGCACACACATACACACACATACACACACAGATGCAAAATAACTCAATGTCGGAATCAGGTATAGCAAATTGTTAAATCGGTTGCAAAGTGGATAGGTTTCCCTTTTTCACTGTGACGTAACCCAGTTCTGCGACACACGCTCACACCCCTGCCCACTCACTCGCACACATCACCAATCAATGAAGGTAAGACAGGCAGTGATATTAGTGGACCGTCCTGCCCTACCTTGACATGGAAGAAGCTAACTCCGTACGTCTTCAGCGAGCGGAACAGGCGCACATAGCGCAGCTTGGCATTGATATCCGTCAGGCCGGTCAGCTTCTGGAACTCGGCAATCACCTTGTCGTTGATCGCACGATTCTTACCATACTCCCGTGGCAAGAAGGGACCCAAGCTGGGCCACACAGGAAACACAACAATTCACATTGAAGCCCCGGACTTCCGCTCCGGCCACGATACTAAAAGCCTAAAACAGGTAAGTGGATGATGTTACAACTTTGAAGCTCGTCATACTAAATTAAGTGATTCATGAACTTTATTCTGCCAAGAAGTTCAACATAAATGTCCGTCTGAGTATCGCAAGAAAATTGGGGTGGTGAATCTTGCATGCATGTACAGTGTATGGGCATGCAACAAATACTGACCACACATATCAGGAATACAAGCCCATCAAAGGCCACAATAAGGAGGCTTGAGGGGAACTCACTCGCTGTAGGCTAATGTCTTGTTCTTGGCCGGGTCAAAGTTGCCAAATGTTTCTTGTGCCTGGAGCGCCGCAAACTGCATTGCAAAAGCAAAAACAGAGAACTCAAAGACGTGAACCTGACACCAATGACTGACATATTGGTCACTATAGAAGAGGCCATACAATGGTCCTGGTTGGCTAGTGTCATGGTCTGATGGAATCTCCAACCGATCGTTGTCTAAAGCTACAGGATATACGTGTACATGTAGGTGACCAGGGGGCCACTAACACACTAACTAAACAATCCGCTCACGTGGTCCTGGTATGTTAAATCAATTTGTTGTACGGTGTTACATTCAATTTTGAAAAGGGCGGCCAAAAGTGGAGGAAGGAGATGGGGAAGTACCATGCTATGTTGCTTTGCCTACAACCCTGCACCCTACCCCCCCCCCCCCCTTGATACACACAGAGAGAGGATCCGATGCTAGCACTGCAGTACTCACCTGGATTGCCTCGCCTTCAGTGATCGGATGGGCACCAGTGAGAATTGCACTGCGAGCCTGCACACCACCAAACATAGGTGAAAGAAGGATAGAGCACGGTGCATGAAATCGTACTCAGAGACATCTTGCTACATGCTCTGGTGTGCACAGCGTGCCTCACGGTGCTGCTCCTGAGAGAACATCAACATTCTAGCACTCACAATACATGATATATTGTGTCAACTTCACTCCACCCTGAGTACAAGAAGCATACAGGCAAGGTATGCAGCATGTAAAGGTACAGCACAGCAAAGTAATCTGTTTTGTGGGCAGACAGCAGTCAGACAATGGTGCGCACAACAAAAAGGAGAGAGAGTGCATCAATCTCAATAGACCCAGAGCCAATAACAACAGACACCGATGCATGGTCCTACCTACCTCTGCACACAGGAGGTTCAGCTGCACGGGGTCGTTCTGATCGATCTGCCGATTCCAGAACTTGAGTCGCAGTGTCAGCACTGTACTCTCCTTGATGTTTTGTTCGCGGAGAGACTTCTCCGGCTGCAGCCAGCGCAGCATTACATCACCGTCCATGACTCCGCTGACGGATCCACGGCGCTTAGACGCCTCCTGCAAGCACATACCGCATTTGCCGGAGAATTAGCCGCACACCACACAATCTTTTGCCGCAAAATACAGACATCTACCCTATTTCTCAAGCCGTGTGTACGGCTAGCAGACAAGGATGGCTACAGGGAGGGGGAGGGGGTCGAAGTGAAATGACTAGTTTTCGTTTCTAAACGAGAGAGCTTGGAAGCTCAGGGCCCTGCGCTATGCTTTGTTGCCTAGCTCATCGTGCATGTTGTTAGAACTGATGGAAATGCTTTTTCCTTTGACTAGCTACATCATTGTACTGCAAAAACGTTTCAATGAGTTCCTGAAGTAACGTCTTCTGCATAGCTATGGGACCGACGCTGACTCTTCCGATCACGGGCGTTCTGGAGTCGACGGGATGTCTGTCCTGACGTTCCCTGGGACCAGCGCTGACTCTGCCCATCACGGGCGTTCTTCTTCTTATTATACTGACGGCAACTAACATCCATTCTGATTGCATTTACTCGTCTCCCTACTTCGTATTTCTTTCCAGAAAATCTCCCCATACAGCAGAGAGTCGTTTACATAATATGACTCCCTGCATCTACATGACTGTATATACGGTAAAATTATTATGCTATCGGCCTACATGAGATTCCCGGGCTGGTCGACAGGCGGCCCAGCCAGCCTCTTAGTGGGATCTCGGCCTCGCACACAAATCCACACAAAATGTTACTGCACTGAATGCATTCGCCCGATACACTTCGCATATATACTCATTCTCTTGATAGTACCGTACTCTTGATGGTACGGGACAGGTACGGGATAGCGTCAGGTATGTCGATGGCACAAACAAACAAAAATATTGTGACCAGTTGTCTATGCTGGTACGGTACGGTACAGATACGGGATAGCAAAAGGCGTGACACAAACAAACAAACAAACAAACACCAAATTAAAGCTGTGTGGACCCTGGCTAGCGCCAGACGTTACTGAAGTAACGTCTTCTGCATAGCTACGGGAATAAATATCAATATTCACGGATGGCCCCTAAATCAGAATCAGTCTATGTGAATTTCTATGCATGGTTAGAGTGCAATGACTCACCGCTTTCTCCTGGTCAGTCTCCTCGTCCAGCAGTGAGTACTCGTTGGCGTTGGAAATGCCCACCCGCTCACAGATTGTCTTCACCAGGTCCTCAACCGTAGCACTGTCATCGATCTGCAGGAGACACACACACACACAAACACTTGCATTACCCGGCGCAATCTGTACTCCCCACACAACACACACGCTCATAAGAACTCCTAGAGCATTGATACGAGAGTACCTCACTGGTGCAGCTACTAGGGTGTTTTTGTCTTGTTCAAAACCAGTGCTGAACTGAGCAAGATCCAAGGCACATGTAGTTTCCAAACACCGAAGGTGAATAGCATCACTCGGACGCGTACCACGAAAAGACTGAGAGTGTGTTACGAATCTCCAGGCCCAGTAGGCTGCTCTAACATGCACACGGCTATCACCTTTTGGTTCACAGGAGGATAAAATGCTACCAAGGACGTAGGCCAACTGGTTCGCAGCATGCCCAAAAACCAGGCAATTGCGTTGACTTAACAGAAAGCAATGTTTTACTTCTGTGGTCTGATGTCAGGTATGTCGAGTCGAGATAGCCAGGAATCACTTTGAATACGCCCCCCCCCCCCCCCAGACCTGCACCCTGGCCTCGGTAAAACCTGGTTTAAGCGACCACCCCACGGTGCAAGCAAAAGCGGTCGTTAAAGCCAGGTGGTCTTTAGAACCAGGTCCCACAGTGTCTGTGTAGAACTGTCCGTGCATGGAAAAACGGTCGTTAAGAGCAGGTGGTGGCTAAACACAGAGGTCGCTTACACCAGGCTTTACTGTGCCATGTTCATGCACGGGGGGGGGGGGGGGGCATTACAAGACCCCTACATGGGATACAGTTTTCTTTGCTGCAGCCATAACGTTGTACATGTACAGTGGAACTCTGACAAGATGGACCCCTATGGGCAACAGGAAAGTGTACTCTTTATCTGCACGTATTTTGGTATGAAGTAATACACGGTGCAACAAACAATGCCAGTACTAAGCAAGCGTACGTCTCAGTGGAGTCTGAACTAAATGGCCTCCACTGTCTTAGCCACAAGTACTGAAGTACTTAGAGTCCATGTGGCATATTTCCGGCTGTGAAACATGCCCGTGAAGCTATCTAATGGCATGCAGGTGACACAGCAATGCTACCGATACGTACAAGCACGGTCTTCAGAGAGCCGTCCATCATCTTGACCCGCAACGGCCTCGTCTTCTTCACATAGTCCAGCAGGTCCTGCGTGTACATGCGTGCGACAGTAGAGACAATACATAATCAGGCACGACACAATCGTATTATCAATATGTCATGCAACTGAGCCAGACGCGTCGTGCTCTGTGACTCGTATGCCATGCATTATCAGTAGAACATCTGCACCCTGCACATGCATATTAATGCACACACTTGGACAACTACAGCCCTAGCACTGAAGTGCAATAAATTGTGCTTCATGATATAAATTACACACCGATTCACTTTCTGCATTTCTCACCGGCACTCTTTTTCACTTTACCTCTTCACACCGTGAATGCTTATGCCGCCAAAGGTGTGCAGTCATCTACAAACTCAGTGAGATCTTCAAAATTGTCTTCTGTTTCTACAATATCTCAACGCACCGTGATGACACGGGCCAATATGAATAGAATGAGTGTTAGCTGACTAATTTTCTTGTCTGCCGTGCTCGGCAGACAAGAAAAGTAATAGGGGTATGAAGGCATGGGATGTAACATACCCCGGAGCGTAGCGTGTAGAAATCCAATGTCCTGGCATTGTCCAGCCACTGCGCTTTCTTCGGGTCATCATTCGGTCGGAAAAGACCAGTGTCCTTTGCTGCATGTTATGAGGGTGAAAAGAAAATATCAAGTTAGGCTTTATTTGAAAATGCAGGCCCGGCAGAGCCGGTCCGGTTGGTCAGGCCATGGCTCACAGATCTCATCACTCAGGTGTACAGTCATGCACATAGATGTGTTGGCAAAACCCGCTAACCCTGTACATGGTGGGTGAGCTTAGTCTGCCGTGGAATTCAATCCTTGCTGCTGTGCCATGCTGACTATGCGCTGTGTACTTGTTGTTATTGTTATCAGCCTTTTCGAGTTGACATCGCCAAGTAAGCTTGGCTAGTCTTCATTTAGGCCGAATAGCGAAGCTGCGTACAGTCAGACCTCGTTTATCCGGTCCTCTTTTATCCGGATCCCTCGCCATCCGGAAGAAAATCGTTGGTTACCGATATACAGCATATGCCATGCATACATACAGTATGTGTGTTCGATTATCCGGTTCCCTCGCCTATCCGGATATTTTTGGTGGAAAACGGATGTGTGCGGTTATGCGAGGTCTGACTGTACTTCGGAAGTAATAACTACCACAGGTTATTATGAAAGCATTCTGCTCCTCGTCACCCTCCATCCAATATCAAACAGCACACAGTGCATATCTGCACACGCGCCGGAGAAATGCCATTCCACAACAAATCCAACGTGGGTCGATTCTTGTAGCACACATGCAGTGCCACTTTCAAACGTCATACCTTGGATCCCGCCTGCTTCATATACATGTACAATCATGTAGATGTGAAGGTACATGTGAAGGTACATGTGAAGGTACATGAAGGTGAGTGAATGAGTGTGGGTGTGGGGGGGGGGGGGGGGCTGATTCAGAAGCTCATTTCCAGTTCACTATGTACAAAAGTCATGATTGTACTTTGTAGTGTGCATGCTCAGAAAAATTCTTCTTTTTTACAAAAATGGAATCAATGAATGCACTGGAGGCTGTGGTGAAGATTTTGCAAGCGTAGGCAAGCTGCACTATTCCCTGCAATGACCGTGACTATCATTTGCTGTTGGATGCTTTCATCGCCGATACCACTCCGCATTCCGAGGTGTGCAGCAGCCAATAATGTTTCGATGAATTCAGAACGAATGTACGTTCAATCTAATGCTCGACGAATGACGGATTCGCGATCCGTTCGTGGTTGATCAGACACACAATAGTAGTGTGTAGTACCTGGACGGTCCTAAATTCGATACTATTTCTGTGATTCAGTATTTCTCTACAGTTCTACTCACGCAAGCCCACGCTAGCTGCGTCCGCCACGCGTTCTCGGATCTGCTTGCACACATCCAGGACCATCAACGACGGCGGGAACTGCAGTCGAACAACACAAAAACACAACCGCCCACCCACACACTTGAAACGACGCTGTCCCTCGGCCGCAGAGCAAGTGCATGCGTCCAGCCATGAAAGGACAGGATAAAAACTGCGGGTAGAGCAGTGCGAAGGTTCGCTCGTTACCAAATAGCGCACACCTCCAGCGACATGCACGGATCACTTACGGACAGGGTCTTGACCACCCCCAAAGTGGGGATGTTGATCTTCAGCGAGATATCCGCCATGGTGAGAGAGCGGCGTTCTCACACCTCACAGCCGGAGCACGCTACGTCCACACTCGGCGCTGAGCTCGATTCACTCAAACGAACCAGTCACGGCAGAAAATGGCTGGTTCTGCGAACAGAGCACCAGCTGACAAGAAGGATTTGACCAGAAATCCAGCAGACACCCACTAGCACTGCGTCTGTGCCATCGCAAGTGATCACACCTCAGTCACTCGCTCGCGCATGCGCCATCTTGCAGAGATAAAGAGGGGAAGGCCGGATCTACATAAATTCATAATCATTGTAGCTACGCTGAGCGACTTCGAAAAGCCATACCGGTATACCATGACATGATATGAGCCGACCGGATCTCGTGCAACGAGGTCCGAACTACCTGAGCGCCATGCATGATCTCGCCTTTCTAGGACTACATGTAGTAGTAGGAGTAGGACGGAAATCTCCTACCCTACATCAGTACATGATGTATCGCCATGTCTGGTGTAAATGTCTACCAAGCTATCACTGACACCTGGACACTGTCTGTTTTATACAGTCAGTGTACTTGGGCGTACATCATGTATCTGTCCGTTTCATCGACATGCCTATGCTTTGCGAATCATCATGGGTGGCAGACCCGGTAGACCATGGTAGACCTACCCGTATCATCATTCCAGCACACTATCTACAATAGACTACAGTCTACAGTCATGTAGTACAGTATGACTCTATGAGCACGCTATGCGGGTAGGACTCGGAGCATCAGGAGAGGAACACCAGCAGACAAACGCTTGTCCGATGTGGCGATGGCGACGACAATGAACCTATGCATATGGCTCAGCAGTCGTGGCGTGGACCTGGTTGAGCCAAGGCCGGTAGTAGACCTCTACACACTGGAACCCAGCAAATTAATTCTCTGATATCTGATGTCTGGTAAGACGACAAAAGCATTAGTTGTCTGATGATTGCCTTAGCATTTAGCTACGTGCATGAAACGCAGCGTTACAACGTATGTTTCTATAATTGGTGAAACCATTCTTTTTGACCTTTGTGATGTCTGGTAAGATATGATTATGATTATGACTTATGAGTGATCATAGTCATGGCCTGGATCCGTCTACATATACCATGGATAAACCTTGCTTTGTTGAAACAAGTATTAGTTGTTGGTTGACAGCATGCAGCAAGGTGGAGGACCACTGTGTTCGGAAACAGTGACCTTACTACAACCATCCACGATTGGCAGAGCCGGTTCAAATGGTGGCAAGACCGGGGCTCTACCAACCGTGGATGGTTGTAGTAAGGTCACTGTTTCCGAATACAGTCAGTGGTCCTTCATCTTGTTACAAGCTGTCAACCAACAACAAGCACCATGGTCTGTCGTGTAGACGAGTCTCGCAGTCAGTAGACCTACACTAGTCTACAGCCGTCACAGGAACTGAAACAAAACAACAACAGCGGAAACCGTGCATGGTATGACCGAGGAAACGGCTCCACTCATGTAGATCTACACAGACTACACAGGGTCTACAACTTGTAGGGTAGCTCCAGTCTTGACTTCGTTGATCCTTGCTGACTGCATAGTCTACCATGATCTATGCCGGGCCGAGTCTGCTGCATGGTCCGGCGATGCACGAAGCACACAGTCACTGATGACTGCCGGAAGGTTCAGGAAAACCCCTATCGTCGAGAAGGGGTCCGGTTCGTTCTCCCCAGCAAGTATTACTATCATAATGTCATTCCATAGACCCTGGACCATAGTACCATGCACTACTGCTGCGAAAGACAAAGTACCATGATTGTACGAACACATCTTCTACTTGGATACTACAAAGTACAATCACTGATGTACATGTAGTATGGTGACTATAACTTTGGAACAGACCTGGACTTTGTCGAAACAAAGGAGGGTTTTCAGTACTGATAGTGATACAATGTAGGTCGAAACGTTCCGACCTTGTCATATTTGTTACCGTCCTCACATCCTTTATTGCTGAACCCACAAATATTTGTGATACAGATTGTAAACCATTCGAGGAAGAAGAGAAAGCCATAAAAAACCCGTCCTGGTTTATCCTTCGGTAGGGATTTTGTCTTGATTCGCAAGCCAAACGAGCCCAGGGGGGGGGGGGGGAGGAGAGAATACCCGGAAGGACGAGACCATGAGCATCGACTTCGGAGAGGAAGGTGGTGGTGGTGATGGTGGTGGTGGTTCGTTGCAGGTCATAGTAAGGATTGCTTGTAGACAAGTGCAGACAGCATGCTGCCACCACCACCGACACAGTACCGACACTAGTCCACTGTATGTATTCTCCAGCCGACCACATTCATAAAACCATCAACAACAACAGTTACTACGGTCGTCCCAGGCTTTAAACCAGCACCCTCTTTAATCCAGCACCCTCTTTAAGTTAAACCAGCACCCTCTTTAAACCAGCACCCTCTTTAAACCAGCACCCTCTTTAAACCAGCACCCTCTTTTAACTTCATGACCCTCTTTAAACCAGCACAATTTTAAGTATCCAAAATGTCCTTTTCATGCACACTGCAACAGTAGATCTATCGCAACACCAACATACTAGTAAAATCAAACAAAGACTTTAAGTGGTTTGGTCACGACTCACGGTTGTGATAGACTGTGGTGCTGCACTGATTTATTGGCATCTTGACTTTCTTGTCGACATGTCGCAGGCTGGTGTAACTTTATGTGTGTGTTGTACTCGTAGTGTCTTTAATGACTCTTTATCTTTGGCCGGCTTCACACGTACGGCTCCAGCCCCACATCATTCTATTACTAATAAATTCTTATAAGTCACACTAACATATTCACACACACACACACACACACACACACACACACACACACACACACACACACACACACCTCAGACCTGCCCATCGCGGAAGCGATGATAGCCAACAGCTATGTTAGACATATTTAGTACACGGAAAGTTGGGTGTGGTCCTCGAAAGAGTGCTCAATGCAATATTCTTTTTGTATGTTAGACATAGCCACTTGTGCTAGGATTACACCATTCAACAGACACACACACACACACACACACACACACACACACACACACACACACACACACACACACACACACACAATTACTTTGACAAACATAGCTCTCCACTTCTCTCCCTCCCTTTCTCCCACTGACTGGCACCCCCTTTCACCAGCGCTGCAACTAGTACACAGACTACAAAACGTACATGACGTGGCCGTAACATTGCAAGAATTGATATGGGTCAATTTGCACACCACCTTCTAAATAGCGATCTAGAGAACTTCTGCTTTGCGCGGACAGAAGATGAAATGTGGGATATGTGGCTGGAGAAACTTGTCGTTGCCTTGAACACTCATGCTCCTATCCCGGTATCCGTCTACACCGCCCAAGAGCTCCTACCCGGAAATCCTTCCCCTGGAAGACGCCAGCTCTACATGATCTAGTCCAGCAACGCGACGCGGCCCATCGACGGTGGAAAGCATCACCTGCAGACCCGGCACTACGCAATGTCTTCACTTCTGCCCAAGACGAAGCCAAGCGTATGTCACGACATCTCCGAGCCACCTACTTTAGGGACCTTCTTGCTGCTAGTCAGGCCAACGCACGGAAAACCTGGCAGACCATCAACTACCTCAGCGGTCGTAACAAGTCCTCAGTTCCACCAGCCGTCAGTGTCTCACAGCTCAGTGACCAATTCAGTGGTGTTGTGTCAGACCCAACTAGACCACTACGTCTCTCAGCCCCATTGGGTCCCACGAAGAAGGAATGCCTCGAAGAATTTGCTCCAGCAAGTGTGCAAGAGATCGCTAAGCTGCTCTCCAACATCGACGTGCGCAAAGCTGCAGGCAGCGACCAGGTTCCAGCTGCAATCCTCAAACACTGTTCTCCTGTCCTTGCACCGTCCCTCACCATACTAATCAATGCATCTCTGGCTTCTGGTGTTGTTCCTGCATCTCTGAAGATTGCGGATGTTCGTCCCCTCTTCAAGTCAGGCGACAAAGCTGTCGCTAAGAACTATAGACCAATATCGTTATTGCCAATAGTTTCCAAAGTCCTAGAACGGGTAGTCCACACGAGACTCTGTAAGTTCCTCTCCGGAAATTCCTTGTTCCCCGCAAACCAGTTCGCATATCGCCCACTTCACTCCACAGAAGATGCCCTGACATTGGCTGTAGACAGATACTTGGAGGCAGCGGATCAGCAGCGCCATACAGGTCTTGTACTTGTCGATATGAGCAAGGCCTTCGATAAGGTCAAACACCAAATTTTGGTTACAGATCTATTTCAGCTTGGTATTACCTCAACGGCGCTCAGTTGGTTCATGAGCTACCTAACTGACCGCCGTCAGCGAGTCGTCCTGAGCAATGGCCAGTCGTCCGCCCTCTCTCCCTGTGAGTGTGGTGTTCCTCAGGGAAGTGTGCTGGGTCCTCTTTTGTTCTCCATCTACACAATGGAAATAGAACAGATCACAGCTCCAGCCCACTCACAGCTGTTTGCTGATGATATCCTGCTAGACGCCATCAGTCAATCCGTCGAATTCTTGAATTTAACCCTCTCCCGTTCAGTCTCCAACCTAGCCAACTTTCTGGAAGAAAGAGGCTTAATACTAAATCCCTCCAAAACCCACGTTCTAGCCCTTCATGCGTCTCGCAGGCAGCCCTTGTTACTTAACATAGAATGCAATGGAAATCCCCTAGCTCAGACCACAAATGCTCGATATCTAGGTCTACATCTGTCATCTCGACACCCAGCTTCGGTGGGAGACTCAAGTTGCAACTATTACACGGAAGACCTCCCAGAAACTGACGGCGCTGCGAGCCATTCGCTCCTGCTTAACTGAGCAACAAGCCCTGCTATTTTACAGATCGTTAATACTACCGGACATGTTGTATGGATCTAATGCCTTCTTCTCGGTTCTCTCTGCGCACCAACGGCATCAGCTTTCGGTCCTCGACAAGCGATGTATCCGCTGCGTTGCCAACCAGCCATTCCCCTCCCACACAGATCCCATCTACACCCGTCTAGGCCTCATCCCCATCATCCAAAACGCCCATTGTAAACTCCGCCTCCTCATGCTTCGTATCCACGCCGCCAGAATTAGTAATCTCCTGTCCAAGTGCCTACGTCGCCAGACTGAAGGTGTCACTCGGATCAACGATCCAAATGCGTATGTTGTCCCCGCCACCAGGCGAGTCTCTGGTGACTGTCGGCCGCTCGTTTCTGCTGTTAGATTATGGAACGCCCTGCCCCAAGAGTTCAAGTCCCTCGCCTGCCATAGATCAGAGACTTTTAAAGGTTTATTTTTATGGTTAGCCAGCATCTAGGCTTGGACTTGGAGTCGTGACTCAACTGTGACTCAACTGTGCTTTCTTCTTCTTTATTTTTCTTTTTTTTCCCTTTCTCTTTTTCTTTTTGAGTATTTGCAGTCTGTGTTTTCTCTCTTTCGTGGAGGCTTGCTTGTTGTATCCTTGGCTCTCGGCCGTTACTTTATCGCCATCATAATATTGGGCACCATTGCCCGTTTGGTCTGCGATATAAAATAAGATTTCAACAACAACAACAACAACAACAACAACAACAACATGATCATGAATGACAACGACAACAGGATACACATCAATGCCCTCCGAATAGTTGTCCGACGAATAGGTGTCCGACGAACAGTGCAGTCGGATGATCGAGGTAAGTGGATCGAGTGGCTGTGGCCGGCCGTGGTTAACCCGGTTGCATATTTTTTGCGAAAGAGAAACGAGTTTCAAATCTTGCAACGTCGTTCTTGTTGTAGCTCTGTGGCTGAGCCAAGGCACAGCAGTTTGGCTTTGGAGATCGAGGAAATTTTAGTACTCCCAAGAGGCAAGGGCCAAGGGCGCTTGTGTAGTTGTAACCTTGTGGAATAGTGTAGAGTGTTTATGTGGACTTGGAGAATTGCATAATATTATTGGAGGTGTTTTTGAAATTTATTATTTGTGTTGTTGACAATTTCGAAAAGTTCATTAGGCAAAGGCCAATACCAGGACTAGGTACACACTGTGCTCCTGCCAGGACGCAGTATGCAGATTTAGATTTTGCTGGCTCTGGACGAGAATCAAAATACTGATCAAGAAATCGGCTGTCTCTCTATCACCCTCTGACTGTACTGTCGTGACTGTTGGCAGTGTTGCTCGTGATGGAGGACGACTCAGGTGTTGCTCCCGTGAGAGTCACGTTCGAGCAGCTGAAAGCTGCAGCCCGCAAGCTGGAGCGGCTTGATGGCAACAGTCGCAAGGACCTGGAGGAGCGGCGCACCCCTGCTGGGCGCGGCCGCCAGTCTGCTGTGCAGGCGGAGCTGCGTGCCATGAGTGCGACAAAGAACTCGCGTGTCCTCAGCTCGTGCAGCGCGCTGTCCCGTGCCGTTCAGGACGCGGTCACCGCCTCTACCACGTCCAGCCGCAAGGAGTTGAGCATAGAGGAGCAGCGAGAGCTCAATGCTAGGCGCAAAATGGCAGCGAAGGGCGAGCTGGCGCTACACGAGCGCACCACGTCTTCACTGGATGAGGATCGACGGCGCAACCAGCAAGCGAAAGCCAGCAGCGGCGGAACACATGGTGTGCTCGGCCGGACCGGTTCAGTTGATGCAGCTGCGGGGCTCTCCCATGCCAGGTCACCACCGGCTGTCGACAGCAGCAGAATCGGAAAACAAAGTGCTTCAGGCAGCACCCCCGTGTCGACACCTGCAGGTACACCGCTGCGCAGACCGCTGGGCCGGGGAGCGTCGCCGGGTGATGGGCGTGCTGCCATCTGGGGCCAGGCGTTCTCGCAGGCGCTGCGCGACCACCAGCCAGAGCCAGGCAGCGACGATGAGGAGATGCCTTCCACGCCAGTGCAGACGGCACTGCGACCAGCCACCACGCATAGTCTTGACCGGGCGCAGAAAGGCAGCAGTAGTGGCGGTGTGTCTACGCAATCCGACGTGCGCGGTAGACTGGGCACGGCGCAGGCTGGTGGTCACGTGTCCTCGGCCGGCATCCTGGCATCGCCACCGGCGTTGCCTGTAGGCCGAGGCAGGGCGAAGCAACGGCGCACCGTTCTGACTACAACAGTGTCTCCAGCACACAGCACCACCACTGGTTGGCTCTCAGCTGACCCTTCAGACTCAGCTCCTACTGTGGACTTGACTCAGACTAGTAGCAATGACGCTGAAGATGTCAGCATGGACGACACAGCGGCGGACACTGCCGCTGCCGACCTTCGCATTACCATCCAGCAAAAGCGCCGACGCGATCCGTCCATCAGCTCCCCGGACCGCGGTGGCGCCACCACTGCGTCTGCAGCCAGTGACAGCCAGAGTCCCAAGCGGAAACGCATCAGCAGTGCGGTGTTCAGAAAGTGACAAGTGACCATTGGTTGTCCTCTAGCCACTTGTGTAGTGGCTAGAGTTTAGTTGAAACGTTGTCAACGTTTAGTGCTGGGTGTTGTAATTGTGTTCAGACTTGATGTACGAATAGTTTCTAGCCCCGGCTGGTCCAGGCTCCTGTATGCGTTTTTTTTATTGTGCTCCTTTAGCCACGTCTGTACTAAATATTAAGAAATATTTATGTTGTAGGTGTTCAAACGTACCCAGCTCCTTTTCAGGCGGCTTTCCGACTGCTACTTGTTCCTGTTTTGGAGTTTCTCTGCCTTTTATATTATGTTCATGGTGTCGAGTCAGTGTACCTATCTAGACTTTTGATGGTTTCTAACCAATGTTGTATGTCTTACTGTTGTATGTTGTGTTGTTGTTGTATTGTTGTATTGGAGGCTTTAATTTGGAGCAGTGACAGAACACAATGGAGTTTCTTACTTGACACTCAAGTGCTTGCTATAGATTTGCTCTGCACACAAACGCGCTACGCATGCAAATGGTCACGATAACAGGGAATGGGCGGTGAAGTCTCTTCAACCTTCAAATGGAGAGAGCCAAGCCAAGAAACCATGTCCAGGGTTCAACTCAACAAGACAGGAATTGTAGATCGAGATGAGAGCATTCTAAGTAGAATGATGATACTAGAATCTTGAAAATGATGGAAATTGCTCAAGTAATAAATAAGTTGGGGCTCAAGAGCAGTTAGCTCTCAACAAAAAAAACATCCCTACTTTAACTTTTAGATGAAAAACAAGGGAAACGCGACCTAATGTAATGAAAGGGAGTACAGAGCCAGCTGTTACCACGGGAATAAATAACAATATGTGCAGCGCATGTGGGGGTGGGGGCATGCGGTTAGCTTTGTTCAGTAGCGAGCACATAATGAGAGAGCTATGATACAATTGCATGGAGCGTTATGTACAGTGCAATATCCGAATGCAGGTCTTGCGATGACGGCACGTCGTATGTAGTAATCCTATGTACAGTTCTGCGGCTGTGGCTGTGGTCCTCATCATGACAGTGCATCATGCTAGCTACACTGCAGTCTCTTGATCTCGGCCAGCACCATGTAGCTGAGTGGCCTGGATTCGTTTCAACAGGGAGCGCATGTGAAGCTGGGCATGACTCGACTGCAGACTGCTTGCGTTGACCTGAAGGAGACAAAAGTCACGAGGAAAATCACAAGACTGTCAACAGTCATACAGGATCAAATATTAGTTATTTTATCAATGTGTACGCGGTGTCCGAGTGGAACATCAACAGGATAACTTCCCTTGCCCAGACCGACCACAAGTGCTTGCATACAGGCACAAGCAC